GCTACTGAAGTCGTAAGCATTCGTAAGTGTTCGTAACGCGCTTAAGCTAAGCGTTCATTTCAGCGGTTTTACTGATGTACCGTCGGCTCGGCGTCAATTGCGAATAAACAAAGCCACTTGTGCCATACATATTCCAATCTCTATTTCCTCTTCCCACCGCCTCATCTGCCATCTTGTGCGGCCGCTTGCTCTGATTGTGATTCTGTCCGCTTAGCTGCCGCCAATCTCTTGTCTTCCAGCCGTTGGGGCAACTTGGACCACAGCTTGGATTGAAATCGAGTCATATCTATTTCCGTGAGCTGCTTCTCCAATATATGGCGAAGTCCCAGGCCGTGACGTGCGAGGCGAGGTAGAATAGATACAAACTGGAGTGCCTGGAGTGGGTCTCTGATGTCGTAGTGTCGGACATTGTGCTCCATGATATAAATTTGCTGCACCACTCATGAGCTCCTCCGGAAATGGTGAACAGAAACAGCACATACATTATTTGTCTTCCATGCCATTGTGATTGCGCCAAGTGCGCCATTGACAACAAGTCCAAAAACAGGTTGGTCTGTAATGCTGAACTCGGAAAGGAAGGTGACCGCCGAAACCAGGTACGTTTTGGTCTGGTTCATGGCGGTCGAGATCGCAGACTCGTCTCTCTTCTTATATTCGACCAGTAACACTGGGAGTAGTAGGTCCTGTCCACTAGGTTCATCGCAGAACGCATCGTTGGAAAGTATTGCTTCTTGTCTCTGCGTTGTTTGGTTGCGGTCGGGATGATGGAGGAAGGGGTTATGCAGCTGAGCTCGATCGATTTTATTGGATTCCGACACGCGAGAAGATGAGGGGACTTGAAGTGATTTGTTGGATGTGGTCTTTCGGCTGCCGCTCTTTTCGATCTGGTGTAAAGTTTCCCCAGTACTGGTATCAAGCGTCCCTGGCTTTGGACCCTGGACGAGCATAAAGGATTTTAGAAGTGTTTCTTGCTCATCGATACTAGATATGCGTTTGAGCATCGCAGTAGCAACGTTGGAACATGGAATGACGAGAACAGTATCACATTTTCCAGTGGCCGGATCTTTAGAGGAGTGGTGCGCAATCGTTTCAGCGAAAGTTGCGAAACCCTTCCTCTCGTTGCGCTCCATAAAATCGTCAAGAAATTTGTTTGCTTGATCTCGTACTGCTGCTGTCTGCCTCCAACTGCCAGAGGCCTCTGCGGCGGTTCTCGCGCGCCAGTCTTGTTCAAGACAGAACTCCTGGTATCTGTTTATGACATCGATGGCTCGAGTTTCGAACGAAGGGTCATCGGCAACGAGATTACGAGTCAAATTTGACTGTCGCTCTAACCTAGATGAATCTTTAGAGCAAATATGGCCTGACGTAGGGACTACGCACAACACATCCCGTTGCTTGGGAACGGGTTGGAAGAAATTGAGGAGTAACGACTCCCACTCGTGACGCCGATCAGCTTCGTTGGCCCCGTGCAACTGTGCGACATCATCACAACTGCGGGCACCATTTACGGCGTGTAACAGCATGGAAATCCGGCGTGCAATAAACTCGACATCTTTCAAAGACGGAGCATCGATCGCGCTGGGCTGACGGTCGGGACCACCATTCGTGTCAAGAAGCTCTGATCTTATGTCTGACACGCAGCTATCGAACGCTGCATCCGAGAGCTGCGCACGACGTGATGAGAATCAGCGGTAAAAGCAACTCTGCAGACCCACTATAGTTTTAATGTCGTTCGACCAGGTGAACCCCGTCATCTGATCATATATTTTGACCATCGCGTTAATTCTGGTCTCGCTTGCCAGCTCCTCAGAGCGGATTGGAATACGACCAACTGTGAACGCATGGCGTTCAAACAGCCAATTGGACATCGACACGCCATCCACAAGACCATTATCAGACAAAGCGGCGAATCTGGAGACGAGAAACAGTCATTGAACAGCCATCAACCGAGAAGGAGGCCATACTGCGAGTTTGAATATGCGCTGGGTGCACGCGATGAGGTCGAACCCATACCCTGAGACAGCGGTTGTGGCGATGGACTAGTCCTCTTCGAAGAGTTCCTCGAAGATGATGGTCGTGACCCTCTTCCTCTGCAAGGAGAATAAGATCATGAATAGAGTAACTAAAGCGAACTTACCGTCCTTTCACGTTCTTCACGTGTCTCTTGGTGTAACCTAAAGCACTGAGTTAGTTGCGTGTTGATAAGTGAGACATAGGTCGAATGATTGACCCGATATTTGCGTCATCAACTTGTTCATTCTCGATGATGGTAGGAAGTAAGGGGAAACTCCTGGTATCACATGATACAAGCGCAGTATCCAAGACTGGGGATGGAGCAGTAGATGAGGATGATTCCTCGCTGAACGACCATAAATATCGGGACTTGGCATTAAAGATAGAAACCTGTACCTAGAACTCGTCTGCACGTGTACCTGGTGGGTCCAGGATGTCACTCGTTCGTCCAATCGTGCCCCAAACTGAGTTTCAAAGTCAGGTAAATCGGATCTCCAGCCCAACGCAGTCAGAGAATCGACTGCTTCTATCGATGTGGCGCCCTTGATATCTTGAAAATGTGTCCGCAACCCCAAAACAAATTGCGCGAGACTGGTAGCAGAACAGGTATCAGTGAAATCAAACACCCCCATCGAAGGATCTGAGAGGACATCTGCTGCTAGAGCGAGGTGCGCTGTAGGCTTTAGTAAGGGTCAACATGGAAATATGTGCATTAATTTGAAACTTGCCATGCGGCCTTCCTCAGACTGGTCGAGCCACCCGAAGATGGCCATGACGATCGTACCCGTGCTGGAACAGCAGAGGCCTACCACAGGCTGACAAATCCCCCACACACGTCTCTGGTAAAGAGCACTGCATAGTAGGGGAACAATATTGCTGGAGTCGGCGACTAGTAAGACTGGAATCACGGCCGAAAGGCGTCTGCCCCGACCCGGAAGCATGTGTGCTTGCAAGGGCAGGTCGAGTGACTCAACCGAGTCATCGTCATCGCAAGAGTCGCAGTCTGCAGAATAAATCGATTCATCGCCGTCTTGCTCGTTCAACGAGCTGGTCATCGATACATCTGAATAAGTTCTAGGTTCGGAAAAGATAGCATGAGCAGCAAGAAGAGTCGCATGTCCGTCAATGAGATTTGAAGGCTGACTCGCCGCGTTCTGAGCTCGTGGCATGATGAAAGGCGCATCTTCGCTGTCGTAATATTCGGGTCTTGGTTTAATGCGCGACGAACATGTCACTCACAGAATAAGAACGTCTGAGGACAGAGTATTTGCCAGTGCATGGATAAGCTGAGACCAGATAGGCACAGTGGATCTCTGGCCACCATAGTGAGGAAGCTCAGCAAGTGCGTTTAAGCCTGCGGCTGTTGATTCAATCAAGAACTGGAAATCTTTTGCAGTGTATGATCCCGGTGCAGGTGGTTCATGGCAAGGGAGTGGCTCTGAGAAAGTCGAGGACGACGGACTGGCAAAATGTTCATTACTTGGTCGGTCTGGACAGTGGAACGGCGGCAACAAGGAAGCAATAGCGCGCACTTGTTCAGGCCAGCCTGTAGGCTGGGTCACGTAGTGTACAACTTCGCCGAAAGACATTTCAAGTTGAGGGGTGTAGAACTAGCAAGTACGGATTACTTAATATGTATGTATACAATGATCGACTGAATCCATTGAAGGGTCACGGGCTTACTTAATCATGCCCAGGGCGAGGAGTCCAGTGCGGAAAGGGAGACAGACGGAAAATTACGAGGTCAGTTAGACTAGGTTAAGCAGCCTATGAGGTGGCTTAGTCGAGCTGCTGAGGCTTTTTGAGTGGTACGAGGATGCTGCAGAGCTCGGATGACGTTTTGTCATTCAGAGTCTTGCTGAGAGTTGCGTTGCCGAGCGGGATTCGAAAGGATTGTAATTTTCTCAGTCCGAAGTGACTGATGCCATTTGTGCCGTTCCTCCATGGTCTCAACTCCGCTTGGCTTTGGACTAGCAGCCACAATTTCACGGCAACCGCTGCATATCGTACCTAATCTGGTGGTCGACCTCCTGCTCATTTTGACTACCACTGACACTTCCACCTGTAGTAAATATTCATGAAATACGTTTTTCGCTACCTCTTTGGACTGCAACTCTTAGACTGCAAACCTCACCCAAAGGACCATCACTGGAGTTTCGACGCTTTCGTGGAAGTAAATGCTTCAAGTTCGTGGACACCATCTGCAAGGTTCAGGGCGTGAACCATGTACGTTCGCTAAAGTAGAGACCCACGCTGAATTATGTGATGCTTGCTGTCACCTGTGCATATTGACAGTTGTGGTAGGAAGTAACGTCCAGAAACCTCACTCGATTCTTGACATATGATGATGATCCTTGTCACTGCTGATGCGCATTGCGCACTCCTTCGAGTTGCAGCGAAATAAGTTCAACATGTACAGTCACAACTTCTGGTCAGTTCCGATCCAGTGTGCCTCTTCGCGCAGACATATCGTCTGACCTATCACCAAACTTTCAAGATTATCTATGGCAAACTAACGCCTAAAAGATGCTAATCCATAATCTTTCAGCCAAAGCAAGAGGAAGTCGCATCTGCTTGTACTTCACTATTTATAACAGTGGAGCAGCGAGTTTCTGATCAAAACGACACCGCAGTTCTATGCCCCCTTACTACCGTGAGTGATCACTGTAGTCTAGCATTCTGATGCTGAGAGTTGTAACATGTAGCTTACATCCTGTGATATGGATGCATTAGAAATACAGACGAATGCCGGACATCGTCTTCTCGCACAACATCGCAGGACGCACAAGAGTAGGGATCTTGACCAATCAATAGATTACTTTGAAACGCGCCTCGGAGCTCTGCCCCAAGGATCATCCCTACCGCCCTGCAGCACTGTTCAATCTAGCCACCGAAAAGTTATTTAGCTACCAAGCTAACGGAACATATCTCGACCTCGACATCCCTGTCTCTCTTTTTCAAGACGTCCCATTGGTCATTCAGACCGACTTATCACCCAACTCCATCTTGCCATTTCTCTGTTATCACGCTTCGCAAAACGGGGATTCCAGATAGATCCTGAAACGGCTAAAAAGTTAACGAGCGAAGTCCTCGATGTCTGCCACCCTAGCAGCCACATTTACAGAGTACCTTTGATTGCAATCAAAACACCGCTTTGCATTCTGCTGGAAGCATTGATGTAGATGATCCTGGGCATGAGCGGCCCGTCGCATCCATGCTTCCGATATCACCGAATCAACCTGCTGATCGAGCAGAGTGGTGTTTGCATAGAGATGAACCCCGTGCCATAGATGGAGTGGTATACCTTCATTATGATGCACTCGGATACAACACCGAGCATGCTTGCCGAGGGCAGTTGCTAGGTAATCTCGCTCTAATTCTGCAAACTCGCTTCGAGCGTCGAGGCAGCCACAAGGATCAGGCCATTATACTTCAGACAGAAATGTTGGCTCCATGTCCGGTCGGTCACCCAGATCGGTCTTGGGCATTAAATAATCTTGCAAATCAACTCTTCACCCGCTTTGAGCACCGAGGCAACAACGAAGACTTGGATCAGGCCATCGCACTTCAGGCGAAAGCGCCATCTTTGCGCCCGGTCGGTCATCCAGGTCCGTCCATGTTATTAAATAACCTTGCAAATCAACTCTTCGCCCACTTTGAGCACCAACGCAACAGAGAAGACCTCGATGGGTCACGAGAGAGCCCACGCTGTGCATTGACTCTGTTGAAGCAACATGATCCTCGTTCATCGGTAGTCCATAAGTCGCTAGCTAAGGTTTATCTATCATCCCATCGTTCAGGGCTTGACGGCACTGGCGCGGGGGAAGATACAGATAGTCTCGATGCTGCCATGCATAATCTCAAGGCAGCAACAAATGTTGTCTGAGGAGGCTTGCTACCCCGCATGCGAGCAAGTCTGCTCTGGGTTCGCCATACTGATCAACACAGACATGATACTTGTTAATTGAAGCATTCTTGAGACAATCTGACGACTTTGCATGTAGCATCCAATCATAATGACCACGTGGGCGCTTGCGTCGCGCAGGTTTGAATTTGAATTTGACTCTACTAATTGGTACTTATTTTTCCATGAGTACACGCATGATCACTCGAGCCTGAGAACGTACGGAGCCTCTTTGGCATTGCTCACATTCAAATATTCAAAGCCCACCTGTGAACGCATTTTTGTATCTGTTCATCATCAGATTCAGGCTGCATCGTGGGGAAATCAGCGATGACGGCCATTATTTGAGAATTGATTGAATTTTGAGGAAGGAGAGTGGCATCAGAATTCGAAGATCCTATTACATGAGACTCAGGGCGGGGCGCCGACAAACAGTACTTGGACTGGCTAATTGATAGTTCAAGTGCGAACGAAAACATTTGGTATAACATTGCGAGCAGGTAAAACAAACAAGGCTATCATGTTCTAAATGTGCAGTACATATTGTACTCTCTATTTCCTCTTCGCACCGCCTCATCTGCTATATTGATTCTTGTGCGCCGGCTTGCTCTGAGTCTAAGTCTGTCCGCTTAGCTGCCGCCAACCTCTTTTCTTCCAGCCGTTGGGACAATTTCGACCACGGCTTGGATAGGATTCGAGTCATATCTATTCCCGTGAGCTGCTTTTCTAATAGGTGGCGAAGTCCCAGGCCGTGACGCGCGAGGCGAGGTAGAATAGACACAAATTGCAGTGCCTGAAGAGGGTCTCTGATGTCGTAGTATCGAACATTACGTTCCATGATGAAAATTTGCTGCATCGCTCGTGAGCTCCATCAAAAAGTGAATATATTATGCAGCACATACATTGTTGTTTTTCCATGCCATCGTGATGGCGCCAAGTGCGCTATTGACGACTAGTCCGAAGACAGGTTGCTCAGTAATGCCGAGCTCAGAAAGGAAGGTGACCGCCGAAACCAGGTACGTTTTGGTCTGGTTCATGGCGGTCGAGATCGCAGACTCGTCTCTCTTTTTATACTCGACCAGTAACACTGGGAGTAGTAGGTCCTGTCCACTAGGTTCATCGTAGAACGCATCGTTGGAAAGTGTCGCTTCTTGTCTCTGCGTTGTTTGGTTGCGGTCGGGATGATGAAGGAAGGGATTATGCAACTGAGCTCGATTGATTTCATTGGATTCCGACACACGAGAAGATGAGGGAACCTGAAGCGGTTTGTTGGATGTGGCCTTTTGGCTGCGGGTCTTTTCATTCTGGTGTGAAATTTGCCTAGTACCGGTGTCAAGTTTCTCTGCCTTTGGACCCTGGACGAGCATAAAAGATTTCAGAAGTGGGTCTTGCTCGTCAATACTAGATATGCGTTTGAGAATCGCAGTAGCAACATCGGAACATGGAATGACGAGGACAGCATCACATTTTCCAGTGACCGGATCTTTACAGGAGTGGTTCCCGATCGTTTCAGCGAAACCCTCGCGACGCACAAGGTCGTCAGCAAATTTATTTGCTTGATCTCGTGCTGCTGCAGCCTGCTCCCAACTTCCACTGGTCTCTACGGCGGATTTTACACACAAATTCTGTTCCAGACAGAACTCCTGGTATCTGTTTATGACATCGATTGCTCGTGTTTCGAACGCAGGGTCATCGGCAACAAGATTGCGAGTTAAGTTCAACTGTCGCTCTAACCTGGATAAACCCTTAGAACAAATATGGCCTGACGTAGGGACTACGCACAACACATCCCGTTGCTTGGGAACGGGTTGGAAGAAATTGAGGAGTAACGACTCCCACTCGTGACGCCGATCAGCTTCGTTGGCCCCGTGCAACTGTGCGACATCATCATAGCTGCGGGCACCTTGTACGGCGTGTAACAGCATGGAAATCCGGCGTGCAATAAACTCGACATCTTTCAAAGACGGAGCATCGATCGCGCTGGGCTGACGGTCGGGACCACCATTCGTGTCAAGAAGCTCTGATCTTATGTCTGACACGCAGCTATCGAACGCTGCATCCGAGAGCTGCGCACGACGTGATGAGAATCAGCGGTAAAAGCAACTCTGCAGACCCACTATAGTTTTAATGTCGTTCGACCAGGTGAACCCCGTCATCTGATCATATATATTGACCATCGCGTTAATTCCGGTCTCGCTCGCCAGCTCTCCAAGGGCGGATTGGAATACGACCGACAGTGAACGCATGACGTTCAAACAGCCAATTGGACATCGACAGGCCGTCTACAAGGCCGTTATCAGCCAAAGCGGCTAATCTGGAGCCAAGCAACAGTCACCGAACAGCGATCAGCCAAGAAGGAGGCGCCATACTGCGAGTTTGAATATGCGCTGGGTGCACGCGATGAGGTCGAACCCATACCCCAAGACAGCGGTTGTGGCGATGGACTGGTCCTCTTCGAAGAGTTCCTCGAAGATGATGGTCGTGACCCTCTTCCTCTGCAAGGAGAATAAGATTACGAATAGAGTAACTAAAGCGAACTTACCGTCCTTTCACGCTCTTCGCGCGTGTCTCTTGGTGTGACCTAAAGCATCGAGTCAGTTGCGTATTGATAAGTGCGACATAGGTCGAATCATTGACCTGATATTTGCATCATTGACATGTTCATCCTCGGGGATGGTAGGAAGCGAGGGGAAACTCATGGTATCATACGAGACAAGCGCAGTATCCAAGACCGGGGACGGAGTACGAGGAGTAGATGATGATGATTCCTCGCTGAACGATCATAAAGATTGGGACTTGGCATTAAAAGATAAAAACCTGTACCTAAAACTCGTCTGCACGTGTACCTGGTGGGTCCAGGATGTCACTCGTTCGTCCAATCGTGCCCCAAACTGAGTTTCAAAGTCAGGTAAATCGGATCTCCAGCCCAATGGAGCCAGAGAATTGACTGCTTCTATCGATGTGGCGTCCTTGATATCTTGAAAATGTGTCCGCAACCCCAAAACAAATTGTGCGAGACTGATAGAAGAACGGGTATCAGTGAAATCAAACACCCCCATCGAAGGATCTGAGCGGACATCTGCTGTCAAAGCGAGGTGCGCTGTAGGCTTCAGGAAGGGCCAATATGGAAAAATGTGCATTAATTTGAAACTTGCCATGCGGCCTTCCTCAGACTGGTCGAGCCACCCGAAGATAGCCGTGACGATCGTACCCGTCTGGGAACAGCAGAGGCCTACCACAGGCTGACGAATCCCCCACACATGTCTCTGGTAAAGAGCGCTACACAGTAGGGGAACGATATTGCTGGAGTCGGCGACTAGTAAGACTGGAATCACGACCGAAAGGCACCTGCCTCGACCCGGAAGCATGTGTGCTTGCAAGGGCAGGTCGAGTGAATCAACCGAGTCATCGTCATCGCAAGAGTCGCAGTCTGCAGAATATATTGATTCATCACCGTCTTGCTCGTTTAGCGAGCTGGTCATCGAAATATCTGAATAAGTCCTAGGTTCGGAAAAGATGGCATGAGCAGCAAGAAGAGTCGCATGTCCGTCAATGAGATTTGAAGGCTGACTCGCCGCGTTCTGAGCCCGTGGCATGATGAAAGGCGCATCTTCGCTGTCGTAATATTCGGGTCTTGGTTTAATGCGCAAAGAACATATCACTCACAGAATAAGGACGTCTGGCGACAGAGTGTTTGCCAGTGCATGGACAAGCTGAGACCATAGAGGAACAGTAGATCTCTGGCCACCATAGTGAGGAAGCTCAGCAAGTGCGTTTAAGCCTGCGGCTGTTGATTCAATCAAGAACTGAAAATCCTTCGCAGTGTATGATCCCGGTGCAGGTGGTTCATGGGAAGGGAGTGGCTCTGATAATGCCGAGGATGACGGACTGGCCGAATGTCCGTTACTTGGCCTGTTGGAACAGTGGGATGGTGACAACAAGGAAGCGATACCGCGCACTTGTTCAGGCCAGCCTGTAGGCTGGGTCACGTAGTGTACAACTTCGCCGAAAGACATTAGAAGTAGAGCTCGAAGCACTTGATGGTTATATTACCAGTAGTATGGATTACTTAATAGGTTCAGTATGTATGCAATGATCGACTAGGTCATGATGCGGTCACGTGCACTTTGTACGTGTTTTGTGCAGTGGGGCGGCGCTTGACACTACAAGATGGGTAATGGTATTACTAGTGCCACAAGGTGAGCATGAACCACTAGGAGAATTAGGATCGGACGTAAGAAAACCTTGAGAAGTTGATAATTTTCGTGTACCGACAATTTACAAAGCCCTCCACCACCACCATCTTGAACGGGGATTGTTTTAACACAAGGAGGCACAGACGCCATCACTCGAACTCGGGTTCTCAGAATCCATTACAAAAATTTACGCGTAACCGATACAATAGAACATGATGGGCACGAAAAACGAAACACAGCGTGAGGTCCAAGTAACGAACGGCGCGATGTATGGATGGGTATCAAAAAAAAGTATGTAAGTACCACAACTTAAAATCTTCGTGCTCCTCCAACCAAACCCTCTATCGAATGGTGCTCCAGCTCATTGCGCGCCTTCATGATCGAGGCATGCATCTCTTTCATCGCATTTCCGAGCTTCACACCGAAACGACTGAGAATATCCCGTTGCCACGCGTCGTATTTGCCGTTTACTTTGGCTTGGACTTGCTCGTAATCCACCACACAGACACCGAAACTCAGTTGCGTTTCTGACGTGTCAAATGTCGCCCGTGCTTTCTTAATTTCTGTCAGAAGTTGCTGCCAATGCGCGAGGGAGTCTCCTAAACGATTGAAGACATATTCCGCCTCCAGATCCCACAGCGACTGGAACTGTAACCACTTGGCGACATAGTCTTTGAGCTTTTGAACTTTGAGTTCTATGAGAGAAAACGGTCGCTCTAAAGTGTTATCGGAGAATCGTGTGAGCTAGGTGGAGTTCTTAAGATTGTAGTAGCCTCGACATATCGTGGGAGATACGTACCAGGGAAGTATATGTTGTTTCTGATACTTGCGTGCCCTGCATCTGCAATCCAATCTCGTATCGAGAACTTTGAATACGTCTCAATCGGCAGATGACGCCTGTTCAAAAGATTAGTAAGGATTTGAATATTTGGAGATATCATACCATACGTACCTAACCAGTCATGCAATTGCTTTATCCAAGTCGCACGTGCATATTCTATAGGCGGATCAAGGAAGATCACTTGGTTCTGTATCCGAATCTCGTGAACGATGGGTTTTACAGTCATGTTACCCTCGGCGACCTATAAAGATGAGTCAGTACTAGCGTTGTTAACAACAACATACCATACCTTCTCCTCTTTCCCGCCTTTGCCAGCCCGTCGCTTGTTGATGATGTCCCGCGAAGGCATCGGATCTCGGCGCGCATCACCATCATCTGTCCGATCAAACTCAGAACACCAGACTTGGATGATATAGCCCAACCGCTGAAGCAAAATCCCTTCTATCCGTTTGTCAAGGTCAGCCACCCAGTGTTCAAGATTAGCATATCCCTCCAGATTCAGGCGATCAATCTGCATGTATTCAGCACATAAACTATAATGAAGAAGTAGAACACACAGCAGCTTGAATCTTGCCCAGAAGATCTGAAAATGCCTCGCTAGTATATGGGCATGTTGCGAGATCCTCGACTGCTCGAAGAATGTTGCGATACAGGTCAATGACATGGTTTGTCTTATCTTGTAGGATAGACACAACGCTTGCGAACTCCCGCACAAATTGGATATGTCGGTTCTCCCGTCCATCGGCACTGGACACGTACCGCGCGGTGTCGTATTGGTTGACAAAGTAATCCCATTTGATGTTCATACCTGGACAAAAAGCGTCAGAGCCCCAATATATCGATGTTTCGAGTCTCATCACCTTTGGCAACCATCCGCTGAGCCTCATTCCGATATTCAGCAACCAGCCACTCTATGCCCATGTTATTCTCTACCAGATCCAGAGTCTGTCCATAGGTTCTGACAGTTTCCATAAGGACTGACAGCATGCGGATATACTCGCTTCGCATCCTTCGCCATGTTCGTGGTCGCGTGTGGAACCTGGAAGTTTAGCCATAACAAATTACGAACCTCCTTGAAAAGTGTGATGATTTGGGGGTCGAAGTTTACTGCTAGTTGAAATCCTCCCCCCCGTAATCTCACGATCTCAAAGAGACGGCCATTGACACCCATGTCGCGCCGACCGATGTCTTGCAGCCACGCATCATACACTGGCCTTGTCTCTAGCTTCTTCCTGAATGCGGTGCTTTCTGACTGAAGCTTCTGACCCTCTGCATAGAGTTCCCAGCCCTTGCCAAGTACATCCTCCACTCGTTTCATGTAGGTGAGTAGCTGTCGTTCAATCTGTCGAGCCCAGATGATGGCACCTGCTATTGGTGGGAGGTCGCGCATTTGCGACATGTGATAGGCTTCAGATAACCGATATTGCGTTTTGAACTTGATGATCATCGTAAGTAACGTAGACGATACAAGAATATGTGCCTACCTTATCGTGAAGGCGCTTGATGTCCTCCTTTACTGAGTCGATGAGTTGAGTTTGATACTCTTGGATAGCTCCACGAATCTGCGGGATATGGCCTTAGACGAATGTTACACCGTTCCGCAAGATGAGCTACCTTCGGGCGAACAAAAAGTGCATTGAACTTTGAGAACACTCTGAACATTTCATTCGCATTTCTTGCCGTGCCTAGCCTGTCGCGTAGCCGTGCAATGATTTGGTTCTCGACTCTTGCGACCCGTTCATTGTATGCGTTCTCAGCAGCCACCCAAATTTCCGTGCCCTCTGCAAAGAGATTGAGGTGACTTCAAGAACGGCATGTCAAAATCAGGTACTCACCAACAGAAACATCGAGAACATCAATGCGTTTTACCACTTCATATGCCTCCTTCACTTCTTCCTCCATGTCCATTCCGCCCACCTCCTTAGTCATGCTCCCCAAACCCTTCGTGGGCCCCGTCATCACCGCCAGCTGCTCGTGCTGCTTCCTCCAGTCGCGCAAATACCTCGTCCGCTCCTGTAGTTTCGCATGCGCAGCAACAACTTTGATGGGGACAAACTTCTCTCCGCGTTTGCGCATAACCTCGCGAGCGACATTTGTGAACTCCTTGATAAGATCATCCCATGTCCGGAAGATGTTCATGGTCTGTCCGAGTAAGCGGTCAAAGGTCTCGTACGGAGTGTATGACAGTCTATGTGACGTCAGTACGCGCAATAACTGGTCGTTGAAATCACGAGAAATGGCCTCGACGAGGGGTAGTGCTCGACGGATTGGGTAGGGCGAAAGCTTGAGCTTGCGATTGATGTGTCCAAAGATGAGCACCAGTGACTCTTGAATTTTTTCGAGATCTGTTGCAGATAACAGCTCATTGAGAGGAAAGTCTTTCATGAGTTGATTGTATTTATGCACTAATGATACTCGTTAGCATCCAGTTGACGATGCTGGAAAGAAAGCGCACCAAGATCCGTAGAAGATTTCAGGCCAGTGTCCGTCATGAAACTGACTGTTGCAAGATATCGCTTCGCGTTTCGAAGGCATTCCATGACCATGGTCACTTCATCGCTGCGTAGCTGCGTCTCGATACCCTCCAGTGCGCGCTCAAGACTCAGCCAAAAATTGATTTCTTGCGAAGCAGTACCCGAGGAAACGTCACGCGAAAGCTTAGTGACTGCTTGAATAGCCTTGATCCACAGGTTGACGTGTCCGTGCAAAGCGTTGAGGAACGAACTCTCGTTTATTAGTTTTGGAGATATATGCGATATGTTTGGACGTGCGCCTGAAGCATGAGCCTAATGTTGTTGTCTTCAGCTTTTGAACGACTAATATTACTGAGAAACCGACCTGTTCTACGGCGCGCTGGATGGCTGGATGAATTATCAAATGCGTTTCAGGTATTTCCACGTTCTGCTGAAGGTGTAATAATGATAATTCCAGTTCTGCAAACTTCTTCTTGGTCATTGGTATCCCTATAAACGCAATTGAGTAAAGCCAAAGAAAGAAAGTAGAAATATACCCATTTTACTATCCCCTTCCTTGCCCCCACCCCGTGCTCCGACGAAAGCATCAAACCAAGGCTTAACACCACAGCTTACGACAGCATGCAAACTCTCATACGGCGTTTCTTCACCTCCAAACAAATTGAGGATATGTAGTTGCGTAGCAAGAGGTGCCACAGGATCCAAGGTAGGACCGCGTTTGATGAGGGCAAGAGATGTAACACTCGCAGGAGAATAAGTCAGATGCGAAGTTAGGTGGTATGAATAAGTCTGCGGCGCATCCTCTAATACGCGTCAGGGTAGTTTCTAAACTGAATGCAAAAGCTCACCCTCTGCTTCGTCCTTCGTTTTCACCACGTAAATCACGCCTCCACCCTCTGCCGCAAAGCGAGTGACTCTCTCGTCGAATTCTTCATCAAACAAGCTTACAAAGTCCTCGAGTGGAGCGCCAAGTACCGGTGGCAAGAGCGATTCGAGATATGCCCTAAAAAGTGAGGTGTCAAAAGGAGGAGGTGTATCTACAGGGCTGTCATGCGGGAGGGCACCGTTTGAATTCGTTAGAGGGGTTGTGGGGACATCTGGAGTGGACATGGCGGGTGATTCAGGACGGTCCAGCGGTTCAATAGACGAGATAGAAACGGATGAAGAATTCGAAAACCTTGGTGTTGAAAAGCTTATTCCTTTCCAGAACCCGGTAGCAGCACCTGCCAAACGTCTCGGGATAGCTTTCCGGTGGCTTGTGTAGTAAACCTGACCAAGAGCATTATCAGTACCCATTTTCTGAATGAAAGATATGCATATGTGGTAGAAGGGTTTGATTACCTTGACCTGCCACGTTCCACAAGAACGAGGCGCGAGCGCGTGAGCTGGTATGTACTTAGCTGCTGAAACGTCCAGTCGCGTTTCGAGAGACAACTCCAATTTCGCACTCCGACAACAGAAAAGTTAATTAACTTTACCACCTCTACGATGACGATGACGATGACGATAACGACGACAATATTAACGCGGTACAGCCGTAACTAGATCATTGGCTATGGAATGGGGTATGCCTCGTTGTAAATCCATCGTGACGGGATACACCCAGCTGAACACTCTGACGGGTGTTCTCTGTCCACTTTGAAAGGTGAGAGAAATATATTCAGATTTCCAACATTTTTAACTCAAACTCCAGGAGCGCAGGGGTGTGTGCATCATGCATAATTCAAATCACGTTTCATGTGCGACGTGATGAGCAATATGGAACTTACTACGAGCTGGGTGATGATATGCATAACATTGTACAGCATTCCCCTGCTCGCATTAGGTATCTTGAAAGATGTTCAAACATATGAATAGGCAAACGTGGAGGGAAAAGGATAACACCGACCGAATGGCTCGATTTTGAATGAGTTAAGTCTAAATCATTATCTCTTGTGGCTCTGTTGCAACGACCCAAACCCCTTCCTTTCTACCTAGTGTGAGAAGCACCAAGCACCATTGGATGCACAAACGACTATCGATATTGGTCCTATCATTCATGATGAATATCTCGTATTTCCTTCATTGATGTACGTATGTGACTTTTCTTCTTCAGTTTCGTTTTTTCTTACTCATTCATCTATGTATATAGAAAAGGTGACGCGTCCTGCAATCCAAGTGAAACATAGCTGACCATACATTAGAGAGAGGTGTCGGCCGTGCCGAGTTCTGAACTTTAGGATTCCTTTGAAGCACAGGATAGGTTGGATGATCAGGCAGATAATATGTTGCGCAACATGTAACATTTTATAGTCTGAGAATGGTGCTGGTGTGACTAGTAGTGCGGCTATTCCGTTAAGGGATAGCATAAGAGCACTTCTTCCACCCCGTCATCTTTCGGTGCGCAGAAAACCTCGATCCTTCTGGTCCGAAGTCGTACATCATGGTGGTGAAGGGAGCAAGCCGCCATACCTCTCAGGATGAATCACCGTATTCCGTATATTTACGAGCACGGCGTATGGAAGGGCTACGAAGACATATGAGAGGGCAAGGATCCACTCGCACTTAGTGCGGCACAGTTCGCTACGGCGTACTTGCGCAGAACAGGACCCCCATTTGCTCAACTGGGTGTCGTCCGGAGGATCGATAACCGGTGCGCGCCATGTGGTGTGCATACTTTGATGTGAGGCCAGACGATAATGGAAAGTTTGATCTGGAGTTTATTGCGGAAACAGTACGCGTGCAGAAATGCCCGAACTCGGGTAGGAATGGGTGCGGAGTAGTGTAAGGTCTGGGTAGGATAGTCCTTTATCGACAGAGTAATCGGTGCACATGTCACATTGTTCGTGCTTTCCTGCAGTTTATTTCTGAACTTCGTGTCATAGATATAATTTACGATCTCATTAGCAACATGACAAAAATCACGCACAAATAATTGCACTTCGGCCCCTCTAAGAATCCTGCGCACACTGCGTTGAGCCCTGGTAAACACGAGGTAAATCAACTCACGTGTTCTGATAGTATTACATGCACGACTCGAAGCAACATGACGTGGGAATCATTAGCGCACACCCAAATGCAGATGAACTCAAAATAAGACACCTCCTTGTAGCGTTCCCTTGCCGCTTCGATATCACGAAACGCAAGCTAACACAACACGAGTATGAGGGTGATTTGATATAAAGATACACGATGCCACTTCCATTCAACGTGATATCCTGTGTATCGCAGCCACACAATATAAGCCGTCAGCACTTGACCATATATGCTATACCAGAGAAAGCCGCACCATTACATCACAGAATCGATTAGACCACGATCTTGACGGACATGAATAGAAGTGCACAGCACTTGAATGGACCCTGCACCTTGTCAGACGCCAGACGCAGGCACTCCCGCGTGAGGCTAGCAAAGACATCACGAGAACCACGAAACGCGTCCAACACGCGCGCGCCTTAGCTCGCGAACAACATGTGTCCACCTGCGTGGCACATTGTACATATACCATGACCTTTCAACCCCAACGCCCATGAATTTTGAATCCATAGCCGTCGATTCCCATTCACCGCACATGAAAAGATTCGTCAATCCCGAGAGGCGAGAAGACGCACCCCCAGACTTTGTGGCGCCGCCTCAGGTGGTCGAACCGCAACAACAGCAACGACAACCTCAACAGCAACAACAGCAACCATCACCGAGTGCGAGCCACCCAGAGATCTATGAAAGACGGTGACTAACACAGACCACCACCCCGCAGATATCCCACCAAAAGATATTGCCCAACGGCCTGACGATACCAACAGACAGCTTGCACCGGTCATGCTCACCCCAGAAGACCGCGAACGCAGCCGCTCGAACCAGCGCCAAGCCCCGGCAGAAGACAAGGGTAAACAACGTGCACCAGCAGAACTCCTCTCTGAGGACCGCGCCAAGCGAAGCCCAAACCCAGTAGATGACCGCGGAAATCAACGTGCACCAGAGTTCCTCTCTGAGGACCGCGCCAAGCGGAGCCCGAACCCAGTAGATGACCGCGGAAATCAACGTGCACCAGAGTTCCTCTCTGAGGACCGCGCCAGGCGGAGCCCGTACCCAGTAGATGACCGTGGAAAACAACGCGCACCAGCAGAGCTCCTCTCTGAGGACCGCACCAGGCGGAGCCCAAACCCAGTAGATGATCGCGAAAAACAACGTGTACCAGCTGAGCTCCTCCCCGAAGACCGTGACCGCGCGAGACTGCGCCCACCCACTACAGAAGACCGCAGCAGACAACGCGGCCCCGCAGAGGTCCAGCAAGCCCAACAATACAACGAGCGTTCCCCTCTCTTCACGCCCCCTCAGTCGGTATACGGAGGTGCAGGGTCAAGCCGCGGGCATGAGGACATATAGTCGCCGCCAGCCCTCGCCCGCCGACTCAGATGACATTGTCATGGTAGATAACCGCGCAGAGTCCCAGCCCAAATCAAGCTTTTGGGCGCGCATCACAGGTGGTGTAAAAGACAAAGTCCGAGCCAGAGCCTGCGAATGCACGCACGCGCGGCCGGCTCCCCCCACAGCCCTCCCGTCCTAATGTCGTGCTCTTCGGAGAGCGCGGAGCAGGCAAAAGCTCGCTCATTAACATGCTCGTCGGCCGGGATGTATCATCTCCATCCAACCCAGACCTCGCACCGTTTGCGAGTAGGGGGTACGCTGTCGACGTGGGGGGACGGGAGGTGGTGATATGGGACTCGGTTGGGCTGCAGAAGGGGGAACATCACAATAAGCTGTCCGAGGGTGCTGAGAAGAACCTGCAGGGGTTGATACAAAACATTCATGGCGGCCTCAACCTCCTCTTGTTGTGCGTCAATGCCGCGCGCGTAAGCGAGGCTCTAGAAATCAATTACGACGCATTTTTTGGCATTATCGGAGGCAAGAAAGTGCCTATAGTGCTCGTTGTGACGGGTCTGGAGAACAAGGATCCGATGGAGGGGTGGTGGAAGGAGAACGAGGCGGAATTTAAGAGGCATGGGCTGACGTTCGATGGGCACGCCTGCATTACCACCACAAGAGGGAAACCACTCAGAGACGGTCCTGGGCACCAGCATGACGAGCAATATGAGCAGTCCACTCTGGCCGTTAAAGAGCTGATCAAGGCAAAACTTGGGGCGGCCATTATCATTCGGGAGGAAGGGAAATTGGCGGAGTTGACAGAGCTCTTGCGAGAGCAAAATGTGAACGCGACGGGCCAAAACACAGATAAAAACAAGAAGGGGTGGAGTTTAGGAAAAACGGGGGGCACTCGAGAAGTACGTAATGGCTACGGAAGCACACATGACGAGCAGTGGGACGATAACAGAACGGACAGAGTAGAACGAGAGGGAAGGACTGCCGCGTTAGCATTACTGGGTGGGTTGTTTGCCGTCTTTATTTGCCTACATTCAGGTATCGTCAATTGTGTTTGATTACGAGACATGCATGAGCGTATTCATATACCTATCACACTCACTCATTACATTGAACGGTTTAATTTACACCTGTTGCAGGCGCAAAAAGTTGCTAAGTCCGCTCCATCTGAGAAAGAACGATCATGTAGTGATTGGACATTGGTAAAGCAATAATATATACATACTTTGCATCTATGAGATACACCTCGCACAAATCGATCTTTCATACATATCACATAGAGCACGCACGGCTTACTAGTATTGCGGCTCAATTAAAGCAACACAAGAATGGATAGCTCGCGATGCGCACCCATATTTTTCTTCCTGGGAGCAGACTTGACTCCATCATTCTTTTCCTCCTGACTTCTTTAACAGCAAAGCTCAGCAAGATGTAATCGTGATGCCGTTCGAATTCAGCGTGCACTGTGCACTGTACAGAAGAATGTGTTCATAAGTTTGAGTTTGAGGGCATCTGAGCATCAGCCTGTCACGTTGTTACAGTATTTGTCACGTGTGACGTCTATTTTCGCGGGTTTGCATCTCGACAGTCTTGGTACTAGTATGTGGCACCTCGTAGTAGAGATTTCAAGAGCATAAGCTAAGATAAACCTTTCAAATTGAGAGCCTCCAGGTTGGCGTCACTTGCAGCTCTGACTGAGTTATGCCAATCACGTGATGTTGATATTTTTGTTTCACAATTTATTTACCTGCTCGAATTTGAATTTACCATCGTCAAATTGATGCAAATTATCAACGGGAAAGATGATCTCGAGGCTCACGGCAAGTTTGGTAAGTAGTAACTGACAACTTACAATTCTGAGGCAGCAGCTTGACTTGTACAGCTACTAGTACTCACGCAGATATGAATCATCAGTATAAGGATTGATTCAGTTATTCTGCCGCTTCATACCTGCGTGAGTAGTGACTCAGGACAGAATCATCCAAGGTAGTTGCATGAAGAACATTTCTCCCTATCAGAACAACTCTTCATGGTCACATTGATCGTTTGAGATCCACGTGTTTGAATTCTGCAGTGGCTCACTCACTGGCAGACAGACTCGCACCCGCCTCGATTCACTCCAGTTCGATTAATCACTGACACGAGGACGGCAGAGTATGTGTGGTATGATGACTGAAGGAGTTATCAGGGTCGCTTTGAAGCCCGGAATGGAGGAACCGTTCTCCTTGCGTTCAAGTTATGCGGTCGATTCCTCAAGATAGGAAAAATCTGGCTGGGTCTCTCATATCGGACATTAAATATCGGCAACCGCAAGAAGAGGGATCGAGGCAAGTCCGTCTACATTTAGGTATCTTATATCCATTTAAATTTTATGACAGTCTTAATAGGGGAACAAGCCGAGAGAACGGGCACACGAGTTCCATGTTATAGTGAACAAAGACTCCACACGAACCGGATCATCATCAAAGACCATCGTGATAACTTGACAATCGTTGAGCTGCTGCTGCAGACAGACCTACCGAAGAATGTCCTCCTGCACCTCAAGTTGGTCTATGGAGAGCACAGGCGACTCCAGAAGATGTGGGTTTTGTGCACTGTTGACAATAATTAATCTATCTCTATCATCGTACTTATGCCTTGAGCAGCATCGCCAGACGTAGAGTTCTTCGTCATCAAGCGCCCTTCGCAGGGAATCTTCAGAAAACTCTTTCAATCTCGAACTCCTGTGCGCTATTTCGACTCAGCGTTACGTATCAACCGATCTACCCTCACGCATGTCAAGGCGAGTGGTCATTGAAATTCATGTCGTGTTAGAAGCCTGGCTTATGGCCTCTATTAAGAAAAAAATTCAAGCATTGATTATTCGCCATTTGGACCTATCCAAATTGTACGGGGATCTACCTCAATCTCGCTTGGATTTTTTGAAACGCGAGGTAAAATATATTCTGGCAGAACACCAGCATGTTCGAGTCTGAAATCTGGATTGCAGGTACTACTGGACGCAGAATTATCGTTTCTGACACAATACGAAGATGGTTGGGCAGTTGATGTTCTGGTTCGTAACTTATATTACCGACGTCGTAGAATGGCTGAACAAAAGGTGATTTACCCATCTTCTGAGGACTGATAATAGATTGTGCTAATCTACGACAAACAGCTCAAACTGGCTTGGAACGCACAGGTTTGTATTCCCTATTCCACCGCAAATTTCATCACCCAACATATCTTACAGTGTCCGTGTAATCAAAGGTCGTTCAACAGTCGTTCTCGCGTTCCTCGAGATCTAGGCCCACGAACCAGACGTACCCAGACGAACGCCTCGTCGCGTGTAGCTCTCCTATCAACCCGCTTAGATTCAGCAACACCAAGTCTTCTTCGTTTTCATCGAGCCATCGTCCGCGCCGGCCTCTGTACGGACCACCATCTACAGCAACTGTTCCGGATGTCGGCCAAATCGAGGGACAAATTCATTCTAAAAGCGCTAGGGAAGTCAACCTTATTCGAACGAGTTGCAGTGTTGGATATTTTGGAACGGATGAACAAAGAGCAAATGTAGTTTGTAGATAATGAACTAGCATTCTGCGGGATGATACAGAACCTCTTGTATCATAGTACATAAATACCGCACGCGCATGCGAGGATGTGGAAGTCAATTGGTCAAAATGCGACCGTTGTAAGGAAGGCCCCAGAAAACCGGCAGAGTTGAGTGAACTCTTGCGATAGCATGCCTTCACTGTACAGCAGCCAAAGTTCCTTTTTGTTTGGTGCATCTATCTTGTAAATTACGAGTAATAGCACCTGTTGCAGATAGAAGGGCCTGATACTTGCTGAAGCTGAGAAATCCAGCGGCCACTGGGACTATAGTAGTATACATCATACAAAGCCTTTTTACACATCGTAAGACTAGCTCCTCTTCGTTCGCAAGCGAGCGGATTACTTGTTTCATATAAATTGTCTATTTCATCAAACTTATCATAAATTAGAGAAAGTTCGACATACTTAGCCCTAGTAATGCGAAGGGTCGCGGAGCCCGCTACAATCGAGACTTTTTTGAGTCATGATGCAAATTGATTGGTGTTACAGATACATGTATCCTATACATACCAGTGAATGGCGAAATTGAAGTGATTTTTTTCTGCTGGTATTGATGCCACAGATATAACCAGCGAAGTCGCGAAACGGGGGCGGTTGGTACAAGTACAGGCCGGTGTTCCTGAGAGCGTCATAAGTCAGTCTTTCTCCTTTCCTTTCCCTCTCTTGTTCTTCTGCCCGTTCGTTTGCGAGGTTTTATTGGTAGGATTCACCTCAACGTCGAATGTTGAGAAGCCTGCAATCCGAATCATCTCTCGACATGTCAGTTGAGGTCGTTGACAGTGGGGATAAAACGTTTTTCGACAGGTTCATCAGAAGGTTGCAGGACCTTTAAGGCTTGCATATCGAGACTCGAGCTGAAAAGTCTGAAGGGCCCGTCCGAGGTTCACTCTGGGCGACGGACTGTTTAGCATCATGTTTGTACACGCGGGTGTCGCAGGTGGCGAGAACAAACGTAACGGGTCTCAAGTTTCATGCATCGGGATTACTCTGATTCCGTTTTCTGTTGTGTTGTAGATATTTAGCTGCTTGATCTTGTCTTGTTTCAGCTGAAGGTATGTTCCAGGGTAGTGAGTGAGGATTTTCGGATTCAAGTCATATAGCGCTTCCTGAGTGACCTGAGCAGGGTCAGAGACTCGGTGTGCAAAAATCGAACGTTTGCTCCCGTGCTCGAGCTCACTATAGATCCATATAACTTGAGGACATAGCCGTGGTCTGTTGTCCCACCACGTTGTCATTCGCTTTGTTCGTCGAGGAGTTTATCTACCCGAAAGCCATGGACAACTGCCAATTCATTTAGAGCTGGTCTGAATAAGCCTTCGTAACCACCAAAGATTATCCACAACATGTTCATCTTGCCGAAGGAGAGATGAACATGTTGAAGATAACCTCGCTTGGTTGACATTAGAAGAACTTGTTTGAGTAGATCCCGCCTGGGTAGCTGTAACTTCTCCATTTGTAACATCAAGCAAAGGAGAAGGTAGAATCTCTACAAATGATCATTCAGCCATATGAAAATGATTCGACGAATACATATACCTCCAGGCTGAAAATTCCAACAATACCAGCAAAAAGGCGTGCGACATCCGTTTCTGAAGGCCGAAAAAATGGGACCATTCGAATCCCTCATTCATATAGATAGATCAACCGTCAATGGTAGGAATGCACGCCAGCCCTCTACAGCCACTCCGTGATGGTGGGTGACAGAACGCGCCACATTGCAATTATGACAACGACACGGTTGAACTAGGACTCGCAGCATCAACACCAATAACAAGAGGGATATCACAGAAAGATCCGAGGGAAGACATAAGTCGAAGCATAAATCGATGTACACAGAAGGTGTCAAGGTGACCGTTTCAGAGTGGAGCAGTGGCTGGGAAGGATGGGTTTTCCGTCATGTGACAACTCCAAAGCGCGCGCTATCCAAATTTAAACCCAGATTTACCAGTCCATCTATAATCGACGGCTTGCCTCATTAGACGGACTCAAGACGGACTGGTCACCAGTCTACCTACACCATGGGCCGTCGCAAACGCGCTACCTCTGTTTCATCGTCCTCAAAACCCGACAGTTCTAGCTCATCCCAGTCTGTAGTAGCTGTACCTCCGAAGAAGATCTCGAAGAAAGTCACCCGGCCAAAAAAAAGGCGCCGTTCATCTGATGATGAGGAGAAAGTGACGTAAGTAGATTTATAGTCAGTTTGTTTTGATGTTGTGATCACTAATAATGCTTTAATACAGGAATATGGAGCCTGAGACTGACCCTCACGAAGAATTTGTTGCTGCATCGCGTTGTATAGCGCGCTGCATTGACGTGTTTTGTAAGACAGAACAACTTATCACTGTAGGTCTTTCTCTGCAGCAGCGTGACGCTGCAGAGAATGGTGATTTCTTGGAAGACGAAGATCTCCGGGCTAGTCGCAACAAGCGACTCTCGAAAATGTAAGTCACTTTTGAATCTCACCATTAACTGAATCTTTTCTTGCTCTACAGGTCACCTAAGGTCCAAGAGCGATATAAGAGGAATTTCGCTCGGCTGCTTCAACTCGCTCCGAGCTTGAAACCTCTACTTGGCGACCCTCGGAAAGCCTCAGAACTTAATGCCATCACCAAGAAGGTGAGTATACGCGCATATATGAGCATGTTATGTACTTATTAATCCATCAGATGGATGCTACTATCTCGGCTACTCGTTCTGAGGATACTTCACGCCTGAAGAGCCAAATCGGCCATTATGCGGCCTTCAACACTAAGGATCACGCAATATGTCCAGCTATATACAACGGAAGTGGTTCACGTACTCACATGGGTATCAACCATCCTGTTCTAACGCGCTTTCTCTGTCCGGTCAGGGAACTTAAGAGATTTTCAGAGGACGCCGACAAGTGAGTTTTTTTTTTTTTCAAAGGCTAGTCTAACATCTTGCAGGGCACTTAAAGACATACAGTGCGGCAAGGTTAACTTGACCGCATCCGCACTTCCCGCATTTCTATGGGCCGGAGACCCACCAGGTAAAGACTACGACGATGACAACATGTTCGAAGGCATGTTTGATGGCTACTTATTGGAGCGGGTAGGCATTTTTTTCGGTGTTGTTTTAGATTGATATTGATATCTCTTTGTTTATTAGACTATGCGGCACATTTTTACAAGTCCCTCAAGTGCATATGGGGGAGAGACGCGTGCGACACGCACCTGCAACGCTGCTCTACACAACATGACCACAGTGGAAGCAGCGCATATAGCCTATGGTTGTTTACAGGTTTGATCATTTCAAACTTACATACTGGCTAGTCACTCAATTTTGTCCAGGTTCGTTTTGGTATCAGCGCTAAGAACGCTTGGTCCGAAATTGATGGTGCTTTCAACTACCGGGACTTCTACAACAATGTCGTCGAGCTTATCGAAGATTCACCTGATCCGGAATGGAAGGAAGAATTCCTCAAAGCTTGGAACGTGTGAGGTTTTGTTATATTCTTAAAGCTTCGCACTAACTCTTATTTATGTAAGGAAACTATTCAAGAATGAGGAAGGCCGTGACAGCAACAGGACTCAAGATAATGACAAAGTCTCTGCCTCTCGTGAAAATAGAGATAACGACTTAACGAGATTCCACGCTCAAATGGCAGCACGTCGTGCAGCGAAGGTAGTCCTAACTCCAGCTCCACCCCATGAGCCGACTCCAGCCCCTTCTACTCGCGAGCCAACTCCACTTCCACCTCCCCTTGCTCCTAAACCTAAGTCAGTTGCCAAGCCAAAGTCAGCTGCCCCTGCTTGTGAGTCTACTCCAGTCCCTCTTGCTCACTAATCGGCTTACCTGCGTGTCTTGCGCACCCTGACCCAGATTCTGTACATGCCGCGTCACATGCCCCAAGTGATCTGACAGAGGCTGAGTAAGGATTCCGAACCCGTCCAGATTGCGGCCAAACGCAAGACTAAGAAGGTAAGTCCGAAGTGTGCCCGAGTTTGTACTAAATCTAATGTTCTGCAGGCTGGCAGCTGTTCAACAAAGCGCAAGGCACCTGCGCAAAAAAGTTCGGGAAAGTAGCCATTCGACCCTTAACACATCCGCATTTCCTGTCATTCGCATTGCTCGCGGGCCGTCAAACGATAATCGTGTGTTGTTTTCGTGTTCTTGCTTTCATTTTCTCGCTGTCCTACACTACTGAACTGCTGTATTATTGACCTACTCATAGATTTCTCGTAGTCCCGTTCTGGCGTCCATTCTCGATTACCTACATTCCCATACATAGGCTCGGAACAATACACCCAGTTGTACCTCACTACTTTGTACTGTCGTGCTTTTAATGCAATATTTCATTATATCGGAATGCAATTGCAAACCTGCAATGGCTGATCACTCCGAGCGATGTTCAAATGCCTGATACACACAGAAATGTCTAATATATCGGAATGCTATATCAACGCGAGACTAATATAGTCATGACAGTTAGAATGGCTGAATCGAGTTTCCTAACATTGTCCGACATTGAGGACCAGTGCCATTTGAGTGCCATACCTATATCATTATGCCAAGTATGGTAGCTCTTGCCAGTCTTATACCCTTATCTGAGTTGTGTGATGACATAAGGCTTCCAGTAACTTTCAAACTCGAATCAATGCGAGATGACTGATGTGATCAGCCTACTCACATTCCCAGATACATCCAAGGCATTCACAGCCTACCGGTCTACAGTAGTTGACGTTGACAATCAGGCATCTCATCCACGCAAGACCCCACGCTTGGACGCCGACTCTGACTCGGGTTCTGCATCCAGAGCGCGCGATGCTGTGAAAGGCAAGAATGTCGACAGAGGAGGCCCAGTAAGGATTCAGGTTCATGGCTTTACAGGTTCGCGTTTCATTTTGTTCTTGAGGGGGTGGCACTCATGGGAGGACGGTGAATATTGTAGGCGGTACCGTCGGATCTGCGTTGAACAAGGTTTATGATAGCTTGTATGTGCGGCTAGCGCGCAGCATCAGGGCACTCTTGGAGAAAGGATCTGGTGAACTGGGTACGACATATGAGGGTGTCTACACCGCATGCCGGGGCATTGTGTGTATTGCTGGGAGAGGCGAGGGCCTATATGAGATGTTGAAAGCCGAAATCCACAGATGCGTCAATCGCCTGGCGGAAGAGCTTGAGAAAACAAATAAGGACGGTGTTGAGTGGATCGGACAATTCGTCGAGACGTGTGCATGGTTTGAGAGACAGGTAGTGAGTGACATATAACGAGTTTGGGGTCATTGATTCACGGATTCACGTCAAGGCCCTACTAGAATCACTCCTTACCTACCTCGATCGTGCTTATGTGCTCAAGAATCCTAGTATTCTTTCTATTCAGTGAGGTTTCCTCCACGAGAAACTATCTCCATGTGCTGACACTCAGAACTTTAGTGACCTTGCATTCACTCGTTTCAGAGAACGCATATTTAGCGGTTATTTTATCGTGGAAAAGCTTCAGAAAGGCATCTCCACATGGGTCACATGGGAGAGGAACGAAGGGTACGCCCTTCGATGTTCATACCATCCGTCTGTGTCTACACAATACTCACTCATCAACCAGACAAGTACATATCCAGCGCCCCTTCCTGAAAGAGCTTGTTTCCCACCTCATCACACACCACGTATACGATGCCATCTTCGAACGACACTTCGTCGAGCAGACTCAGGAGTACTTCTCAAAAGAATCGTATCAGATGGTCGAGGTCGAGAAAGCCAAGGCGAAGGTATTCCTTGCGCACTGCAATCAGCGGACGAATGAGGAGCAGGGTAGAGCGAGGGCTGTCATGCTTGATGGTACTGTCGCGCTTGTCAAGGATGCCGCCATTCGGGCGCTTTTCGAGGGGAGGCTAGAGTGGATGGCTAAAGAAGGTTGGTGTGACCGGGTTCATGGGGTCGTCGTGTTGACATGATTATGCAGTATTCACGGAGTGCAAGGGCACTGCTGACCTCAAGAAAACGTATGCGCTGTTTTCATCGGTAGACGGCCTGCCCGTGCTGTGCCGAGAGTTCAAGGCTTATGTCCAAGTAGGTGTCTTATCATCCCTTTTCCCGAACTTGCGCTGATATATTCACGCTCTAGAAAACAGTTCAAGATATCGTGAAAGATGCATCCAAGGACGACGAGATGGTCAACCGTCTCCTCGAATTCAAATCCTTTGCGGATATAACACTCAAGGAAGCATTCGTCAATCCGTCCACTAAGCAGACCAACCAAGACTTTTCCTACGGACTCATCGACGCGTTCACCAAAGGGTTCAAGGCGCGGCGCAATAAGCCTGCTGAGCAGATTGCGAAGCATATCGATAGACTCATGCGCCATGGACAGCGAGGCGTGTCGGATGCTGTGTTTGAGGCGTTGCTGGATGCTGCTCTTGCTCTCTACAGGTTTACGGATGATAAGGATGTGTTTAGAACATTTTATCATCGGGCGCTAGCGAAGAGATTGTTGCTGGAACGCAGTGCCTCTGATGATTTTGAGAAGGCCATGCTCAAGAAACTCAAAGAGAGTATGTGATAGTGCTTCTTGTTTTTTGAATTCGCGTGCTGATCGTTGTTGGGCAGAATATGATCCAGAATTTGGCATGGGAGATCATATGTTCAACGACCTTGCGTTGTCGCGAGATATCATGCGGGAGTACCACGCTCGTATCAGGGATGACAGCTCCGCAAAGAATCTTTCTGTCATGGTTTTGCAACGAAGCGTCTGGCCGTTCCTTGCGCGAACGACAGACGTGGACTTGCCTTCTTCAGTGAGCGATGCGGTTTCCGGCGTTCGCGTGAGCTAATGGTAATGTCATAGATGCAAGTAGATCTGAACCATTACACGACTTTTTACAAGATCAAACATCAGGGGCATAAACTCGATTGGGATCATTCGCTTGGAACAGCTACGGTCAAAGCGTGGTTTGCGGCCGGTCCTAAAGACCTTACGGTCAGCTTATACCAAGCTGTTGTGTTACTTCTCTTCAACAAGGAAACAGAGATTGGCTACAGACAGATCTTAGAGGAGACGCGTATGGGCAAGTATCGTTCATTGTTCAGTTTTATGAGATACTGACAGGAGTTTCCAAAATAGACGATGGGGAGCTGAAGAGGACGTTGCAGAGTCTGGCGTGCGCGAACAAGAAGGTGTTAAAGAAGCGTCCGGCGGGGAAGAATGTGAACAATAACGATGTCTTTTACTTTAATCCGGAATTCACTGATCCGCGCGCGAAAGTGCACATCAACTCCATTCAGGCGAAGGAGACGGTATGTTCCTCTTCTTGCGGTGGAGCGCATCTACACCACTGATTTGGTTGGTTGTTCTGCTTAGGCTGAGGAAAGCCAACGGACTCAATCGCACATCGAGGGAGACCGGAAGCACTATTTGGATGCAGCGATTGTGCGAATTATGAAAGCGAAGAAGGAGCTTTCGCATGAGCAGTTGAAGAACGAGACGATTGATGCTGTGAAAAGTCACTTTGTGCCAGATGTGAGCGTCATTAAGCACCGGATTGACGGGCTGGTTGAGCAGGAGTATTTGAGACGGGATGAAGAAGATCGTAATTTGTATATTTACGTAGCGTAGGGGCGCATGATATGTATTGACGACGTGATATGGTTGCATCGTTTTTTGATCACCATAGCTCAACGTTCATGTCTGTCTTTTGAGGGTCATTTAGCGTGAGAGGTCGCGAGGAAAAGCACTTTCCTCTTTGACAGCCTCTACATCATACACCAGTGTTTTTCATGGCTCTCACTACCTTTCTTTCTGGCTGAACGGTGTCTTATATCTGCTTGGGCGCTGTCGTATAATGTAATTGGTCCACTGAGATAGGTCCGAATCACGGGATGGGTCCGACCGGGCCATCAGCGTTGTCCAGCATGGTCCTCAGAAACTCGGATATTTTTCGATGAAGGTTCTCTAGGGATCAGTAAGCTATTTGCATACCAGCGAGAAAACGATGGCTTACTAGCACGGTCGACCGCTTGGATATATTCCTCATTTGCGTCTTGCATTTGTTGTTCCAGTGCTTGAAGTCGGTTTGCCTGTGCCATAGTTACATTTCAGCTGCATCAAAACCTACGCGCGCCTGACCTGCTGTTGTTCTGGTTCAGGGACCGGTAATGACTGGATAAGATATTCAATTTGTTTTGCCTTGACGATAAGGTCCTGAACAAGCTCGTTCGTGTTTGCTGAAAACCTGTTTAATCACCACTGACTGCGCGCATGCCTAGTCACACACCTTCGAATAATTCTGGGGGATCGTACTTGTCCGGATTGCGAGTCTTTGTTATGGGTATCTGCTCGCTGACTTGCAGGAACGTAGACCTGGTGGTGAGGTAGGCGATGGTGCTTGACATGATTGTCAGGAGCTGCAACGTGTTGTTTAGGATTTTAAATTTGGTTAAGAGGGAATGGAGAGCCCACGCGTTGTATTTCATCTTGAAGTTGAGTGATACGGTCCATGTGCGAGAGTTCCTGCAGCATGGCGCTGCCGGAGGGGCAGGGAGCTTGTGTGGCGAATCTTGGATTCTTGGTTGTACGTTTGACAGCTTGGATCGTGACGCTTACTCATCACACCTTCATCTACTACAACCATCATGGGGAATGATGGAGGCAGCATTCCCGACAGACGCGACCTCGTAAAGAACAAAAAGAAGGCAGAACAAGCAGACAAGGCAAATCAGACTCGTGCTATATGGTTTTTCTGTGCTCTTTCAAAGGTGAGTATCTTTTGTTTTCGCTGCTGAATGCTTCTGATAGACTTCTTAGCGTCCCTTGCAAGAACCTATCGTGTCGTGTGCTCTTGGGAAACTGTATAACAAGGATGCTATAATCGAGAATCTACTTGATAAGACTGCCTATGGAGATGCGGAGAAAATATGCGGACATATACGTTCGCTGAAGGTGCGTGATAGCTCTGGTGTCACCACTAACACTCAACTGACCTATAACTCGATAGGACATTAAAGTTCTTAAACTAACCCCAACATCTCCACCACCTCCACCTGATTCATCTGCTGATACCGCCAAGTTCGTGTGCCCGCTCACGTTCAAGGAAATGAACGGCGGACAGCCCTTCGTGTACATTTTGACTTGTGGATGCGTTTTCTCTCAATCTGGTCTGCGTACCGTCCTTGGTTCATCGCCTTCGAACGGAAATACTGCAGCTGGAGAAAGTTCAGCTCCTGGGGACGAACAGCTAGAAGTCTGTCCACAGTGCGCGACCAAATTTTCTAGGTCGTCTGACATTTTCATGATAAACCCACCCTTGGAAGAGGAGGAACGTATGTATGCTGCGATGGAACTTCGTCGTTCATTAGAGCCTATGAAGAAGTCAAAGAAGCGTAAGACTGGTGCAGATGCTGTGGCTGACGAGGTCGCTACCAAGAAGAAGAAAGCATCCACAGAGAGTCACTTGCCTTCTCCAGCACCTGGTTTGAACCCGAAGATATCTGCAGCATCACGATCTCTTGCTCAAAGCCTTGCTGCGGAAGAAGCGAAGAGGAAGGCTGGCATGAGCGATGCGGTCAAGTCGTTATACCGGGGCAAGAACGATGCTCCCAGAAAGGAAACGTTTATGACTATGGGTACTTTTACAAGAGTGAGTCGCTCATCTGCTCATCGCATTGGTTCGCGACGCTAACTTGGGCTCTGTGTAGTATGCGTAAATAACGACTTTCATCGAGTGTAGTTCTGTGTATGATACTATAATTTATGTATATTCTACTAGTCGTTGGCTTCAATTCGATTTCTTCATACTGGGCAATTTGCAAGAATATTTCGATCTTAGGATACCCGACCTTGTATGTATCCACTCGTGTTGCTGTTTTCTGACAATAACTATGCTACAGTACAACCTGTTGCACGATTGCAGCATCTCAAGGGCTGATGGTACTTATTGGCTTAGTAGTCATTGAGTGCGATGCAGGAAGGTATGTAGAAGTCCTGCCCAAGGTGGCTGACAGCGATGAACTGCGTGGGAACAATGATTATGATGCTGGCGCGGACACGTCGGATATCCCAGGATCGAGATGTCCTCCCCAAATCAGCCTCGAAATCCAGCTTTGAACTCCCCGTCGCATTTAGGATGGGATGAAGGAACATAGGTGCGCATACACTTGAAACTGAGAACGTAGACGTTGCAGCAGGACATCACTCGGCCTAGCGCTGACTCGCCATAGCGCGAATCGTCTCATAATGGACAACCCTGAATCACCGAGGTGGAGCACCGCGTTTTAATGCTCGAGCATTTGTAGAGTCTGTAAAATAAATCTGGAGGGAGGTAGAGGCGGAGGGTGCACGTACGGGTGAGGCGGACATACTCTCCGAACCATTTGCCTTGCAACATGTATTTATGATAAAGGAAGCACACGACAGATACGCATGCACGCACTTGGAACCGGGAACCCATACGTTACAAATATCAAGCAATGGATAATCAGTACTATGTGCTATGTATGTAGCAAAATTCATGGGAACCTCTGCCCGAATTTCAACAGAGCTGCATGTCTTCTCATTATAAAATTTCTTCCGAGTATAGTTTCAGTGCTAACGAGAACAAGTATAAAATTAATGCGGTTGAGTTGAAAAGGCCTCAGACACGAACACCTCCTGTTGCGGTGAGTAGCCCTCTTCCACCACACCATCATCGCATTTCATTGAACCGACATATAATAGCTCTTCAAAGACTTTGTCCGAGTCATAGCAACTTCACGCACATTGCGCAATCAGACTTTTGTCGGTGTGTGGTTTCCTCATATGGTCACATCGTAGGCTGATGCACATGAGTTATACCAGATACAATCCATACCATGAAGCTCGTTCAAATCGTTTATCTCACAATCCTTGCCATTCCCAGTGCTATGTTTACCCCAGTGGCACTGGCAGTGAAACCTCCGAGTCACGGTGGTAATAATGTATTCTGTGATCCACCATACGTCCACTCTAAGGACTCTTTGGTAGGGTGCAGCCAAGGGAAAATGCCTATGCAGGTCTCTGATGCTAACGGACAGTTTTGGGCATGCTGTGTAAAAGTGTGACCCTCGCCAAAAGCCATCATGCTACTTTAGTAGGTGATGGCAACCAATATCCAGTGTTGCCCTCATAGTTCTAGTGTTTCCTTTTTCTTCCATACTATTCTCTACCTACAGTATATAAGCAGCTTACTTAGTACTTGTAGGGCATTCAATCTTTTCCCCACAAATAGACTTAAGTTTGGACAGTTACCTTATCTGAAGCCTGAGTATATTCGACATCATGTGTATACACTTTCGAAGTGTTACATATTTTTAACTGCTATAAAATCTGAAGTCTATTACCTCACTATAGTCATTGTCAAGGAGACCTGATCACCCTCCAGAACCTTGACTCTTCTATCAACTAAGAAAATTCCTATACCGACTTCAATATTGACAAAAATGCCAACTAGTTTGCAACCTGCTGCACCTTCTTGCCTCTTGACTAGGTCAAGAGGCTCGAGTGCAGCTGCCTGCACTCTTGACCAAGAGCTCAAGAGTGCTGAGGCCTGGGACAGCTTAGCTGTGCCCATGACTGCCAGCCTCACGGCCACCCCTCTCCGATAGCGATGTGCTGGGCCTGGCCTGGGATTTTGGAAAGCCCAGTGTAATGATGGTAGCGGTGCTGGGCTTGGAACCACGGGTTTTCATACTCACATCAACACCCAAAACATACACGCACATGTCCGAGCCACTCCGCATCGAACCTTCAGATATCGCATCAGCCGATCACACTTCATGCACACTTGTCCATCCTGTGTCCTGTCCATCCGAACTAGCCTCACTAGGTGTGTAGTTATTTCTGTGCATGTTTTCTGACATTCAGACCGCGTTATTACATGTCCGCAGCACCTCGTGTCTTATTACATAGGACATTGGACCCAAAATATATCACTACTATCTTTGCCTGTAGTATTCTGGATTTCTACGTACTTACTTAAATACTCTGTAGTAACCTGTAGCAATTAGGATCCAGTAGGGAGGAGCCATTTCCTGACTCTGCGGATCACCCAGAATATTCTCATAGTTCTTAGTTGCATTGCGAAATATTACCGTTCCTTCACTGTCACAAACCCGCCATTCGTTATACTCGCAATACCGCTTGCAACCTGACACTCGTTACATAGTTTCCGACCTATATTTGTGAAGTCCAAAAGTCCGAAATCTCGGACATCACACTTTGGCTTCAGACATCGGATAAGTACCCTCAGACATCGTTTTGCAGCATCAGACATTTTGTTATTTGCATTACTGGCGCACTTTTACTACTAATACCAATTAGCAATCCCTTTAGGATCGAACACACTTGCTCTGCAAGTATAGCAGACTAGGTTGTGCAAAAGATCTACCTAAATATTGTTGACTAGGTAGTACAATTTCTGCTGAGCCCAGCAGAGATTTACTCTTTACACCAGGCCTGAGGCTCAGGCCCTGGCTTCCAAATAAGAAATACCACTGGCAAGTGTTTTTTTTTCAGTACTGTCACCTGAGACACAACCAGAAAAGTTCTGTAAACAGATGTGATGCATGTCCTGAGAAACATTGTGCCTATTTTAATCTATTTGTATATCGTATGGATAATGGACAGTTTCTGAATAAAATCACAGATATGCATAAGGATCAAATTCTATTGATTAAATTCAGAATAAGTTTGGCAAAAATAAGGAGAATTTGTTTTATGATCTGTATATGTTGCATATTAACTTAATTTCCAAAATTTAGTTACAAATATCAAGACATCTCTGAGGTTGCAATTGTTCACACATATTTCATGTGACATTTTCAAGGCCATATAGAGGATCAAGTCACATATAAGACGTAAGGTCTGCCTGATTGATAAGTCCAAAAACAAATTTAAAAAATTGTTATTATTTACAAATGAACAAATTTATTTACAATTTGTAGATATGACGAATATATGTATGAGTGGCCCTCTGAGTACCCCTATGAGAGGTCCACCCAATTCAACAGGTAGACTGGACCAGTAGCTTGCATTTGTACCTTCGGAGAACTCCAGCAGAGTCTGAATTCTCACATTCACTACTTAATCACTTGAACTTTTGTCAGACGGTTTTCCCTTCTCTTCCATCATACTATGGTAGTGTTATGATAATGTAATCACTTAGTAACTATGTTATAGTCATTAAGAAACAGGCTGTCGTCAAAATGAGTTTGTAAGATGACTTTGCTGAACTCAGAACTGGCATGTGGTTCGGTGTCATTTGATTCCTCTACGTCATGCTGTACTATTTTGTGATGCCCACCGACCAGGAAATATCCTGATCAACATTTCATAGAGATATATCACTTAAATTTTTATCTGGTGCAGTTCCAAACCTTTGTTGGCTGCACAAGGATCTGCAAATCATCAAGAAATAGGCTGTTGTCAAAATGGTGAGTTTGGCTTTACCACTGCAACTTAGAACTGACATGCAGCTCAGTGTTTCCTCTATGTCATGCTGTGTACTATTCTGTGATGCCCACCAACCAGATCTCCTTACCAACATCTTGCAGAGATGTATGGTTCATACCTTAACTTTTTATCTGGTGCAGTTCTCAACCTTTGTTAGCTTCGTGCACAGGACACTTCCCCGGCATCTACATATGGTTATGGTTATTTTGTATGGAATTTGTTGGACCTTTATATTAGCTTTTCATTTGCACATAGTCAGATTTGTGTGTTAGGGCATTCCATGGACTTTCCATGCATGGCCTCGTTGTATTTGTTCTTGTATTTGTTGTGCCAGAACTTCTGGAATGGTCACTGACTAAGTCTGATTCACTAATTATTCACATCTTTACTTTGCTATCGCACGGTGAAGATGAGGAATTTAAACTGTGGTTAAAGTTAGTGCTAAGCTAAGCAAACACAGATAGACCCAGGTGTGAGTGAAAACGTCGACCCACGGGCAGCTGTCTGAGTAAAGGGAAACCTCTCTTATAAAAAGAGGGACACCAAACTACTAATGGGGTAATAAAACTAATAGACATGCAAAGCATGAGGTCAGTGTGATACAATTGACGATAAGCGGATGCATGAGTGCAAAAGGTGAAGGGTGAGGTGCGCGATGTGAAGGTAGTGCGTGCAAGTGAAGGTGAAGGACGAACAAGCGAGAGAGACGAAAGAGAGACAAGGCGAGACGACTGTTAACACCCCAACTAAGGTTGGCTGATGCTAAGGCAAAAGGCAGACTACTAATGCGCGAGACTTAGATAGTCACTTGCAACAACGAGTAAAATTCTCTTGTATCTAAAGACACAGAGAAAGTGGGCAGAAAATTGACCCAGTACATAAGTAATAGAGGGGTATAAGTAAAATAACTAAGCACCGCTAGGCACGCAGGTCCGATGTAACGAGCCAAACAGGCTATAAATAGAACACGAGGTATGTAACAGGGTCTCGGTTATGTGCGAAGCGCAGAGCCGAGTATTAGCAATGGAAAACAATTAAGCAAAATGGAAATAGGATGGGAAAATGCACAATGGACTTCTGAGGACATGGGATGGATGGGCAGACAGGTGCACGGACAATGCAAGTGCAGATGCACAATATCTGCGAAAGTAAAACAAGTGCGCTAATGTGCTAGACGTATCCTGTGGATTAGAGCTGCAGTTTGTAAGGAAAGTAAGAGAATTTGGAGGGGAGTGTCTGTGGAGACATGAGTCTCTACAATGGCACAAATGCGAACACTTGAAGGGCTGATGCAAAAGTATGTGATTTTTATAGGTGTTGCTCATACTGATTAATCTAAGTAGAATCTGTCATCACAATGATGAGCACATCAACATATGGCATTTTGCCATCGGTCAGCTCATTGAGTGCCTTCCCTACACCATGCCTCCAACCGCATATGGATAATCTCTTGGACAACAATCTTGCAGGTAATGTCCTGTGGGAAGAAACAGATCTCCCTGCCATCAGCCCTTCTGTCATGGATCACCTGATCCACATATTGAGTCTCAACATCTCGGATATCGAGAAGATTACCTACACTAGCAGAGTGTCTATATTCACTGGTTGCAAGTGGGAACTCGATAAAAATGCGAAGAAACAGACGCCAAAGCAGAAGCAGACACAAGACAATTCTGATCTAGAAGAGTGTGAGGATGGTGAAGGGTCCTCTGTGTCAGTGGAACCTGACATCAGCGACCAGACCTCAGGCTGCCTTGAATATAACCCCCAAAAACCAGATGGAAAGCCATTCCCGAAGTGGTCTGAAGAGCAAAAATGGGCACTTCTCTTCACTACCATCTACACAGTCATGCGCATGGCTTACAAGAAGGTATACCCTCTGCGCTCATCTGTGTTCCCTTTTGAGTCCCAAGAATATAAATGCTCCCATCGACAGTGGTCACCAGAGTTTTGAAATACTCCTATTCTGGATGCAACAAACACCCAGAAGCCCAATGTAGTCCTGCTTGATCATAATGTTCAGCCAAAAAGCTGGGCACACTGTCCTTACATGCGTCAAGATCACTGAATCTGATCTTGGCACATGCCACAACATATTGTTGTTCAAGGGAGCAACCACCAAAGGTTATCTCATGATGCGAGTGTATGACAATGCCATCATCATTGATGATGAGAGCAAGAAAAGTGGAGGCGAAGCTGGTAATAAAGCTTCAGGTCCAGAGAGTGCCGAGGATGAGCAAAGTATGTTCCTGCTATACAAACATAGCACTGCTAATTAGCAACAGAGAGGCTCATGAAAGAATGGGTATCACCTGTTTACACATTCTTTGGCCCATCTCCCTGCATCACTGAAGTTGGTGGTTGACGTGCATACAAATTCAAGTGCCATGCAAAATGGTGTAAGGCCACGATCTGATGGTTCCTGAACAAAAAGGATGCTCGATTGATGGGGAACATGCACAAACATGTCAAATCTTATTGGGGGGAAGATACGCTCAATACTGCTGATGACGCCAAAGATGCAGATGAAGTGCAAACAAAAATTGTCAGAAGTATTCTAAAAAATGGGTCAATCATGGCATCCTTTGAACCCCACATTTTACCCACATGGTATTCCGTGTGTTTGTGCTTTGTAAGGAATGCTGGCAAGATATTTGACGAAGCAATTCTGCGACATCCACAAATATTTGTGCGTGCTTGCCCGCCGGATAAACAAACCCATCAGTCACGTGTTAACAACTCAACCTATGACGCTATCAACCAAACAGCCGGGACTCCCAGTCGTTTTATCGAGTATGAGTTGTGAATAATATGCTACGTTCGTCACGATCACTCGCAACTTCTACATGACTCGCACCTCTCATTGTCTTTTTTGGTCATGACCCGATGGCGACACGACTATGGAAAGTTGAACCTCATACACAGGCGACTGATTAGCTTGTTATGTCGAATGCAAAATTTGCTCCACCTTCGGAATCATTCACTCAGGCTATCTCTCAGAATGACTGCCACATTCAAATTACAAAAGCGACACTTGTCTCCATGCGAGCCTTCCAGCCGGTGCACCCGACCTAAATATCCTCATTGCTAAGCGTCGCGACATGGACAGGTATGATCATGATGTGGCGTCGTTCTCGAGCGCTAACACATGTTCGTTTCCAGCGCGTGAAGAATAAGTGGTTTCCAATATGGGCTCTAACTGATTCGTCTTGACTCAACGCGAACAACTATCGCAACTCGGCGTCATGCTTCGAAATCGGATCTTTGTTCTCATTCTCAGTACGTACATAGTTATTAACGTCACTTGCCACAAAATGTTTGAATACACCTTCCAAACAACGATGGTTCTCCAGCCCAGATTGGACAATGCACACATCATCTCGGGTGCACAGAACCTCCGAGTCCGAAAGACGCAATGTCCATTTTAACTCATCCGCTTGTGTCATATTTGCATTCGAGGAGCTCATCAAAGCTGACTATAATGGACGTATCAATTTGTGGCTGTTCATTTCAGTATCACTTACGAGGTATGGCGCCGTGACCCGATGTTGTGACAAGCATCTGGAAAAACCGTTCAAGGTTATTAGAAGCAGATTGCACCCAAACCCTGCATCCATTCCAGTCCGAACCGTGGTACCTTGTCATTGATGGCCGAGACCTTACCGATGCTATGGATCCGCCGTTGCAGGCCACGGAGGGCCTTACTCGTACGCAGTGCAAGTGCATCACACCTCACGACTGCCCTTATTTATTCTCCATCTACAAATTACAATACGAACACGGCATCCATCAAGTGCGCGATCGGTGTATTCGTCTCATCGAGCTTTTCGAGTACCGACACATTTTTTTTGCGCCTGATGGGCGTAGCATGCGACGACTGAGGATCAAATATAATAGCCCCGGACAGAATCCTGCTTTTATGAAAGATCGTAAATTTTCATTGATATGACGAGGGGGCTAGCCTGAGCTATGAAAAAATGACCACTCCAAAGGAGACCTGTTGTAACCACAACGATGTCGTGCGCAACGTTGACACGAGACCAAATTAAATCATATCTTCACCATCTCACCTGCGGTCATGCAGGTGTTGCGAACGTAGCTCTGTTTCAAGGTACGCCAGGGCGCACCTTACATATCTCCTTTTTCATGAACTCCACCATCTTATTATCATCCCCGCAAAATATCCCTATCCCCTGTTAAGAATCCAGGATTCAATGAGACCATTCACAGCCCCTTACTCGGTCCGATACCCTCATTGGAAGACTACATTACGCACTGCGGACTCGTGCTGCGGACACTAGGTGGTTTTGCCAAGTACACCTACTGACATGGCGCATCTCCGGCACCCGCATCTGATCATCATCGGAAGTTGACAGGGATTACATCGCTGCATGGGATTGTGAACGAGTGTTAGATTGTGCCCCCGGTGCTGCCGCAATCTTCCAAAGAAACACACGGGAAAGGAATCATATCGTCAAACGACGGCGATCTGTGCAGCCGGGCGTACAGCCTGATCCAATATTCTTGATGCCCTCGATATTCACCCCAATATTTGTTATGATGGTACAGGACGTTCATCAGATTCGAAGCATAATTGAAAGTGTACGGAATGTGGTGTATTCGGTGAGTGCAAAGTGGCGTAATCGTCCGATGGATCGATGATGCATGTGCATGATGGTTCAAACGTTCAAAGATAAATTCCATTTATGCTCAGATCTGTGCTGCATCTAGATTTCTAGAGCAATATCCGAGTCCTGCGAGATATGTAACGTATATGGATCAGGCGGCCGTACTCTCCGAAATGGTGTGCAGTATCTATTTGCATGACCAATTCACTGGTGAAGCATCCTGATCATGAGAGTGAATTAAATCTAGTGTCCGTAGAAAGTACCGTGAACGACTGTCGTCCATATCTACATTTGCGTAATAGTCCTGTTCAAAGTCCTCAATAGCCTTCAGATGTCGGTGTCGGTGGATAGGCCCTTCGTGCGCCACCATAGCCTCCTTGTCCGTAACCAGCCTGGGCACCGTACGCTTGCTTTCCGCCGTAATACTGCGTACCACTAACATCACCCACAAGGCTCGCAGCTCCAGCGTGGTAACTTGATGTATCCTCCTCGTAGTCTATACCAGGAGTCGTGACTGAAGCCGTGAGAAGTGGGTCCTTGACTTCCCAGACCGCGGCTTTAGATCCCACGGAGAATTCGAGGTCTTCACGCTGTGTCAAACATTATTATTGGCCAGATGGAACAGATAACCGGCGAACAAACGTACCGTGATGCTGTCCCAGTATTTGTAGACCATCATAACACTCAACAAAACACACAACGTGAAGAAGAACAGACCATCCAAGTAATGTTTGATGGCATTACAAATGGTGACGCTGAAGGCGAACAGGAGAACTTGTGCGATCGCATAAAACGAGATCCCAAATATGATGTCACCAAGGGGCCAGCGGTCATCAAGAGTCCGGAATACAAGAACGAGTTGCAATATGGTATATGTGGCGACGCATAAGATGGGCCATATGAGGTAAATGACGAAGAGGGCGATAGGTTTCGTCGGGGAGAATGTAACAAAAGATTTGAAGGTGGCGATAGCGATGAAGAATGATCCTCCAAAGACAGCGAAACAGCATATCCGAAGGAGCCAAAGAGAAAGAGGCGTCCCGTCTTCAGCGAATTGGAATCCAACGAAACCGTTGATAAGCAGACAGCAGTAGGCAGCTGCTACTAGACCTGTATAAACTGCAGCAAACCACTACGTACATTTGGTATAAGATCATTGCATGATTGTGCATCATAACTCACGGGATAGCTGACGTTCGAAGTTGGTATGATCCCCGAGTCAAGGAACATTGCGAGAAGTTCGATGACCATATACATCCAAAAGAACATCACGATCTCTTTCCGTCCAACTGCGGTGTACTTTGAGCGAATATGATAGATCATGATTGCCGTCATAATTATTGCAACGATGTGGACAAAAGATGTGGCTAAACAGATAAAAATTAGCCTCGATCGGTGAGTACACCACGCTCATGGTCTTGGACTACGTACAAGGCTGGAAGATGAGGGTCTGGCCGATTTGAACATTGCGCGAGTAGCAAGTAGGCTCTACGCCTTCTCCAGAGGTTCCCAGCAATGGACAAATGACGAGAGCAGCAGTGCTGCACACTCCATCGAAGGAGCCAAAGGTGATTGTCATGGCTAGATATGGGTAATCAGAGGGACGTTTTGCGAGCGTTTGATAGGTGAATAATTGGTGTATGGACTAGCAGGGCCCTGGCCTTGTTACGTTCAACGTGCTTTGTGAAGAGATTGAACAAAAGCGAGCGGAACGTGATTAGTTCAAACTATTCAAACAGAATATCTGGCGAGTCTCCTGCAGGTTACTGGCCTGCAAGTAAACCACCTGGCGGGTATTGTGTGAAAAAAAAAAGAACAGAGAACAGGCTCGTCGCCCTATGTGAATGTAGCGGACAACGACTGCAAGGTTGAGTTGCGATCCCACGCCACCTCCAGACGAGTCAAGCATGCTTGGGTCTCTCCCTAAACCCACTGCAGTAAATTAGAATCGACGACTTGCGCAGCGTGCGCTCTCGTATACATGTGCAGTCTTTCTAGAACATGTTTTCGTCGATCAAAGGCAGCCGGTACAAGATGAAATCAACGACTCCTCTGCTACACCTGATACTACCTCGGCGAAGACTCGACATGAACAGTTTCTTCAATAGAACTTTGCGTTTGCCTTCTGACCTTGCATGAACGTTTGGCCCATCAAGGACCCTACAATTACAATTTGACAAACTAGGCTCATACAGGAAGAGGCCGCGGCCTACTTTAGTCGCTCCATTGCAAGAAGGCAATTCCTGATTAGGTGCGTACTGCAAAATCATTGAATGCGCCCTGGCTTATAGTACCCCGCCCATGACGGATTGCCGACGTTATACGGTTCGGTTGTTGGATGGCCTCTTGCGGACTGCTACTCTAGAGCAACCGGTGACTTCAAGATCCGCGTTTTTTTTTACAAAACGTGCCGTCTCCGTACACGTTGATATCTCTCACACGTAAATAACGGGTCGACTACATATGTCTCACGATTTCGCCGCACTGTGGGCAGAAAGTAGGCATCGCGCAGACGTTGCATTACCTTTGTTCTGATGAGTCTGGATACCACGTGCCTCGCTATCATGCATGTGTATGTAATTACTGGAACAGTTCATATCACTGGTTGCATGCATCAGTATTGGAACTCAGTTTCTCGAATACAGATACCCTCGTACTTTTACTAGTATAGATAGTCTGATTATGACTTCTGCGAACACCGGAACATTAGATATTAGTACTGACGACATTGCACATGCTGATCTATGTGGGAATTTCGGGGAATACACCTTGACTATTCAGTTTGGAGCATTGAAGAAGTAACTCCTTTGGGAGTGAGCCTAGTTAGAGTGAGCTTGAGTTGTGCGCCCACTGATATGGATGGGGTAACGGCCTTGCTCGTGGCAAAGGACGTTTTATGACAGGCGATGGCATATGTTTCGGATAGCGCGTTTCAAATCAACGTACACACTGCTCGTAAAAAGTTTTCAACGCACGCGTTGGTGGGCGAACCTTACTTGGTGGCGTTTTTTCAAGACTTTTAGTTTCCAAACGTTCTAGGCCATTGACTACAGAGTTACGATACTAGTATAGTAGGTACTACTAATGATACCTCCGTGGTTCTATCGTCCAGAAATGAGCCCTGTCACTTGTTCGTTACCGTTAGATCAATGGCCACAGCCGAAGATCAAAAGTGTCCTTTTCCTTGCGTTCATCAAATGTCTAATGACGCCGCAGGGTCATGGACTCACACAAGTTTGGCAATGTTTGTTTGCACTCAGATCCGGATGGGTTGGTGGAGCCGGCCTACGATGGCAGCTTCTCAGTGGAATAACTGAACCCGCACTGCAGCCCCGAAGATGATATTTTAAAATGCGGGTCTATCCTCATTTCACGAGCGAAATTCGACCAAGATGAGTCGCCTCGGTGATTATGGGAGAGGTTACAGGGCCGATGATCACGTGGCATTGTCGATATGGTTTCTGTCCCGGCCAATTTGGCTAGGGTGTGAGGTGTGACAGAGACAAGTACATGCGGCAGAGAAGACGTCAAACTAATAGGTGGTCAACCCGTTGCATAGCGATGGAGCTACTATGGAGCACCTATCTATACAGCAAACCCGCTGAAAGTCCATGATGGCTGGTACGCCACTTTGTCCGCTTAGGGCGCATGAAGGACTTGTGCCAATTGATCAAGGAATCAGAGCGTGCGGGGACTTGCTGTCTCCTACTTAATACTTAACCGGATCATCGAAGTTACGTTCAATGAACCCCCTCGCTTGCCGCTGAAACCGCCGCCCACTAGTAGTAAGCCCTGCCACCTGCCTTGGCTTTCATCAATCGCTCGCCCCAAATGTAAAACAGCCTTCCGTGACTTGTTCCTGGTGTCAATAGTGAGAAAAGCCCGTGTAGGTGGAACGTCGTCGAATTCTCCTGAGAGCCACCGCCGCTAACGTCGAATTATCTTATCTTTCCTCGTGGCTGTGCGCCGCAAGGCACGCGCTTATGAAAACAAGGCTTTTGTCAAGCCTTTGTATCACTTTCAAGAAGACTTGTGCCACGGCGTGGCGTAGCTATCTTGGTGATTTCAATCGGATGGCCCTTGACCTGCCGCGAGTGTTTACCACCTCATGTGTGGTTACCATTTTTTCATCTAGAAACCCCGCAAAGGGTAATTTGTTGGCTTTTTTTTCGTGTGTCCATACCCGATCGGCACAGCATCCGACTCAATCACGGGAGAAGGGTTAGGACCGGAAACTTACCGCCTTTCAAGGTATCATCACTTTCCGAAGTCGCATGCCACTGCTATGGATCGTTGTTGGTAGTTTTCTCAGCAGAAAGTCTCACGTCACAGGTGAGCACCGCGGGCTTGTAAGTTGTTGGTTTGCAGTGTAAAGACTTGTAGATAGATAATTAGTGTTGATTACTCCGACAAAGTGTTGTCATAATTATTTTACTCGTGCCAATTTTAGTAATTTTTACAAAAGAAGTGGAACAGGGCAAGTTCCGATAGGCCAAATCACGTGGGGCAAACCGAGATCATGGCTGAGACTTTGAACAAAGGAGACGCGGCGTCGTTGACCGCGGTCAGTGAAAGGTGAGTACTGAGTGAGGTCATGTGACTATAAATTACTATAATAGGAAGTGTGTTAGTGGTAAGGCTATGGGGAATCCCTGGGGAATCCCCTATGCCGTTGATGCCGATGAAAAATGTTAGTCAAGTAATTAAGGTTAAATCTGTGAAAATCAGACAAATTTGACGGGTAAGTCAATCTTAACAAAAAAACGTCCAAGATCTATAACGGAGCGCGAACTGTTACTAAAGACTACGAAGCGGGCTCGGAGGCGCTACAATTTTGTAGTTCTTCCAATTCAATCAACTCACTTCAACCCTTAGCATTCCGGGTGGCTAGACACGGTATCCCCCCTGTTTTTGTCTCTAAGCGGAATATGTCAACCATGTCCGCCAATTTTACACCTTCACCCAATACATACGACATTTCCTTTTTATATATCTTCTACATCCCGACACTCAATTCTCTGGCCCTCCCGAACTGAAGTTCTTCTCTCTTCCTCATGGCCCTTTATACTCCTCCATCTTTACCATTAACTCCTTGTACAATGGGCTCATCATCACGTCCCTCACTCCCCACAGAACTCCTAGCTACCTGGTCAGCTTGGCGTCCGCTAGGACACACAGGTCTCCTAACTCCTCCAATGTCTGCTTCTCTACCCAGGATCGGTGCTCCCCAGGTGACGTCCCTGCCTCCCATTGCTCACTTTGATCGTCAGGTATCGTACATGCATCCAAGTACGTGTTTTTCCCCTTTCATCGTCATGATTAGTTTTTGATCTAGCAAAAGTAACACCTCCGCGTACTCAAGACGCGTCCACTTGGTCGCGACCGATTCAGCAATTACACGTCGCGAATCTGCCACCTGAACCATATGCGGACGAGATGGACCAGCACGTGCATCCCTTTCAACAAAAGCCTGCAAATCCCGAGGATGTCCCTCGCCCAATTGATTGGTTTGACGACTCCTTAAAGAGATCATCACATTATATCGCAGAGAAAACTTGCGAAATGATATGCTACCTATGGTTCTCAGTCTCACTTTCCAGTTCTACATCTGCCCAACCACTCACTCCTCCCTACTCCCCTGAAATTCCTGCCGCTACCTCCTCTCTTCACCTCGTTGCAACACCGACCTTTGTGTCTTTCATGCAGAAATTACTAGAAACTACTCAGGTCAGCCAGTCGGTGATCGTCCTGTCTCTCCATTACATATGGCGACTCAAGGAGCGTAACCGCTTCACCGCTGGTTTACCCGGAAGTGAGTTTCGCATCGCAGTTGCCGCGCTCATGATGGCAAATAAATTTCTTGACGAGTGAGTCCATTACGCGTAATTTACCTCGTGATGTCCTCAAATATCATTCTAGCAACACTTACACCAATAAGACATGGTCCGAGGTTTCTGGTATCGAATTGGCTGAAATCACCCGAATGGAAAAGGAGTTTTTGATGGGCATCGACTTCAACCTTTACATTTCGAAGAAGACGTACGATTCATGGATGCACTTATTGAGGGGGCTCGTCCACGCGAAGGAAAGAGAGTGCCGTAGATGGAGACATACTCGCACCCGGCATCGGACGCCTCGTCACAGCCATACTCAACCAATGTCCGCAGCACCGATTCGTTCCTACAGGTGGAGATGTCATTCTACGTCTCATCGCGCACGTTCGACATCACCCGAGCAACCCGTTCATCCTCGTACATTTTCATCCTCGTATCACGTGACGCCTCCAAATCCTGTTGTCTCACCGTGTCTTGCACCCGGTTTGAAGCGCTCGGCTGCTGATGCATTCTCACCTACTTCGTCATCGTTCCACGAGTTACCGCCCTTGAAGCGTCCCACCGGCATGACTTTGCAAATTCCGGATACCAATTATCCAGCTGCCCCGCATTCGGCATCGCCAGTTGAATCACTGCAGTCCTTTGCTAAGATGTCGTTATCATCATCATCGCCACACGCAGTACGGTCCGCACGTTCTAATCAATCACACCAAGGTGATACGCGCCCGCAAACCTTAGTGGCTGCTTACTGTGCTGAAGGACCCATGAACGTCCCTCAAGTATGTGCTTTCTCCAAAATTCACATAATTTGTCTCACATTCGTGGTAGAACCTTTATTATTACTCGCTTGCTGGGTCGTCAACTGACTATGCAGCGGAAGAAGAAAGGGTGCGCCGCAAAGCCCGATTGCGGTGCTACCAGCCTCAACCACCGCCTCCGCCATCTAATCCATCTCCTTACATGCCACAGAATATTCAGTCCGAGTCTGTCAGCCCTTACGAAATACATGTCGACGTGCGAGCCGTGCCTCTTCCTCACCTACATGATGCTGTCTGGTCTCGTAAGCTTGCTCGCCCTCCTTCGTATGGCGAAAGTTCTTTGCAATTACCTCCTTTACGGGAAAACGCAGTTCCGTCTGCTCCTTTCGCCAACGCCGGACCACCTGGCGTCCATTTTTACTCAGCTTCTAGTCAGCGGGAATCACCCGTATATCCTTATAATTGGTCTTATGGCAGATAGTCCTCAGCTACTCATTTCTGTTTATTGCACACAATTATTGCATCTCATCGGTTCCCCCTTTCACATCGAACTTCAACTTACTTTGCAATTTGGCCATATCATTTCGTTGCACGCAATATCATTCATCGACACTGACATACATTCTCGGCATTTTCAATTGTATTTCACTTACATTTCCACGTTCTGTTAGCAGAGATCAAGAAATTACATTACCATCATAGTTAGCTACTACTGTACGAGAAAGAATGATAAACTGACCATACATCGAACTTCCGAAGTCGTCGGAACTCGTGGGAATACTTGTCAGCTATATGAACCTGATGTGATGTACTTATCAAGTCTACTAACAACGGCAAGTTGGTAACTGTGCATTTACAGGGCTGTTATTGGTACGGCCTGGCAGATCTATGACCGAAACAGCCTAAAATTTCGATACCAATGATCTTCCGAGTCTAGAAACGCATGTGCGCAGAAGCCCATCTTTTTCCCGCATAGGTCAGTGAGAATGACGGTATCATGCTCAGTTCCGCACTCCGCGGTCCCCATCCTGTCATCGGAGCCCTGTTACAGATCGCTCGCAAGTCCTTTGATGCCCCTGCTATAAGTCTCAGTCGATCTACGTGGTATGTCACGGATGATTTCCGTGTCCTTCCGAAAGGTCCATTTCCCAGTACTTTGTGCCCCTATGTCCTCATTGTTAACAGACTTAAGTTCTTGATTCGTTCTCACCGTAATGAAACCATACAACTTCAGAAATAGGTTGGCTGGTGTGACGAGACGACCTAACTTCATACGAGAGAATTTAGCGTTCATCCCGGAGTAGCCCATCACCACCAGCAACCAGAATGGCATGTGTAGACATCATATCAGACGAATACCTATACCACATGGATCTTTTCCGTCCCACAAGACATCGACAATTCATGTCGGACTTGTTGTTCCTTACCACGTCTAGTAATAGCGTGTAGGCCATTTGGAGTTACATTTGACAGATTTCGACGCCTCATACAAATGCCATGGATAGTTGCCAACTCACAGGATAATAATGATGGCCTTCCAAATTATTTGCGGGGCCAGGGGTCGGTTTCAGCGTCTGATGAGACATATTTTGATCTTAATTGAGCCATGTTGGAGGCAAGGAATGCCTGGGTGAAGAAGTAACCGGATAACAGACCCGTCACTATTGAAAGACAAGTTCGTTTCAATCGAATTTCATATGAGTCATTAACTTAGTATGGGCGGTGATTCTTGACTCACAAGCACCACTGATAATAGTTTTATTCCGGCCAAAGCCCATAAATTTGGAGCCTACCAGCGCTGTGACGCAAGCATTTAGTTATCGAACGGGTTCGTCACATCACATCACAAGGAACATGGGGCACGCGAATTATGATATCAAAAACTTACCTCCTGCCAGACCCGACGTCAAGCCAGCGAATATCCCGTCTCTCCGAGCGTCCTGCCAACGATTATGCCATCAATGTCAGTGTCAATGATCCATACAGAATAATACAAACCTTCCATGCGGCTGCTTTGATATCTTCCACACCAGGCTTGTGATGATTCAACTCCATTGTCTGTGTTTGATCGTGCAACAAGGCGGCCGTAAGCGAGTTCTAAAATAATTTTTGAAAAAAGGTCAAACCGAGAAAAAAAAATAAACCAAAAAATTAAAATTGAAAAAAAAGGGTCAAGTTCTGACGACCGGATTTGGAGTTACAGCTCGCGTTTTGTCACACCACGTTACGCGTTACGTTGTGACGAGTCCTCCGCTTCTACGCCTTTACTCGCATTTTGTTATCAGGATTCAGAATAGCGATATGTCCCCTGGAGGGAAGAAGAGTCGGGGTCGGAGCCCACAAGAACTCTATGACGAGATAAAAGGTATCAATTTACGGCCCCCATCAGACGTATTCATACAGTTAATACTTCCCGTTGTGACCCAAGAACTCTTGATCAAGACCAAACCAAAGCTGAAGGACGGAACTACCAGGGATGAAACCATAACAAGAGATTTACATAAGATCGCATCGCTTGCACAGACATTCACAGACCAGCGCCAGAAATCGAGCAAAAAAAGCCAGTTATCAGATTTCCTAGATCAGGAAGGTTCGTATCATCTTCGGCATCAGTGCGAACAAACATGAAACCCCAAGTTGTCTCGCTTTAGGTGTCAGCCTGTGGAATGCATCCGGTGCGATCCGTCAAGGCTCTACGGCTGACAGCCGCGTTGTCGTCGCCGCTTGTATGCTTCTTTGTTTTCTATGATTGGTTTCACTTTAATCCAGGCTTGCCAGTGCGGCTAGCTGGATTTCGCCTCATGGAAGCAGGGCTAGAACCTAAGCCTGACACTGAAGGTTGGGAAGAAGATCAGAATTCTCGCGTGATTGTCGCTCATTTTGTTCTATCAGCATTATTACATATTCTTCAAATTGCGAGTAAGACTGGCGCAACCCTGTCCGGTGTGTTTTATGGCCTATATTTCGTATATCTCCAAATAACATTGTGTCCACGGGTCCAGAACTCGGTCACAATGACGCCGCATCGGGCGTGCTTGGTTGTGCTGCGAAGGTGTTATTTTTTTCCCTGTTTCTTGCTGGTGGTGGTTCGACATTAATTTTCTCCCAAAGTATGAAGAAGCGCTGAGAAATATCGACGACCCGAGTGGCACAAATCAGCAAGCCAGGGCATGTGTTACAACTGTCTACCTCTCAACCAGAATGGAAGCAGTGAGGACTCTAATCCTCGTGATATGATGGCGTTGATATATTTAGGACCTCGTGAAATAGGCTTGGAGGGAAGGAAATGAAGGGTTAGCGGCCTTTATGGCTGACAAAGTCACAGGTTGTCCCTGAGTCCTTTTTGATATGGGCGGCTCTGATTGTCCTCATAGAGAATGACGGACGGCTCCTGCTCCTGTCCAATCATGACGTAAGTCCCATTCGGTCGACATGCTTCTCATGGTAAACATTTTCAGCGAGAGACGCTGGCGACTAAGCTTCTTGACATTGGCAAATCGCTTTTGAGAAGTTGCTATCAGGATAGCAAATTGACAGAAGAAAGTAAGGCTAACGAGGCTATTCGATGGATGCAGAAGGCATTTGCTGTCATCGAGCCTCTCGATTGCGTGACCAACGCCAAGCTTGCTGAGCTTAAGGTTAGTACTTTCGAGTTTACTAATTACTCCTCATTCAACCCTAGTCAGAGATCGGTTCTCAGGAGTCTGGGTAAGTGAACTTGACTTCATTCTACGGTACTACAGGGCTCAGATCGGCCCCCTATTAGCCCGTGGCTACTTCTTGTCATCATCCCAGGATCCAGAGAATTTGATCAGAGCGGAAACCGCGCTAGAAGAAGTTATTGCAACTATCGATCCTTCTGTAGACAACGTAAGCACAGTACTGCCAGTGACATGCCCAAGCGGCATTTACACACGTTCTTGTAGGTAAGCTCCGAATATCAGCAACTCCGATGGATGAAGTTGGCTGTCATAAAGCGGCGAAAAGTTGGAGATACTGTTCTTCTTCAAGGTGAACTTTCCTGGACCGGAATCTTCCACATATAGTGGCGAGTTGGATTACTCACGTTCTTTCATTAGCTTTACAAGCCATCATTGACAACCTGACATATTCAGAAAGTAATCTTACCGAGTGAGTTTATGGGAATGCTGTAATCCGTTCCGTTTCCTCATATCACGTTTCAAAAGTGTCCTACAGGAACTTCGGACGCTTTCTCAGCATCAGTAAGTCGTCCGATAGGATGCAGTGTTCTTTTGATTCAGTGTGGGCGTAGCCAATTAGTCACGGGTACAATTCAGTACTGCCTTCATCGGGCCATGCAGTGCTCTTGGAGCACAGATGCCGTGGAAAGGCTTCTCATATCTCTCATATTCCATTGTTCCAGAGATGACCAACACGACAGGGCGATACAAGATCTGCATGCATCTTTCAAAGGTAGGCCTTGTTCTAATGTATGACCTGTGCGAATTATTTTCCTTTCTGCGTAGAATTGAGTGACGTGGAATTCGAACTTCTTAAAGCTCCGGCCACAGCTTGCATTACGGTGTGTGGGTGTTCATCTATTCATTCAATTATACTGGAATTTCCACAGCTTATATGGCAATACGGTGATCGCCATTACCATGCGGGACGATGGAAAGAGGCCGCGGATTGGTTCAGCTGTGGCACACATTCCATATTTACATGTCTGGGTCCCGTCAGCAGCTCTAAGTGTTTTCGGAAGGCTGCACTAGCGTATCTAAAGCAAAAGGACTACGCACACGCGGGGTCCACTATCCGCCGTTGTCCTGACACAGAAGCCACGACGCAATATGTAATGTTTCTTATTGCGGTTTATCAAGGTCTGCTATTGCATTGCCTTATAGCGTGATCTTATTTCATCTGTGCTAAATTCAGGACTGGAAGACGAAGGTATGTTCATTTTGAAGAAATGCTGGTCGCCTCTAATCGGTCGGTTACTTATCAGCGATCAATTCGATACGCAACATGGTGCACGCCGTGAACTTCGATCGCAAGATGATTTTATTGGCCTGCCGGCTGGCACATGACTTGGACATGAAAAAACTTCTTCTGAACGTGCTAAAGGCTCTTCTGGAAACGCTAAATCTCCGAGAGAGCGTGGAGAACATCATTGAAGCCATGACGTTAGTAAGATGTATTATTAGGCTTATCGTTAAACTCCTTGGAGAACCTGCTGCCGATTTGTGAGTTTTTGTGGTGTCAAGCATCGAGATACTGAGCTGAAAATTGTGTCAGGGAGCGCTTAGTAGCAGCATTACTCCACCACCTGAAGATTGGTTGGTCGAAACTTGTGGACCATTCATACGTATCCTAACGCAGTGGCAGCGGTGACTGTTGCAGAATCTTGTGAACAGCCTGCCATACTTACCAGAGATATATCCTGGCTCTGGAGGACTGCATATAACTGTGCTATCCAAGCTTGTTCAGATTGGGAAGACAGAGAGGATCAAATATCTGACATCTTTGACGCGGCGAGACGAGTCAGTGATTTTCGAACAACCATTTCCCTGAGTTTAATCCTCTCATGTAGCTTCTCGAGCTCTACACTCTACATGCAACTGTCGATGTAGACCAGACTATCTATGTTTACATTGTGAATGCATCATTCGCATCTGCCTCGGGCCGTGGTACGCACCCTCGTTCTACCTGGAAGACTACAGTGGCCATAACTTTCTGCACAGTAATGTCTTTCAGACGTTTGCGGTCGCAAACAGAATCGATCGATGTATGTCAAGATCTTCTTTCGAAACCTTCTACTGATTTGTTTCAGTCTGAAAAATACCGCGATCTGTTCAACAACGTCAATCAATCATTACAGCGCATACACAAGGTTTTACGAGAGGGAAAGATCTCGCAGGAGGATGTTCCTCGACTCGAGTCATCCTTGCAGATCTTACGAGTTTTCATCGTCGAAGCGGCATCTCACCTGTCAGATTGGACTACGGTTCTTGCTACAATTGAGGAACGGTTACGATTCCCATCAATAAATCAGACAGAAACTTATTCTGCATACAGGAGGCATCTCGCTCCGATCGTGATTCGCTGGAGACGTATGAGGCATTCGCGGATGCTCTAGTGAGACAAAATAGCCCTTTCTGCGCATGACTTGTTCAACGTTACTCCTAGTGGGAAGATAAAAACTGCCCCATACACGGTAGATATTATCTTCAACTTTACGATCAAGCTCATGCTAGCCAAACCTAGTCCTTTTCACAGCGCTAGAGGTGGGTCCGCGCGGAAGTTGTTGATTCCATGACTTAATTCTGCATTGTAGGCCACACTTCACGCGTGTTTGGCCCGCGGGCACTTTTCTCTGGAAAAATTCTCTCGTTGGCTTCGAGCGATGTGCATTATACTACTGACAAGAGCGACAGGACCCGATCGATCCAAAGCAATTGGCTACGTGGATCAAGCCATCGCTGTCCTGGAGGAGCATGGCGACGCTAGGGACGGCGGTGATCTGGTAAAATCACAGTCTCGCAGTGTATCTTGGCTCACTTATTTATACGCAAGCTCTATCCTCTGGACGAGCGTCAGTGGCTCCTGAGCACGGCATACAACACTGGCCTCGAGTGTCTTCAGTCAGTGAATATCTCATGGGGTGTATGCTGACACAGGACTCATCTACCCAGTGCATCCATGGTCGATGAAGCAAAGCGTTGGTTCGAATGCTCCACCATTATCTGTCGCTTCGTTCCCGATGGTAGGCAACGCGCAGAAAAGGTAGGCGAAATACGATATAAAATTAGACTTCACCACATCCAGCAACAGATATCGACAACCTATAGCGACCTCTTAGCACGCTACCCGACTAGATGAAACGATCGCACGATCATCAGACAGTTTTAGCGCCGCGACTGGATCACCACATATGTGTATTATTATTTGTTCTTGTATCTGTAGCAAGGACCAATGGACTTTGCACATTTTCTTATTGCTGTGAGAAATGACGTAGTTGATAGAGTAGTACACGACCGCGAGTGTTGCCAATGGCTAGGTACTCGCTCTCACGGGAGAAATCGACAGAGGTTACATGCCCGAGAGGGGTACTTGACGTGGGCCAGTTCCCAAATGCTGTCAAAGACGGGCAGTGGACCTATATGCAGGAACGTATCAAGTTGAATGAGTGAAAGCTTGGGAAAGATGCAACATTGACGCACCATCCGCATCTGGTCTTTTTTATCGTTGCTTGCAATAGCAAGTAACTGAGAGTCATGGTTGAATCGCAACGTTGAGATACTTGTTGTCAGGTTCCCAATCGTCTTTAAAGTCTTTGGTTTGCCTCCCTCAAGATCGATCGTACTCTCTGCATTGTAGACATTGACCAAACCTGTGTTTGAACTGAAAGACCATATTGTCAGTGTGAACCACCCGCCTCACGAAACGAGTACGTACCCAATGGTCAAATATTTTCCTTGGCTATCTCCACCAAACAATCGACTGCCGAACCCGCCTTCATCCTGCCATCGTTTCACGCATCTGCGCTGCCCGATATTCCAAACATAAACCTGCGAATCTTCTGTCAAGCCCATAAGCTCGCCTGCTCCGGCCTTGGACCACCACAGAGATTTCACATTCGCGTTTGCCTTGAGTTCACCCACGACTTGCGCTGCACCTGATCGCCAGTCGACGAGATGGACTTGGCCTCGCCGTCCTGCAACAGCGAGGATATCCCCTGTCGGGTTGAAGGAAGAGATCTCTATGGTCGCGCCTTGGTCCCCGCGACCTGAACAGAATGTGGTGCCCCATAGACCTCTAGGGGAGCGGTGGGAGGCCCCAGACTGAAGGTCGTACGTGTAATAGAAAGGTCGTGGACCAGTCATCAATATGGACGTGCCGCTGGGGTGGAAAACGGCATTGGTGATAGGAAGTGATGGGACGTGAAGAGTTTGAGCATGAGGATTCGTGAGACCGTCGATCTATCGACCAAGTTCAAGTTCCAAGTACAAAAAAAATGAAAGGGAATACTCACATGGAAGAGTCTGAGGCGACGGTCTGCACTTGCAGTCAAAAGGACGGGAACGTGAGGAGAAGGATGAAATGCAACAGTTTTTATTTCGCCATCCGCTGGCGCAGCTTGATTAGCATCTCGCAATCGCTCGATGGAAAGCGTGCTGGGGGGTATAGGTCTTGACTTTGCAGTCCCCAAAATTCCAGTCGTTGATGCCAGCAGCTCCGGGACACCATCCTCCCCGCTCTCAGATCCAGAAACCGACGACCGTCGTCTCTTTCCTCGTTCCCTTTTCTTGCGCGCGATGGATGCCCAGTCTGGAGTTGGGTTTATGTGCTCGAACTGCCTGCGTAATCTGCGCTCGTATTCGCGTCCTCCTACTGTATCATCGGAAGGCGCGTCGCGCAGTTTGCGGAGACGGTTATTTGATGCGAGTGAGACTTGAACGTTTACATCGTCTGGGTCTGTCCATGCGGGAGCTTTTGTTTTTTTGGGCTGTTGAGGGATTTCTTGGCGAGTAATGGAGATTTCTTCGTCTTCATCACCCGGTATTATGGGTTCCTCCTCATCTTCCGCATCAGACCGTACATGGTCTTGAGGAGCTTGGCTGTGCTCAGATAGTCCAGCATTATCGTCAACAAAAAAAAGCTATAGGCGACGTGAATAATGAAGGGCGAATTCGAGTAGTTCAGCACATACATCCGAGTCGAGCAAATTTTCAAACTCTCGTCCTACTTCATGTGGTTCATCCTCTGCTTCTTCATCAGATACGATCGTTATTTCCTTTCCAGCTTTCTCAGGAGCATATGGGACGCCGAATAACAAGTTTTCGAGGCGCCTCTCCTCGTCGTCTTTACTGGTGTCATTGCGCAGATTAGTACCGAGAGGGACTAGTTCATGTCGTGTTTTTCCTGTCTTTTGACGTTTCCGAGGATTTTTGACCATCGTAACGGTGTTATCGCTGTAGTAGTGGCCGGTAAGGTGGATGTTTCGAAAACTCAGGAGTGGCTGTGTAGAACGTGACGCTTTCCGCCATCTACCATCAATCAGCGCTCAGCGTTAATTTCAAGTTCGCCATCGTTTTACATACAGCCTTGAATCTGATCATTCTCCACACGTAACTCTCAAATCCATATGGAACCTGTCGAGGCACATGATTGTTCACAGGCAGGTGCGTCGAGTTCTCACTGAGATCGTTATCAGGTATGTATCATGATTCATGATTTTATCAGGTTGTAGTCGATACGCAGAACCGACGGAGTATCAACCGTCTGTTGCGGACGTCTTACAAGTAAAACGGCTGTTGCAATACAAACTCCCTGTGGAGTTCATTGACAGGATTATCGACGAGGCATCTTACTGGGCGCACAGCACGATCTACATCGAACGGCCCACCACCATTCCCATTCCACTTTACAGAAAAGGCAAGCGTTCTGAAGATGGGATATATATAAGAACTCTCCCTCTCGGCGTTCAAGGGACTGAGGGAGACTTCAGGATCGGCGAAAAGGACTTCGAGGATGGTGGGGCAGCTTGGAAGAAGAAGTTGCGAATTGGTGGACAGGACGACGCGTCCGCGCCGACGCTATCGTCGCATCCGTGCAGAAAGATAGAGTTTCAGATTTGGACTCACGATCAAAGATTGCGAAAGCGGTTTCCTCATACGTACGTTGCATCATATGTATGGTGCGACGTCAGTATTGAGAGATTGGAGACGCCCATCTCTGATACCATCGAATGGCCGGCGCGTTTTCTTTTCGATGAGTGCGACGCAGAGTCATGTTTTCCGCGAGACACCGAGAGACCGTTATTTCCTCCTTGCACGAAAGAGACAAAAAATCTCGCGGCGAAGACTTCTGGATCAGACCACACGATGTTTTGGCACTCCACGGATGACTTTGACAAGGATGCCGACGGAGACTGTTTTTGGCAGTTTATTGATCACACCTTTGATAGGCAAGACGCCAAAACAGCACAAGTGGGGAAAATGGTGCGCAGCTTGCGAGTGGGAGATTGCATGTCCCTGTTCGCTTATGCTCGGCTTCCCAACTCTGAAGGTAAAGTTCATGAGGCCAGGGTTAGCGTGTATTGGGCGGTGTAGCGTGTCATGGTATCTTCCTATTTCAAGACTTAGCAGATATATCAAACCTCCCGTTACTTACGAGCCTTACTCGTTTTCTATGTTATAGAGAATAAATTACAACTTTCCATGACATATTCTAGTGGATTCTACGACCATCGACTTGCTGCAGAGCCCTACTGCGGAAATACTCTATGCATGACATTATTCTTACGTTCCGTCAGCTGATGACAATGTGTCGCAGACATTGTTTCGACTAAAATGAGACATACGTACGATCCAAGCATCCACATGGGCCAGTCGCCTGTCGAATGAGCATCCCCATGTGGAAGGACAAAAGACAGTGGATGGCGTTCACATTGGACTTCACGGCACTAAGGTAGCCTTCCGACTGGACCACAAAGGTGTAGCCAACGTGCACGGTACCACACCCCTATCTAGATATGACAAATGAAGGTTAGCTTAGGGAAGATGCAATCCTCACATTCAAAGATACGCCACCAGAGATATCCCTGGCAGGATGACATATAGTACTTTCTTTCGATGAAGAATCAATCAGTCTTTGATTGCGCAGTTCGCGGGCAACTCGGATTAGTCAGTGCCTACCGGTGCTGTTGGAGAAATAATTGAGGCAGTCTGGGAAGGTGTCACCTTCTAGTCCCGAAGATATCGGTGATGTATGACAAGCAGGGCGAAGGGGACATGTACTGGCATGTCTGGAAGCGGCCCTCACACCGCGGCAATCCCGGATGCTTTGTTACAAGATTAGCCATAGACAAAGTCACCCCGCTTCATACCTAGTTCCCTCATGGAACCTTTTTTCGTCTTTCAAGTCTATTCTCAGTCGGGTAAGGGCAGAATGATCGGGTTTATATCGTTGAGCGGTTGATTGCCATGCACAGCGAGCGTTCCTAAGGAGTGGGCAGTTGGCTGAATTTGTTGCCACCATGGCGTCCCTGCACGTATACGTACTATATTATATGAGACATTGGCGTTCGCAACGTACAGCACAAAGGAATCTTATCAGTAACACATAGACGAGTTCATCTGAGGTCTGCATCATAAGAAAAATTTTAGGGAATGTCCGCGGTTCACATATATCAGAAGAACGGCACCTATCAGCCGCGCTTTCCCCCGGTCCGCGCTCACCACCACAACTTTCAAGGCCACTCAGTCTCAGCTGGCTAGACTACACGTTCGACATCTGTACTTCTATTTTTTTTTCATAGCAGGCCCCGTCCTGTCCCTCTGCGCTGGAACCGCCCGAACACACGCCAACCACTAGCACTGCCAACGTGTTGATACTTGTTACAGGTTTACTCCTCTGGGATCCTCGGTTTCACCTCCACACTCACACAGCTGCCTCATTTGTCATTCAGTCTGTTCTTCAAATCGTAGGACTTCGCTGTTGTATTCATAGCTCTAGAGCCCTCCATTCGTTTCTGCTCTAGACTACGAAATCATGGGTGCATGCATGTCGACAGGGGGCATGGTGGATGTCTCAGATGATGATAAACGGAGGCATAGAGAAGCGGAGAAATATCTCAAGGAAGTGAGTCTCTCGTTTTCCATCTCTCCCTAATAACATCTTATTGACCCCATCCATTATATAGGCCAAGGCTAAAATGGCTTCCCAGGTCAAAGTATGTTTGACGCCCGTTGCCGTATGTTATTCATCATCATGTATGTCACGTAGGTTCTTCTCCTAGGGTCTGGCGACTCCGGAAAATCCACAGTTCTAAAGGTAAGTCACTTCTCAAAGTCCACTTGCTGTCAGTTCACGACCCTTCTTTCGTAGCAAATGCGACTCATTCATCGGGTACCCTTCTCACCAGGAGAAATTGAGACCTATCGTCAACTAGTGTTCAACAACCTAACGACAGGTCTAAATTACGTGTTCGAGGCCATGGAGGATATGGAGCTCAAAGTCGCAGAGGAGAACCTTCCACACATAGAACTCATCCAGAATGCTCGGGATATCCGTGAACAGGAGTCTTTTCCTATGTCATACTACGAGCCCTTGAGAGATCTTTGGGCTGACCGTGGGGTCCAAGAGGCATACGGAAGAGGGAACGAGGCCGCCCTTCCCGAAAAGTGAGCCTCGTGTCTTGTGCCTTGCTTCCTTCGAGACCTTACAACTCCAATCACAGTCTCTCCTACTTTTTCTCCTCTCTGGACAGATTATTCGACCCATCATATCAACCTACCGAACAAGATATCGTCCAGTGTCGAGCTCGCACTATTGGAATAACAGAGACGACTTTCCATCTTAAAGACCATGAGATGCTTATGGTCGACGTCGGCGGTCAGAAGAGCGAGCGGAGGAAGTGGATTCACTGTTTCCAAGACGTCACCAGTATTCTATTTCTTGTCAGTCTAAGCGGGTACGATCAATGCCTTGTCGAGGATCGGGATGCGGTGAGTCACCTTGCACCTCGCGATCTGTCTGAAGACGAACCTTTGATTTCTTATTCAAGAACCAAATGCAAGACGCCATGACAATATGGGACTCAATATGCCATTCACAATGGTTCAAGCAGACATCGATAGTACGTCAGATTGTCCTTGTGATTTCGAAAGCCTTTCACGCATGCTGCTCCGTCAGATTCTCTTCCTGAACAAGGATGACCTTTTCCAGAAGAAGATCCTCAATTCTGACATCAAAAACTTTTTTCCGGTGAGTTACTTTCCTTTGACTGGCTCCTTTTACTCAATGTGCCTCAGGATTTTGAGGGTGAAGCAAAGGATGCAAAAGCTGGTCGAGATTACTTCCGACGACGTTTTACACGACTCGCTCATAAAGCTGGACGTTCCAAAGAACGCGAAATTTACATCCAGTGCGCCTTTTCTGTTATTTGCTGAAGAAGCAGCCTAAATGCTAGAAAGTGTAACGACTGCAACTGATACGGAAATGTTGAGAGTAGTGATGGCCGCTGTTGAAGGTCAGTTGCTATGCGGATATTTTTAGCCATCGAGTTACTCATTCTTTGCTTTCCAGAGTAAGTTCCTCCTTCTATTGATCCTTCCCCCACCCGCCAGTGATGTCGTCCAACCGTACGCTCACTTCCCACCATTCTTCCCTTTCCTTTCATAGCATCGTTCTTCGATCCAATCTCCAAATCGCGGCACTAATTTAATGTTTCTTTTTTTGCTCTTCATCTTTATGATTTATCCATGTCACATCGTCAACGTTCGCATCTCGCTGTCGTGCTCCAAAACATAACTGCTATTCGCCGGGACAAACTCTTGCATACTCAAATTTCAACCTTAATGTTCCTCTACAATCTTACCATTGCAATCTCTACTGGCCCATCACGTAACCGTGCGATTGTGCGGGCTTCTTTTACATTGTTCGAAAATATTCAACGATATCAGTGCTGTCATAAGCAAAAACGTGAGTTACTGCCTCTTCGATTGCGAAATTTTTTTTGCAGGAACGCTGATGGGCCCCCTTGTCACCAGATCCGCGAAATAATGCTTTGAAGATTGTCACCCCAATTGGACGCTAAAGTGATTAGGCCGCAGGCACGATTAGTACCAGCGAAACCCCTTTGTTGGCAGCATACCATCTAAAACAGGAAGACACCCCGCTCGCCTCAACGACTGGTGGCACTTTACGGAGCAGGTGCCTTCACCAGTCGTTCTTCACACACATTGTATGTCTTCTTTTGACATTTCTCCCCTCAAAGCTATCGCGATCAAGCTGCTATACATGCCGCCATCTGTGTATTAATAGGATACTGGGTCATGTACTATTTGGTTTGCTTGTGATATTTAAGGACCTTTCTTCATCGAACGCTGGTCGCGTCTTGGTTTAGCTCGATGTATTTTCATTCGTTGCTTCGCTCTTTGTGATATCTTGACTGCTGATACGTATCGCCATAAGGCAACAAAGTGGGTCGGGCTCCGTATGATAGACTAGTCTGGATAAGATCTTTGAAAGCTCCGTTGGTGCGCACTTGCGTACAAGCATCGTGCTACCGAACTGGATAATTTGACCAACAAGGTTGATCCGAGGTTACAATGCGCCCTTCGCGTGCGTTCGAAGTTTGATCATCATCGCGGAAGTAGCTGTATGATAGATTTGTGTACCCCTCATAGAGTCGGGAACTGCCGACTTGGGGCGGACATTCAAAGCTTCCCGCTTACGGCATCGGCGGATTTGTCTGAAAATATATATATCGAGTAAGCGCCAAATCAATGAAAATGATGATATTGGTGAGCACTTGGCGCTGTTTCGCCTCAGATCATTCCAAGTAAGAGGTGCCCGGTAGGTTCCTCGGGTACGAAATGGGCTCTGGGTCAGATCCGAAGAAGATGCTATGAATTGAATTGAATTGAATCGTTAGCGCCTACAAGTTGTCTATGCCTAGATAAGGTATTCCTCCCGGTGGCTTGGCTGCGCCACCACCCTTGAAACTTGGAGTCCGCCGTTCTCCAGAGGGAGTAAACTCACCCACGACCTGGACCCGGAATACCAATGTTAGCCCGGGTCTGACTTCTTTGTTGTATGAGCGGCCGTATGACTCCTCTGAGAATGTCGTCATACTACTCCTGTTTCAGATACAATCCCTTTGGGCAAGCAGAGATAGAGTTGATCGAAAACTCACCTATTCGACCGATGTGGTACAGTATCGAATTAGGAATACGTGCGCGATAAACGGCCGATATTCCGAAACTTTAGCTTTGAGATCGTAACGCAATACAGGAGAATTGCCGCCGCTATTACAAATGGGAGAAAATTTTAGATGCGGCGAATATTGCAATGTCATCGATGATGAGTGGCGCGAAACCCGTCGAAAGCTATATTATTATATGTACCCTTGCGCGCTGTGAAGTGTAGAAATAGATTTTAGGACATTGACGCTGGGGGTTGTTGTGAGTTGTTTTACGATTTTGATACGTCGCGACGGCTATACCAATGCGAATGGTCCACCTGGTGCAAGTGTGATTGTTAGCGGTGATACTGAGACAGCCGGTGACAAACCTGGACGCAATACTTGCTGAAGCAGCAACCACGGTAAAAAAAATCTTCTAGGTGTATGTTCGTCGCTGCCACAAACATCATCGTGTTCGGTAGAAGATGCACAAAGCAAGGTGCACAAAGCAACTTGAGCGCCCACTGAACAAAACGCGTACAAAGTACACGTGACCGCATCATGGGCCTTGCAGCAGTCGATCAATATAATATTGTTCTTCTGATCATTGCATACATACTGACCTTATTAAGTAATCTTCGCTACTAGCTCTACACCCCCTAGCTTGTAATGTCTTTCGGCGAAGTTGTACACTACGTGACCCAGCCTACAGGCTGGCCTGAACAAGTGCGCGGTATCGCTTCCTTGCTGTCACCGCCATTCTACTGTCGAGACAGGCCAAGTGATTGGCATCCGGCCTGTCCGTCCTCAACGTTCTCAGAGCCACTCCCTCAACATGAACCACCTGCACCGGGACCATGGACTGCAAAGGATTTTCAGATCTTGATTGACTCAACAGCTGCAGGGTTAACCGCACTTGCTGAGCTTCCTCGCTATGGCGGCGAGAGATCCACTGTCCCTTTCTGGTCTCAGCTTCTCCATGCACTAGCAAATACGCTATCACCAGATGTTCTTATTCTGTGAGTGACATGTTCGTCGCGCATTAAATAAAGACCCGAATATTACCACAGCGAAGATGCACCGTTCATCATGCCACGGGCTCAGAACGCGGCTAGTCAGCCTTCAAATCTCATTGACGGACATGCGACTCTTCTTGCTGCTCATGCCATCTTTTCCGAACCGAGAACTTATTCAGATATATCGATGACCAGTTCACTAAACGAGCAAGACGGTGATGAATCGATTTATTCTGCAGACTGCGACTCTTGCGATGACGATGACTCGGTTGATTCACTCGACCTGCCATTGCAAGCACATATGCTTCCGGGTCGAGGCAGGTGCCTTTCGGTCGTGATTCCAGTCTTACTGGTCGCAGACTCTAGCAATATCGTTCCCCTACTTTGTAGCGCTCTTTACCAGAGACGCGTGTGGGGGATTCGTCAGCCTGTGGTAGGTCTCTGCTGTTCCAGCACGGGTACGATCGCCACGACCATCTTCGGGTGGCTCGACTCCGATCAGTCTGAGGATGGCCGCATGGCAAGTTTCAAATCAATGCACATTTTTCCATTTTGACCCTTTCTGAAGCCTACAGTTCACCTCGCTTTGGCAGCAGATGTCCGCTCAGATCCCTCGATGGGGGTGTTTGATTTCACTGATACCCGTTCTGCTACAAGTCTTGCGCAATTCGTTTTGGGGTTGCGGACTCATTTTCACAATATCAAGGGCGCCACGTCGATAGAAGCAGTCGATTCTCTGACTCCGTTGGGCTGGAGATCCGATTTACCTGACTTTGAAACTCAGTTTGGGGCACGATTGGACGAACGAGTGATATCCTGGACCCACCAGGTACACGTGCAGACGAGTTCTAGGTACAGGTTTTTATCTTTAATACAAGTCCCCATCTTTATGATCGTTCAGCGAGGCATCATCCTCACCTACTCCTCGTACTCCATCCCCGCTCTTGGACACTGCGCTTGTATCATATGATACCATGAGTTCTCCATTGCTCCCTGCCATCGTTGAGAATGAACCAGTTGATGGCGCAAATATCAGGTCAATGATTCGGCCTACGTCGCATTCATCGACACGCAACTAACTCGATGATTTAGGTCACACCAAGAAACACGCGCGAAGAATGTGAAAGGACGGCGAGTTCGCTTTAGTTACTCTATTCGTGATCTTATTCTCCTTGCAGAGGAAGAGGGTCACGACCATCATCCTCGAGGAACTCTTTGAAGAGGACTAGTCCATCGCCACAACCGCTGTCTGAGGTGATGGGTTCGACCTCATCGCGTGCACCCAGCGCATGTTCAAACTCACGGTATGGCGCCTGCTTCTTGGCTGAGCGTTGTTCAATAACTGTTGTTCGTCTCCAGATTAGCCGCTTTGGCTGATAACGGCCTTGTAGACGGCCTATCGATGTCCAATTGGCTGTTTGAACGCCATGCGTTCACAGTCGGTCGTATTCCAATCCGCTCTAAGGAACTGGCAAGCGAGACCGGAATCAACGCGATGGTGAACATATATGATCAGATGACGGCGTTCACCTGGTCGAACGATATTAAAACCATAGTGAGTCTGCAGGGTTGCTTTTGTCGCTGATTCTCATCACGTCGTGCGCAGCTCTCGGATGCAGCGTTCGATAGCTGCGTGTCAGACATTAGATCAGAACTTATCGACACGAATGGTGGTCCCGACCGTCAGCCCAGCACGATCGATGCTCCGTCTTTGAAAGATGTCGAGTTTATTGCACGCCGGATCTCCATGCTGTTACACGCTGTCAAAGGTGCCCGCAGCTGTGATGATGTCGCACAGTTGCACGGGGCCGACGAAGCTGATCGGCGTCACGAGTGGGATTCGTTACTCCTCAATTTCTTTCAACCCGTTCCCAAGCAACGAGATGTGTTGTGCGTAGTCCCTATGTCTGGCCATATTTGTTCTAAGGGTTCATCTAGGTTAGAGCGACAGTTGAACTTGACTCGTAATCTCGTTGCCGATGACGCTTCGTTTGAAACACGAGCTGTCGAGGTCGCTGATGAATACCATGCCCTCTGTTATGAGCAATTTCGGTGTATTCCTCTCACCGCGGAGACCTCTGGCAGATTGAGGCAGGCCGCAGCAGGGAGAGATCAAGCAATCACATTTGTTGATGATATTAGGCATCGCCACCTGGAGAAGGATTTCGCTAAAGTTATTGCAGATCACTCCTCTAAGGATCCAGTCACTGGAATATGTGATGCTATCCTCGTCATTCCATGTTCTGATGTTGCTACTGCAATGCTCAACTGCATACCTAGTATCGAAGAGCAGGAAACGCTTCTCAAATCTTTTATGCTAGTCCAGGGCCCAAAGCCAGACAAGCTCGACACTACTACGAGGGAAACTTCTCACCAGATCGAAAAGACCCACAGCCGAAAGACCCCATCCAACAGATCACTTCAGGTTCCCTCCTCCTCTCACGTATCGGAATCCAAAACGATCGATCGATCTCTGTTGCATAACCCATTCCTTCATCATCCCGACCGCAATCAAGCAACTCAGAGAAAAGCAGCAATACTTTCCAACGATGCGTCCTTCGATGGAGCTAGTCGACAGGACCTACTACTGCCAGTATTACTGGCCGAATATAAGAAGAGAGACGAGTCCGCGATTTCGACAGCCATGAACCAGACCAAAACGTATCTGGTTTCGGCGGTCACCTTCCTTTCTGAGCTCGGCATTACTGACCAACCTGTCTTCGGACTAGTCGTCAATGGCTCACTTGGCGCCATCACGATGGCATGGAAAACCAACAATGTATGTGCTGCCTATCTTCACCATTTCTGAAGGAGCTCACGAGTGATGCAGCAAATTTACATCATGGAACGTAATGTCCGACACTACGAGATCACAGACCCTCTTCAGGCACTACAATTTGTGTCTATTCTACCTCGCCTCGCGCGTCACGGCCTGGGACTTCGCCACCTATTAGAAAAGCAACTTGCGGGAATAGATGTAAGTCAATTTCAATCTAAGCCGTGGTCCAAGTTGTCCCAACGGCTGGAGGACGAGATATTGGCGGCAGATAAGGGACCAGATTCGGAGTTAGAGCAAGCGGTCGCACAAGATGATAGATGAGGCGGCGCGGAGAGGAAATAGAGATTGCAATATGTACGGCACAAGTAGAACATGATAGCCCTGTTTGTTTTACCCATTTGTAATATTATACCAATGTTTTCGTGCACACTTAAAAATATCTGTTGGCCTGTCCAGGTACTGTTCTTCAGCGCGCTGCCATGAGTCTCACACAGGATCTTCGAATTCTAATGGAACTCTCCTTGCTCAAAATTCGGTCAATTCTCAAATGATGCCCGTCATCGCTGATTTCCCCATGATGCCGTCGATGCAGCCTGAATCAGAAAATCAACAGATACGTCCGAGTCAAAGATCCTGGACCATAACCTAGACAATACGCCGAACTATGAACCAGACCAGTCCGACCGGCTCTTAACAAGTGTACCAGACGAAGTCTATGAGGCTGCTGCCACCGACCGGGGCTTTTTCACGAAACCCGCTACGCGATGAAGGCCAAAGGGAAGTGGGATGAAAACTTGTTGCCTTTCTATCTGGTAGTACATCTCTTTTGTTCGTCCGTTGAATTTGGCAAGGCTGATCGTCCAGCAGGACAGGCCTCACCTGTGAAGAGAGGCACAGGCCAGAGTAAGGTCACCTGCAGCAAGTTTGATTCCCTTGCTTATAATTTCATGCATGGATTGGTGTTCCATCTGGTCAAACATTCGTCTATGGTCTCCCCACTCATTATCAGTGCACCTTAGGAGAGATCACACCTTTTGCTCTGCAACAAACTGGAAAATACGAATTGAAGTCGAAATTGGGTGTACATATCGTGAAGGTATACAGTCTCAATGTCTGGGATATTGTAGTCCTTGGCAACAGGTTGCATGTAGATGCTACATGCGAAGTCGTCAGATTGTTTTAAGAATGCTTTCATCGACAAGGTGGGAGGACTCACGGAATTGATCATATACCAATGTGCACGAACACTATGCGCTGGTCCAAGGGTATCTCCGTGTCACGAGCTAACGACTGGACCGCTCGGTGCAGCGCCCGGGCAGCTCGTTTGGAATTCATTGTGCCATCCCCGCAAAAGTTTTTGTAAAATGCTTCAACCAAGCGGTGCACAGTACTATCGTTGACCTTCCATAATGTCCCAATGACACTCTTAACTCCGGCAAATTGCAGGCCAGCCGCTAGGTGTATCACTTCATCAGGAGTATCACGGTCGCCGACTGCGGTTTCACAGGCACAAAGAAATGTAAATTCATGCCGAGACAGATCAGTCTGTGTGATATCGAGAAGTGAAAGCGGTTGGTCCCGCATGAGAAAAGCTGAATTGAAGGGGTCCTCATATTTCTGTATGCCGTGACACGAAAAATGGAGCCAAGCATTATCTTGCAGCGCGCGTAGTGCCCTCGATTTTGTTGCATCAACGCTCGTTATCTTCGTGAAGGAAACAGTTGAGGGAGGGGGTAGAAGACTTCGTACTAATTCCAGTTCAGGCTCCACACAATCCAAAGTGAATGAGGCACCGGCCGGGCAATTCTGACCAATGGCAGCAAAAGACACTGACAGGGACCTGTCATATCTGCGAGCCTTTATCAGCGCGGTAAGCGATGGCGTGTATGAAGAGATATAGAGCTGTGAAAGGAACTGCCCATCTTTCCTGTACTCGCCAGCAGCGTGCAACGGCAAGAAATTGAAAACAGACGTCGGGCACCACCATATTCGAGAACCTCGGCGTGCAATTCCGCCAAGATTTTCGACCACCGGACGAACGACGTCATCCCACAACTCCATCAAGGCTTTCATCGGCGCTGGACTACCTGTGCGTTGGAGTTTGACCACCAATGTCTGGAGCTTCTCAAGGTTGGTAGAGAGTTGAATGCTAGCCGGAGGTTGCTTGTGCGGGATGATAATGGCGTGGCAAGACGACTTGCTTGCGATGAGCATGATGATAGGCCCATCACGAGCTGCATCTTTAAGATCGGAGAATAAGGGAGGAAGGAGGAAGCGAGACAAACCCTCGATCTTCCGGATCTCTTCTACAGCTCTATTCCAGTCCTCCACTAGACGCCTGTACCGGGTTTCTTCGGCTTCTATATCGACTCTTGGGGTTGTTTCTGAATAGTTTGCGCGAGGTTTATCGAGGAGGGAGCTGAGGTTTCTAAATCTCTTCATCAAGGCCACTGCATGATCGCCATGAGTCTGAAGGCTGTCAAGAGGCGTGCGGAGTCGTGTCATTTGAGTCCAGATGAGAGTCCTGCCCTGTTCCAACAACTCGACAGCGCGGCAAACATCACCATTACGAAGAGCACATGATGCAGCATCAACGGCAAGCGTACTTGAGAAGTCCTTCATGATGTTGTGACGAGACGACACTGAAGCTGTTGTAGTCATATAAGCATCCAAAAGTTGCATGGAAGTTGAATATGCCTCCAGTTCAGTGGCATGCGAATGTCGACAGGCAAGATCAACCCATAGTAGACTTGTTCGCAGGCGAGATAGCAAGCCTCCAGGAACGACATTTGCTGCTGCCTTGAGATGATTCATGGCAGCATTCAAACTGTCAATATCTTCGCACGGGCCAGTGCCGTCAAGCCCTGATCGATAGAACAACAAATAGACCTTAGTTAGCGACTTATAGATTACTGATTGACGAGGATCATGATGCGTTAACAAAGTCAATGCACAGCACAGCTTCTCTCGTGACTCGTCGAGGTCTTCTCTGTTCTGTTGGTGCTCAAAGCGGATGGAGAGTTGAATCGCGATGTTAACTAATGACGACGGCCGATCTGTGTGACCGACCGGGCGCAAGGCCAGCGCTTCCCTGTGAAGTGCAATAGCCTGATTCAAATCTTCGTCGTGGCCGCGGTGGTCAGAGCGGGTCGAGAGTCGATTTGCAAGGTTATTTAATGACATGGACCGATCTGTGTGACCGACCGGGCGCAAGGTCAGCGCTTCCCTATGAAGTGCGATAGCCTGATCCAAGTCTTCATCGTTGTCTCGGTGGTCGAAGCGGATCGAGAGTTGGGCTGCAAGATTATCTAATGACATGGACCGATGTGTGTGACCGGCCGGGCACAAGTTCAGCGCTTCCCTGTGAAGTGCGATAGCTTGATCCAAGTCTTCGTCGTTGCCTCGGTACTCGAAGCGGGTGAACAGTTGAACTGCAAGGGTATTCAATGCCCCGGACCGATCTGTGTGACCGACCGGGCACAATGCTAGCGCTTCTCTGCCTAGTGCGATAGCATAATCTAAGTCTTCGTTGTTGCCTCGGTGGTCAAAGCGGATGAAGAGTTGGATCGCGAGATTATCTAATGACATGGGCCGATGTGCGTGACCGACCGGGTGCAAAGCCAGCGCTTCCATGTGAAGTGTGATAGCCTGATCCAAGTCTTCGTCGTTGCCTCTGTGGCAAAAGCGAGTGGAGAATTTATTTGCAAGATTGTTTAATGACGTGGACCGATTTGTGTGACCGACCGGGCACAAGGCCAGCGCTTCCCTGTCAAGTGTGATAGCCTGATCCAAGTCCTCATCGTTGCCTCGGTGCTGAAAGCGGGTGAAGAGTTGCTTGGCAAGGTTATTTAATGACATGAACCGATCTGTGTGACCGATCGGGCACAAGGACAGCGCTTCCCTATGAAGTGCGATAGCCTGATTCAAGTCTTCGTCATTGCCTCGATGCTTAAAACAGGTGGAGAGTCGATTTGCAAGGTTATTTAATGCCCCGGACCGACCTGTGTGACCCACCGGTCGTGAGGCCAGCGCTTCCCTCTGCAGTGCGATGGCCTAATCCAAGTCTTTGTCGTTGCCTCGGTGCTCAAAGCAGGTGGAGAGTCGATTTGCAAGATTATTTAATGACATGGACCGATCTGTGTGACCGACCGGGCGCAAGGCCAGCGCTTCCCTGTCAAGTGTGATAGCCTGATCCAAGTCATCGTCGTTGCCTTTGCGGTCAAAGCGGGTGGAGAGTTTATTTGCAAGATTATTTAACGACATGGACCGATATGTGTGACCGACCGGGCGCAAAGTCAGCGCTTCCCTATGAAGTGCGATAGCCTGATCCAAGTCTTCATCATTGCCTCGGTAGTCAAAGCGGGCGGACAGTTGAACCGCAAGGTTATTCAATGCCCCGGACCGATCTTTGTGACCGACCGGGCACAAAGCCAGCATTTTTGTCTGGAGTGCGATACCCTGATCTAAGTCTTTCTCGTTGCCTCGACGCTCGAAGCGAGTTCGCAGCATTTCAGCAAGGTTACCTAGCAATTGCTTTCTGCAAGCAGGCCTGGCGCTGTAGTATCCTAGTGCATGATAATGGAGGGATATCACTTCATCCAAGGCACGGGGTTCATCTCTCTGCAAACACCACTCTGCCCGATCAGCAAGTTGATCCGGCGATAACGGAACCATGGATGCGGCGGGCCGCTCCTGCCCAAGATCATTTGCAGCGACGCTTCCAGCCAAATGCAGAGCGCATGTTTCGATTGCAACCAAAGCTGCTCTGTAAGTGTGGCTGCTGGCGTGGCAGACATCGAGGACTTCGCTCAGTAACTTTTTGGCCGTGTCAACATCTATTTGAAATCCCCGTTTTGCGAAGCGCGACAACAGAGAAATGGCAAGATGGAATTGGGTGGCGGGTCGGTCTGGATGACCAGTGGGACTCAGATCAAGGGCGTCTTGAAAAAGAGAGACAGGGATGTCGAGGTCGAGGTATGTTCCGTTAGCTTGGCAGCTAATAAACTTTGCGGTAGCTAGATTGAACAGTGCTGCAGGGCGGTAAGGATGATCCTCGGGGCAGAGATCCGAGGCCCATTCAAAGTGGTTTATAGGATTGGTCCAGATCCTTATTGTTCTGCGTCCTGCGGTATTGTGAGAGAAGACGATGTCCGGCATCCGTCTTTAGTGCCAATGTATCAATATCGCGGGATGTAAGCTACATGGTGCTCTCAGCACGAGAATGCCAGACTACACTGGTCACTCACGGTAGTAAGGGGACAAAGAACTGCGGCGTCATTTTGTTCAGAAAGTCGCTGTTCCACTGTCATGAACAGTGAAGTACAAGCAGATACAACTTCTTCTTGCTCTGACTGAAAGAGTATGGCTGTGATACTTGTTAGCATCTGTCAGGCGTTATTTTGCAATAGATGATACTGACGATGCGATTTTTCGCCGCGATCCAGTAATTCTCCGACGGAGATCTCGAATGTGCGGAGGAGTTCTCCATGACAAAGCATGGGACCCATTTCGAATGAGGCGTACACGCTGACCCGAACTGTAGAAGATGGCTCGCATGGCCTAGAGTCTTTCTCGGTACCTACAGGACAGACAGGTAAAAGGACAACTTACAAAAGAATGCGCTCTTGCCATTCGAGAACGGCTTGGTCTACATGTACAGACTTATTACTTGTCTGGTATTCAATACCGTCGGCCTTGACCACCGTATGAAAGCCAGCAGGGATTCGTCGGAGACCAAGAGTGAGATCAGTTGCGTGAATGGCTTAAGGGAAATCGTCAATACGAGCTAAGCGGAGATAGATATCACACACCAGTAATGACGACTTGTTGCACTCCACTGATGTGTATCTCTCCCGGGTCCTTAGTGAGTTCTGGGTAGCTTGGCTCCTCACTAAACAATACGCACATCATCAGGCATTTAGATGATCAGTGCTTCATATACTTACTTGTCTGCTTTTTGCCTGAAAACGCGAAATCAAGTCCATACGTATGCTACACAACACAACAACTTACAATCGTGGAAGTTTTGAGCACTTCGTCTTGTTGTCGTTATCATTGCCTGACGACTTGCGCTTGCGTTTTCTCCCTTCCAAGGGCTCAGTATCGGTATCGGTATCGGGAGCAGGTTTCTCTACTGGAGGAGTCGGAGAGGTTTCACGCGATGACGCTGAAGAAAGGTCTGAATTAGAGTCTGATTGTGATGAGTATAAAGACTCGAAGGTGGCACGTTGACAGCGGACCATATAACCGAGGGATGGGTCAAAGCTAGTACTTGGAGTGAGATATGTGCTGGAGATTGTGGAACACTGCAGTACCTGTAAAGTCCTGCTGTAGTATTATAAGTGGGGTGGCTGCAGTATGCACGTGGCATTCAGACTGTGCAGCGCTGATGTCAAAAGGACAGAAACGATGCAGTACCTGTAAAGTCCTGCTGTAGTATTATAAGTGGGTGGCTGCAGTATGCACGTGGCATTCAGACTGTGCAGCGCTGATGTCAAAAGGACAGAAACGACTTGCAGGTCACCTATACAGTGGGCGTCAGATTTGTACAGCCGAGGCACGTTGTAGCGTGCGATGTTGATAAATCAGGCGAGACGAGAAGGCTGGGAGGAGCAAGGCATTCCACTTTCGCAAGAATTCGCATATTACGAAACACTGCCTGAATGTCACTGCCCTTGAAATTTTGAAAGTCTGGTGAGCACTGACGTGGACAGGTCAGACGATAGCCTAGTATGTTTGCACGGGAAGGCACGCCGGAACCGAAAAGAAGTCGTGACTGTACATGTTTTGAACTTGTTTTGATGCAACGTTTAAGGACAACTTGCCAAGGACAACCCGTTTTCAGCAACTTGAATCCATCCGTTACATCCGAACATGCCGCAGCGACTTTATATACTGGCCTCGATGTTTGATCAAATCAATACTCCTCACAGGCTAACATGTCATCCACTACAACCACAAGCCCCTCGGTATTCCACTTCGACCTCTTGTCGCTCTATCATGCGCTTTGGTAGCAGCAGGATTACTCTGTCATGAGGCAGTCGACATGTACGGTTGCGGGTAGAAGACTTCGTACTATTTCCAGTTCAGGCTCCACACAATCCAAAGTGAATGAAGCACCGGCCGGGCAATTCTGACCAATGGCAGCAAAGGACACTGACAGGGACCTGTCATGTCTGCGAGTCTTTGTCAGCACGGTAAGCGATGGCGTGTATGAAGAGATGTAGAGTTGTGAAAGGAACTTCCCATATTTCCTGTGCTCACCAGCAGCGTGCAACGGCAAGAAATTTAAAACAGACGTCGGGCACCACCATATTCGAGAACCTCGGCGTGCAATTCCGCCAAGATTTTCGACCACCGGGCGAACGACGTCATCCCACAACTCTATCAAAGCTTTCATCGGCGCTGGACTACCTGTGTGTTGGAGTCTGACCACCAACTTGAATGTCTGGAGCTTGTCAAGATTGGTAGAGAGTTGAATGCTAGCCGGAGGTTGCTTGTGCGGGATGATAATGGCGTGGCAAGACGACTTGCTTGCGATGAGCATGATGATAGGCCATGTTGCATCAGGAAATTCACACATTCATCACCAAAAGTCCCAATCTAGATATGGCAAGCGCTTGCCATATCATATCACAACACCAGGTAACAGATCCATCAGACGCTTCACGTACCACCAGGTCAAATTTGTCCAGATATTGTATACTCTTGAAACTGATCGACTGCTCGCTGACTATCATTCTGCTGAATTTTCCGCCACACGCTGGCTATATCTAAGTCTCGCTAACCTTCCATTATCTAGACGTTATAAGACACAGAAACTGGTTTGACGCTCAATGTCGTGTCGTCTGCTGGCTGCGTCTAAGTCATGCTAAACTAGATATTGCAAGACTCAGAAACTTGTTCGACTCTCGATCACCAGTCACCTTCTGAACATCCCATCATCTGCTGGCTACATCTAAGTCCTGTTGAACTTGCATCGTCTAGATATTGTATGAGCAGGAAACACTCAGCTGCTGACTCGGCTCACATCTTATCAGGTTGGTCATAGTATTATGAGTATTTCACCCCTATTTACGAGCACATGCCACAGAACTGTTCCTCTGATGTAGAGGCAGTGATTGCCTACCTGGATGGGTTGTACATGGCTAACGACACAGCTGGAATCCAGATCCTCAAGGAGGCATTCGGTCTAGGGGATCTTGTACACGTAGATGACTTCGCCGGTGCACGTGAGTAGCCCTTATCCTTCGTGCCAGTCTTAAATCTTTGCATGGAACGGACAAGTGTTCCGAAGGGCTTCTGATCCACGCAACATCCGTAGTTGCTATTGCCTTCATCAGCGCTTGCAGTCCTTCCGTTTCCACATGCTTATTTCAAATTTTCCTTTTCCAACATTCTTTTTCTCAAATTGTTCTCCTGCCTTCTTGACTTGACTGACTCTGTTCGAGCCAAAAGTTCAATCCAACCTGTTCGATTGGCAAGCTCTGCAGCCTTATGTCGGCCCAGGAGCGATGTTCTTCCAGTTCTGTGATGCACTCGAGGTCAAAAACGGAATCAGTGCTGGACCTGAAGGATGGGGGCTCGAAAATGCCATCCACTCTTGGGGAAACTTTTGGAACACCACATACTATAACGTTGGTAGGCGGTTCCCTTCGTTTCTGATTGATGTGGCTAAACTTGATAGTGAAGTCTGTGGATCCAATGATGCCGAGTACGTATCCTTCGGACCTAGTCGTCCAGATTGGCTGACTGCCAAGCTAGAACCTGTCTTGGGACGTACGATACCAGCCAGTCCTACTACACTAATGTCACCGTGAATAATGGAAACAGATCGTGGTTTTGGATGGTGTATGGATTCTCATTAGCTCGAATATCCACTTTGACAACTATTCCAGGTGCAATCAAGTCGGATGGTACCAGGTTGGCCCTCCTGAAGGTCAACCCGCAATTGTGAGCCGCATTCTCCAACCCATCCACTACGAAGTACGTCTATTGGATTTGAAACATGAGCATTCTTCAACATAATTTTTTCAGCGTGAATGCGTGAGCATGTTTCGTCAAGTGTTCGCCTATCCGCCTGAGCCTACCACAGAAGAGACGAACGCGAAGTACACTGCTTGGGACGTGAACGTCCCGCGTCTCTTCTTCGCAAATGGCCTGCGTGACCCTTGGCGCGAGACGACTGTCTCTGCTGATGGGTTGGATAAGCCTAATATTCCCAGCATGCCGATCTATGAGGGCGACGGATTCCATTGTTCGGATATGATCACACAGAATGGCATTGCGGACCCGACTGTCGCGGCCGTGCAGGAAGCAGGGTTAAATTACATGAAGGAGTGGCTCGCTGAGTGGACGCCGTCCACCTAATAAGAGATTGGATCATCGGGACTTGTGGTTAGGCGAGTTGCTTCAAGTTGTATTATAGTATCTTGCGTTTGGGGAGAAGCAGTATCCTGTAGGCAGATCAAATAAAAGGAAGACAGATTCCTTTTGTATAGGTGTCTATGCCAATACACATCACATTTAATTCCTCAAGCTCAAGCCCTCCAAGGGCCCAGGCTGCAGCTACTGCACTGTATGTGATTCAAAAGCAAAGACACTCACTCTGTCACCCGTTCCCTCAACGACCCGGCGCCGACTACCTTGGATGCGTATCAATTCATGATTGTCCTCAAGCACCAAATTTCTACGACATATCCCGTGTTGGCATCCGAAGCGCCAGAGTCGAAGAAGACCGAGAGACCCGATGGACAGGCACGAGATGACGAGTAGGAAATGACAAGTAGCAGGTACGAGCGCAAGTCATTGGTCGAGGGAGGTCGGGGACGGAAGGAACAGGGAGTACCTGTTGACGTCGGGACCGAAATGGTCCAAACACCCAAACGTTACGAGCGTCTCAGTTCTTTCCAGAAACTGAGACGTGAGTCTATACCTTTATCGTTATTGTTACACCTAACTGACTCAGCGTAGTTATTCTTACCTGTTAGGTACACGCTTCGTCAATAAGAGTTCTTTCCAGAAACTGAGACTTATTCTTACCTGTTAGATCGTTTCTATCCCGCTCTACCTCTAATCTCTAGATCCCGTGCATTCAAGGTGGTCCCATCATGTTGATGACGCCTGAGGTCAGTTGCCTGATGGATCCGTTCCCTGATCATGATGAGTCAGCAGCTTTACAATTCAACAGAGGTAAACATTTAAAACAAACGGTGATGAGTCACAAAGACTAGATGTCATATTCCAACAAAGACATCCGTCCATCCGTTACATCCGAACATGCCGCAGCGACTTTATATACTGGCCTCGATGTTGATCAAATAGATACTCCTCACAGGCTAATATGTCATCCACTACAACCACAAGCGGTATCTCACTTCGACCTCTTGTCGCTCTATCATGCGCTTTGGTAGCAACAGGATCACTCTGTCGTGAGGCGGTCGACATGTAAGGTTGCGTACCTGGAGGAGCAAGAACAGTGAGTCTATTTTTTTCTTACAGGAGATCTGAAATGATGCTAAAGGGTCCAAAACAGGACACATCCAGTACTTCGACGTCATTGATCTATCTGGACACCCTGGTGCCAAGTTACCAAATTTAAACGGAGCGACCTCGATGATAATTCGCCCGGCGTATGAGAATTTGTTTCACGAGATCTCTACGAATGAGCACAATGTCGTCGTTCATGGGTCCGCTGGTATCGGTGAGTCGGTGTCCTTCCGTAATTGTCGTTATTTGATATAGCCGATTACCCTCAGGGAACGCACACTTTTTGCTATTAGCCCTCGTCAGGCGAATTCTTGCGCGCCAGCTAGTCACATATCAGATAGACCAGTCGGACTTGAGCGTGAACTTTGCTACAGGATTGATGGTATCTACAGCCATTGCGTAAAAGCTTTTTTTACTAGTACTGAACTGCAGTTCAGGAATCTGTGTCAGGAATCAATGGAAGTCTTCAAAATCAGGTCATGAACGGAAATGTTGGCTCTCTCGCGAGCTTCAACACTTAGTATCAATTCTGAAAACATAACTTGTCTTCATTTGGTGTCCATATCCTGGCAGGGTGAAGCTCTTCATAAGCACTGGATTTTGGTGCTGCATGATGAGTGGGAATGCATTCAACGCTCACGTAATTCAGACATTCGATTATCACGTCCATCGCAAAGTTTTTCTTGCCACATGAGATGTTATGCCAGATCGGTGTCGTGCAACTTCATTCTTACGCACAAACCATCAGACTTTGCACCTTAGAAGCGATCACCCCCGGCTCCGAGGCAACAAACTGGAAAATACGAGATTCAAGTCAAAATTGGGTGTACATATCTTGTAGGTATACAGTCTCAAAGTCCGGAATATCGAAGTCCTTGGCAATAGGTTGTGCATAGCCATGACTAGATGCCAAGTCGTCAGATTATCTCAAGAATGCTTTAATCAACAAGGTGGGAGGACGCACGAAATTGATCATATGCCAATATGCACGAACACTATGCGCTGGGCCAAGGGTATGTCTACGTCACTAGCCAACGACTGGACCGCTCGCTGCAGCGCTTGGGCGGCTCGTTTGGGATTCATTGTGCCACCCTCGCAAAACCTTTCGTAGAATGCCTTGACTAAGCGCTGCACAGTATCATCATTGACCTTCCACAATGTTCCGACGACACTCCTAACCCCAGCAAATTGCAGGCCAGCCGCTAGGTGTATCACTTCGTCGGGCGTATTGAAGTCACCGACCGCGGTTTCACAAGCAGAAAGAAAGGCAAAATGATGCTGAGACAGATCCATTTGTGCAATATCAAGGAGCGAAAGAGGCTGGTCGCGCATAAGAAAGGCCGACTTGAAGGGTTCGTCAAATTTTTGTGTCCCATGACATGCGAGATGGAACCAAGTATTTTCTTGCAATGCGCACAGTGCTCTCGATTTCGTGGCATCAACGCTGGTTATCTTGGAGAAGGAGACGGTTGGGGGAGGAGGCAAAAGTTTCTGCACCAATTCCAGCTCAGGCTCCACAGCATCCAAAGTGAAAGAGACACCGGCTGGGCGATTCTGACCAATAGCGACGAAGGGCACCGACATGGGTCTGTTACGACTTGCGCGAGCCTTGATCAGCGCGGTGAGAGATGGGGTGTATGAAGAGATATACAGCCGCGAAAGATACTTTCCACCATTTCTGTACTCGCGAGCAGCATGCAACGGCAAGAAATTGAAGAAAGACGTCGGGCACCACCATATTCGGGAACCTAGTCGTACCAATCCGCCCAATTTCTCGACCACTGGGCCGACGACATTGTTCCACAAGTCGTTCAAAGCTTCTGTCAGTTGGTGCCCAGTCTCTTTGTCAACTGCCTCTGAAAATTTGGTTACCAATTTGGTGAGTTTCTGAATATCGGTAGGGAGTTGAATGCTGGTGGGAGGTTGCTTGTGCAGGATAATAATGGCGTCGCAAGACGATTCGCTTGCGATGAGCATGATGATGGGCCCATCACGAGCTGCATGTTGAAGCTCGGAGAACAAAGGGGGAAGCAGGAAGCGAGAGAAGCCCTCAATCTTCCTGATCTCTTCTACAGCTCCATTCCAGTCCTCCACTAGACGTCTGTACCGGGTGGCTTCTGCTTCCACATCGACTCTTTGGGTCCCTTCTGGGTGGCTTGGAGGAGGTTTATCAAGGAGGGAGCTGAGGTCTATGAATTTCTTCATCAGAGTCACTGCATGATCGCCGCAAGTCTGAAGCCCGTCAAGAGGCGTGCGGAGTCGAGTCATCTGGGTCCAAATGATGGTCCTGCCTTGCTCCAACAACTCAACAGCGCGACTCACGTCCCCACCACGAAGAGCACACGATGCAGCATCCACAGCAAGTGTACTTGGGAATTCCTTCATGGTATTATGACGAGATGATACGGAGGCTGTCACAGACATGTAAGTGTCCAGAAGTTGCATAGAAGTTGCATAAGCCTCCAGTTGAGTACCATGTGAATGTTGACGAGCATGGCGCACCCAACTTAGACTTGTCTCCAGGCAGGAGAGCAAGCCTGCAGAGACAATATTTGACGCTGCCTTATAATGATGCATGGCAGCATTCAGACTCTCTGTATTTTCGCCAGCGCCGGTGCCGTCAAGCTCTGAACGATGGAATGATAGATAGACGTTAGCTATAGATTGATGGACTATCAATTGACGAGGATCATGCTGCGTCAACAACGTCAATGCACAGAGTAGGTTCTCTCGTGACTCATCCAAGTCTTCGCTGTTTCCTCGGTGGTCAAAGCGGGAGGAGAGTTGATTCGCCAGGTTGGTTAATGCCGCACACCGATGTGTGTGACCGACCGGGAACAAAGCCAGCGCTTCCCTGTAAAGTGCGATAGCCTTATCCAAATCTTCGTCGTTGCCTCGGTGGTCAAAGCGGGAGGAGAATCCATTCGCCAGGTTGTTTAATGACATGGGCCGATCTGTGTGACCGACCGGGCGCAAAGCCAGTGCTTCGCTCTGAAGTGCGATGGCCTCATCCAAGTCTTCGGCATTGCCTCTGTGGTCAAAGCGGGAGGAGAGTTGAGTCGCGAGGTTGTTTAATGACTTGAACCGATCTGTGTGACCGACCGGGCGCAAAGGCAGCGCTTCTCTCTGAAGTGCGATAGCCTCATCCAAGTCTTCGCTGTTGCCTCTGTGGTGAAAGCGGGAGGAGAGTTGAGTCGCGAGGTTGTTTAATGACTTGGGCCGATCTATGTGACCGACCGGGTGCAAAGGCAGCGCTTCCCTCTGAAGTGCGATAGCCTCATCCAAGTCTTCGCCATTGCCTCGGTGGTCAAAGCGGGAGGAGAGTCCATTCGCGAGGCTACTTAATGACATGAGCCTATACGTGTGACCGGCTGGGTGCAAAGGCAGCGCTTCCCTCTGAAGTGCGATAGCCTCATCCAAGTCTTCGCCGTTGCCTCGGTGGTCAAAGCGGGAGGAGAGTCCATTCGCGAGGTTGTTTAATGATATAGACAGATCTGCGGGATCGATTGGGCGCAAAGCCAGCGCTTCTCTCTGAAGGGCGATAGCCTCATCCAAGTCTTCGCCATTGCCTCGGTGGTCAAAGCGGGAGGAGAGTCCATTCGCCAGGTTGTTTAATGCCGCACACCGATGTGTATTACCAACCGGGCGCAAAACCAGCGCTTCCCTCTGAAGTGCGATAGCCTCATCCAAGTCTTCGCCGTTGCCCCGGTGGTCAAAGCGGGAGGAGAGTTGAATCGCGAGGTTGTATAATGATACGGACCGATCTGTGTGACCGACCGGGAACAAAGCCAGCGCTTCCCTGTGAAGTGCGATAGCCTCATCCAAGTCTCTGCCGTTGCCTCGGTGATCAAAGCGGCGGGAGAATCCATTCGCGAGGTTGTTTAATGATATGGACCGATCTGTGTGACCGACCGGGTGCAAAGGCAGCGCTTCCCTCTGAAGTGCGATAGCCTCATCCAAGTCTTCGCTGTTGCATCTGTGGTCAAAGCGGGAGGAGAGTTGATTTGCGAGGTTGTTTAATGATATGGACCGATCTGTGTGACCGACCGGGCGCAAAGCCAGCGCTTCCCTGTGAAGTGCAATAGCCTCATCCAAGTCTTCGCTGTTGCCTCTGTGGTGAAAGCGGGAGGAGAGTGGAATCGCGAGGTTGTTTAATAACAAACACCGATCTGTGTGACCGACCAGGACCAAAGGTAGCGCTTCCCTCTGAAGTGCGATAGCCTCATCCAAGTCTTCGCCGTTGCCTCGGTGGTCAAAGCGGGAGGAGAGTCCATTCGCCAGGTTGTTTAGTCCCGCCCACCGATGTGTGTGACCGATCGGGAACAAAGGCAGCGCTTCCCTGTGAAGTGCTATAGCCTCATCTAGGTCTTCGCTGTTGCATTGGTGATCAAAGCGGGAGGAGAGTTGATTCGCAAGGTTGTTTAATGATATGGACCGATCTGTGTGACCGACCGGGCGCAAAGCCAGCGCTTCCCTGTGAAGTGCAATAGCCTCATCCAAGTCTTCGCCGTTGCCTCGGTGGTCAAAGCGGGAGGAGAGTTGACTCGCGAGGTTGTTTAATGACATGAGCCGATTTGTGTGACCGACCGGGCGCAAAGCCAGCGCTTCCCTGTGAAGTGCGATAGCTTCATCCAAGTCTTCGCTGTTGTCTCGGTGGTCAAAGCGGGAGGAGAGTTGAGTCGCGAGGTTGTTTAATGACTTGGACCGATCTGTGTGACCGACCGGGAACAAAGCCAGCGCTTCCCTGTAAAGTGCGATAGCCTTATCCAAGTCTTCGCCATTGCCTCGGTGGTCAAAGCGGGAGGAGAGTCCATTCGCCAGGTTGTTTAATGACATGGGCCGATCTATGTGACCGACCGGGCGCAAAGCCAGTGCTTCGCTCTGAAGTGCGATGGCCTCATCCAAGTCTTCGCTGTTGCCTCGGTGGTCAAAGCGGGAGGAGAGTTGACTCGCGAGGTTGTTTAATGACTTGGGCCGATCTGTGTGACCGACCGGGAACAAAGCCAGCGCTTCCCTGTGAAGTGCGATAGCCTCATCCAAGTCTTCGCCGTTGCCTCGATGGTCAAAGCGGGAGGAGAGTCCATTCGCGAGGTTGTTTAATGATATGGGCCGATTTGTGTGACCGACCGGGCGCAAAGCCAGCGCTTCCCTGTGAAGTGCAATAGCTTCATCCAAGTCTTCGCCGTTGCCTCGGTGGTCAAAGCGGGAGGATAGTTGATTCGCGAGGTTGTTTAATGATATGGACCGGTCTGTGTGACCGACCGGGCGCAAAGCCAGCGCCTCCCTGTGAAGTGCAATAGCCTCATCCAAGTCTTCGCTGTTGCCTCGGTGATCAAAGCGGGAGGAGAGTCGATTTGCGAGGTTGTTTAATAACACGAGCCGATTTGTGTGACCGACCAGGCGCAAAGCCAGCGCTTCCCTGTGAAGTGCGATAGCTTCATCCAAGTCTTCGCTGTTGCCTCGACGCTCGAAGCGTGTGTGCAGCATTACAGCTAGATTACCTAGCAAGAACCCTCGGCAAGCATGCCCAGCGTTGTAGTATCCCAGTGCATCATAATGAAGGGATATCACTTCATCTAAGGCACTAGGTTCATCTCTCTCCAAACACCGCTGTGCTTGATTAGCAAGTTGATTCGGTGATAACGGAAGCACGGATGGGGCGGGCCCCTCCTGCCCAACATCATTTGCATTAATGCCTCTAGCAGAATGTAGAGCGCATGTTTCCATTGCAATCGCAGCCGCTCTGTAAATGTGGCTGTTGGCGTGGCAGACATTAATGACTTCGCTCAGTAACTCTTTGGCTGCATCAGCATCCGTTTGAAATCCCCGTTTTGAGAAGCGCGACAGCAGAGCAACGGCAAGATGCAGCTGCGTGAGCGTTCGGTCCGGATGATTGGTGGGACGTAAGTCGAGGGCGCCTTGAAACAGGGAGACAGGGACGTCGAGGTCGAGGTATCTTCTCTCAGCTTGGCAACTAACAAACTTTGCGATGGCGAGATTGAACAGCGCTGCAGGGCGGCAGGGATGATCCACGGGGCAGAGATCTAAGGCATGTTCGAAGTAGTTTATGGATTCCTCGAGATCCCTGCTGTTCTGGGCTCCACGGTATCGTGCGAGAAGATAATGTCCAGCATCCGTACTCAGCGCTAATGCGTCCATATCGCGGGATGTAGACTACACGTTACGGCTTTCAGTATCAGAATGCCAGACTGCATTGACCGCTCACAGTAGTAGGGGGGCAAAGCATCGCAGCATCGTTTTGATCAGAAAGTTGCTGCTCCACTGTGAATAAAAGTGAAGTACAAGCGGATACGACTTCCTGTTGCTTTGGCTGAAATATTATGGCTGTGATACTCGTCAGCATCTGTCAGGCATCGTGTGCAATGGACAATACTGACGATGGGAATTTTCGCTACGATCCAGTAATTCTCCGACCGAGATCTCGAACGTGCGGAGGAGCTCTCCGTGACAGAGCATGGGACCCAATTCGAATGAGGCATACACGCTAACCCCTACTTTAGAACATGGCTCGCGCGGCCTAGAGTCTTTCTCAATACCTGCAGAGCAGGCGTGTTGAAGATGACTTACAGAAGAATGCGCTCGTGCCATTTGACGACAGCCTGATCTACGTTTACAGATATATTGCTTGTCTGGTATTCAACGTCATCGACCTTGATCACTGCATGGAAGCCAGCGGGGATCCGTCGGAGGCCAAGAGTGAGATCGGTCGCGCGAATGGCTTGAGGGAAATGGTCAATACGAGCTGAGCGGAGATGGATATCGCATACTAGTGATGATTGGTTGCACTCCACTGGGATGCATCTCTGCCGGGTCCTGGGTGTGGTCTGGGTCGTTCGGCTCCTCACTAGATAATAAGCACATTGTCAGGCATTTAGATGAACAGTGCTTGATATACTTACTTATCTTGTTTTTGCCTGAAAACGCGAAATTAAGTCCATACATATGCTACACAACACAACATCTTACAATCGTGAAAGTTTTGAGCACTTCGTCTTGTTGTCGTTATCATTGCCTGACGACTCATGCTTACGTTTTATCTCTTTCAAGGGCTCCAAGTCGGTACTGGAAGTGGATGTCTCTGCTGGAGGAGTTTGGGAAGTTCTAAGCGACGACGCTGAAGAAAAGTCTGATTCTGATGAGGTTGAAGAGGCACATCGACGATGAGCCATTATGAAAATGATGACTGAGGGATGTATCTAAACGAAAACTGGTCATGAAACACTGCAGTACTTGTAAAGGTCTGGAAGGAGGAAACTACAGCATGCACATAGCATCCATCCTGTGCAGCGCTGATGAGTTAACAGGATAATAATAGGATATCATGATAAGCGGCTTGCCAAATATCGGGCCTTTCATAGCCTCAGTTAGACTCGTGACCAGTCTCCTGATGTACGTCACATGAGAGTTGGGAATTTTGACGTACCACGGTACCAGGCTGGTCCCGAACCTAAGCCTCAGTGACAATATGAATTGTCGTCAGATTTGTACAGCAGTCTGATGCGCACGGTGAACCAGGCGTAAAGCGGGCGAGACGAGAAAGCTGCGAGGGGCATTTGGCGTGCTTGTCCATGGTGATGGAACATAGACTCGTGACCAGTCTGACGTACGTCACATGAGAGTGACGCGTCTCTTTTTCCATATATAGCTCACAGGTATACTTATACTCCGAGTCGCCTCCCAAAACGCTCGCTGTCAATGCCGAGGTTATTGGCTGTGTTATACCACTGGCACCTTGAACAACAAAAAGCTCATCAACACCGTGTACCCTGCTTTCATTTCTACCCTGGGGATGCACTGATTTCATGAACTAGGACGCATATGTACTACCACTGGAACTCTTTCGCATAATTCAAATCCCATAGTTCATCATATCGGATAGGTCGCAAATAAACACCGTATTATAGTGATATCAGGACTTTTTGGCATTTTTCAGCGACGTCGAAGGTCGCGAGTCTCTGTGTACCCTTTGTAAGCATCCTCCGCATCCTGCAGAAGATTCTTCCAAAGATTCTGTTCATCCCCGTTGAACCCTGACATATGAGCATCTTCAGGATGGAAACCACTCATTTCGTCATCATCTCTCTCGACCTGAGCCACCACTTGCTCCCTCCACTTCTGCCACACTGGCGTGTCATTGGGCACAAACTCCATCAGAATCTTCATTGGCTTGATATCCTCGAGCGGCCTTGGTAAATCTTCGCAAAGAACGAAGCACGTGAATGCGGCCATGCTGGCCCGAGTGCTAGCTTTGAAACCGAGAATGGCTTTCCGGTCAAGTCCGATAGTATTGCAAAACAGTTTTCCATTGTAGTCTTTCCTCCTCCAGGGATGCAAGGAATGAATTGTACGCCCAGGATGCTATTACCGAGGTCAGAAACATGATCTGACCTATCAGCGATCCCTGGGGAATGAGGAGGAGCTGCAGCAGAAACTGAACTTCGAGGAGCAGCGAGCACAGCCCGATAGCTGTATACTTTGGTTCTCCTTTCAGCTTCAGCGAAAATTTCCACTTCGTGATTGCATTCACGTCCTTTTCCTTTCCCTTCAGGATGACGACACCATTCTGCATCAAGAGAATCCCGTCTCCTGGAGGGGCGCCCTTGGCTGGATCGACCTTGACGATACCAATGACTCCGGAGCCGATGACAAAACACGTGACACCGCCAGCAATGATCCCGAGGAGGATCATCGCAAAGCAGTACCAATCCGTAACTAAAGCAGAGATGATGCATGTACTGAAGCTGACAAGGATAGGGAAGATGGCGAAGACGATGTGGTGAGTGCTCATGGTCTGCACATGAAGCTCGGCGTCTACTATGTCAGGGACAGCGACGATAAAGATGGGTGAAATCATAGTGGTTCGTGTGGCAGGAAGAGAATTCGAGTTTAGAACTAGATCATCTGTCTCCTGCGTAAGGAGATGTGCAAAGTGCCCTGTTTGCTGCATGACGGTTCCTGAGCGTGACGCCACGTATTTTGGGCCAGTCTTCACATTCAGCCCGAATGCAACGGCTGGATCACGGTTGGAGCCAGGAAAAAGACCATCCCAAAGTCGTGACTTGGATATCTTGCCAAACTCCTTGGCTACAGTGTAGCTGCCGGGGGAGTTGTACCAGCCAAGCCATCTACGGCCCCTATAGAGATGCACGGTATTCATGGCAGTGATAGCTTCCTTGCCACCGAAGAAACCAGCGACACCGGAAGCATCGAGACGAAAGCTTTGAGAATTAGAAATCGACCAATGAAATGGAGGCATTTAAGACAAGTCAGGAATTTCGAGTTTGTTATCAGGTTGTCCGTCATTATATACCACTGCGGGCGGCTCCATTGCATGTTCTAGAACCGGGAGGTAAAATAGCCCTTGTTGAAAGTTTGTGGTGGCGAGCACAGTCAAGCGCTCTGAACCCTTACCACATCCGAGTGATACGGGAAGCCCTCTCCTGATGGCAATACCAGCGTTAAAAATCAATGTAGAATTTCGAAAAGAAGAATGATCATGTTTCTGTTCAAAGATGTGATACGGTCGAGTCGCGAATAGTTCGTCATGCGGAGCGCTCTGAACCCTGAACCCTTCTGATTCTGTGCAGCACGGAGGTCAAAGCTCCCCATGTGGTATCCGCGCTAGCACTAGAATACGATCCTGTCAAACCCAGTAAACGAGATCAATCCACAACCCCGGTTCAAGCCGATGTTTTATTTTTGCGACAGACGAAGGCGCTGAAGACAGAGACAGTGGTTTGGCTAGGAACCGAGTAGCTTATTCCGAACACTGGCGAGTTTGCTGCTGGGTGGGCGGTAAAACTCGATATGCAGCCTGAATGAATGGTGAAGTAAAGGAGAATGAAAACGCGAGGAAGAAACAGGCAAGCTATCGATCAGCTGGACATGTGGTGAGCGAACAAAATATAATCGGGTGTCGTGCTTGCATCGTGGTTCCATGCAATGCGCACCCCAATTCGATGATAAAGCAAAGTGTGATCATACTTTCTATGCAAATGATGCATCATTCCTGTATCCTGGGGGGCATCTAGGCTTTGAACACGAGTCATTCCTAAGGATGACATCAATGTGGCCTCGTGTCGGACTCGGCAACTTTGGATTTGCTATGTTGTTTTTGTTACTCAAGCCTGGGATGTTGTCCAGGTTTGAAATTTGAAGCGCGAAGCTTGGCGTAGAACAGCTGAATGAATAGTATTTGGGGTTGCCACAACACTTGATAAGTATTATTAAGACTCTAGCTTGGATCAGCTGGACTGAGTTGGTTCCCACGGCTTCTAAGTTCTCACCACTGATCTGAATGCAGTGAGCTGTTAGCAAATACGGCGAGCGCAGGACGTCTGTTTGTGAGCTCAGCGCTAGCGCTCAACGATGGCATCAAGGTACCCGCGCGGTTATGTACGTTACGCATTTAATCATTGACACGTAGCGTCACATGCACTGTTTATCTAGGTTCCATTTACTCGACGTGGCCTAATGAAATCAGTCATTATCGCAATTCATCGCGGTCTTGATCGTACGATTTGTGGCATGTCCGAGTCACAAGTCCCCAATGAGCGTAATAATATCGTTGGCGTTTCACTTGTGTAGTGCAGCTATTGAGTTCGATGGGGAATGAGTTGGACCACTGAGGGGGAGTTTATTCACCGAAGCTGCAGAAAGTAAAGACCGACTTCATATCTAAGTGAGTACAAAGGGACTTCCATAAGTAGTACTTTGAACCAGTACGAAGAGAATTTCATGGCCGATGTCCGTGGCCTTGGCTGAAGGTCATAAGACGAAGCAGTGAACGGCAGCCTGAAAGCAGTCCTTCATGCCAATGTCTCATCCAATCCTGTCAGAATTCGATATAGTTTTTGCTGGAGGTGAGCAAATATCGTCTTGTGGTAGTTTTCCCTTTTCACATATCATTCTGTATAGGTGGTACTACAGCCTGTGTTGTTGCAGGTCGCTTAACTGCATATGATCCCTCGCTGAAGATCTTGATTCTGGAAGCGGGTCAACACACCCTCAATAAACCTATACATGTACAACCCTACCAATTTCCTTTTAACAAAGCACCGACGAGTACCACACTCACATTCAACATCGGAAATCCATCTCCTCGTCTTAACGGCCGTGCACCTATCGTCCACTCCGCTCGTTGCGTTGGTGGAGGCTCATGTGTGAATTGTGCGTCGCATACTTGCAACGATGGATAAGACTCTAATAATTAGACAGTCATGGGATACACTCGTGCACCTGCTTCCGACTATGATGATTGGGGAGCCGATGGTTGGGAATCTGGAAAATTGATTCCCCTCATGAAGAAGGTCTCGAATGCAATCTCAAGATATCGTTCGAATTGCTGATACGTTCAATTTATAGCTGGAGACATATGAAGTGCTGCCCGATCGTCCAACTCACGGCTATGATGGACCTATTAAGGTGTCCTCTGGTGGGTGTAAAATGGGTATCGCCGACGAGTTCATCCAGGTTGGCACGACCTATCACAAGAGGCAGTATGCCGAAGATACCGATGATTTGGAAACATGCAATAGATACAGTGTGAGCTATGATACTCCTTCCCTAATGGCAACTACTAACCAAACGTGTCTCAGCCATGGCAGAAGTGAGTTCCTGTACTCGTAGGCTATCGCCAGTTTTTTGGCTCATGAATAAAAGGTACATTGATGGGACAACCGGAAGGCGTTCGGACACAGCTCATCACTATGTTTATAATCAAGCTCACAACCCAAACTTACAAGTCTGGGACGGAAAACGCGTGAAGCGTATCATCTTCGAGTAAGTGGGCACCTAAGGTTGCAGCCACAGCAAGCCATTGACGACCTTTCCAAATGAAAGGGACAAGCGTGCTGTAGGTGTCGAGTTCACCAGCGACCCAGTGTCTTGCCCAGACGCGGATCAGTCGTCGAGTATTGTAAGAGCATTGAAGCTTGTCGTTGTCTCCAGTGGGGCATTCGGTTCCCCGGCCATTCTGGAGAGGTCTGGGGTTGGTGCCGAGGCAGTTCTCAAGCGGTGCGGTATCGAGCCATTAGTGAATTTGCCTGGCGTCGGAGAGAACTATCGAGGTGCACTTTTATCTATCTATTTTCTGAGCTTGGCTTAGGGCGGTCAGATCACGATACCGCCTTTGCTCCGTACTTGGCTACCGACGAGGCTGTTACTATGGATGCTCTCTGGCGCGGGGAGAGAATCCTACAGGGTAAGCATATTCTCACTACGATTCCCGCGTTTTACAACTACCCAAATGTAGAAAGCCTTGCGCAATGGAACAGCAACGGCAAGTCATTGATTGCACAAAAGTCGGTGCAAGTCATTACTGCTGGAATCGTCCTGATTGATATCCTAGTGGCATCGGTTCAAAAATAAAGTGGCGTCCTGATGACGAAGAATTGAAAGTCATGGATCCGGTTTTTCAACCCCGTTGGAAGGAGTTCTTCCAGGACCGCCCAGACAAGGCTGTTGCAATATTTGGTGTTATTGCTGGGTGTGTGCATATTGCTTGACTTTGACGATATGACAATATTCATGATAGCTAGATATGCTCAACCGGACTCGAGGCCTCTTCTGCGTATCTTTCCTCCTCGCAACTACATGACTGCCGCTTATTTTACAGTACAACTCTCCGACTATTTCATCGGATTTTTCTGAATCTCTTCAATAGCTTTACCCCGTGTCTGTTGGAAGTGTTCATATCAATGTAACAGAGGACGGCAAAGAAAGAATAGACTTTACTGCAGGCTTCCTAGATCAGTGAGTGGACATATTTCGTTTCAGGGCGCTCTGTGTAACTACAATACTTCGCACAGTCCATCTGATATTGTCCCTCTTGACTTCGGATACAAAAAGACGCGCGAAATATTTCGACGCATGGCTTCCTACCGAGGTGAAGTCGCTGCTGGTCATCCTGATTTCCCAGAGGGAAGCGCTGCAACCTGCAGAGAAGTGTCCGGGCCAGTGGACATAAATGCACCTGACATCGTCTACACTGCCGAAGATGACGAGGCGATCAATCGATTCCACCGCAACGTCGGTGAGTCCTGGCTTGCCATATTCATTGTTACGGTAAAATACTGAATCGGACATCAGTGCAAACGTCATGGCATTCAGTGTGTGCAGCTGAACCTTCAATCATTTCATACCTGATCTTTGTATTTGTAGCTTGGGACTTGTGCCATGAAACCAGAGGCAGATCAGGGAGTCGTCGACGCTCGGCTCAATGTATATGGCGTGTCAAACCTGAAGGTCGCAGATATGTCCATTTCGCCGTTCAACGTTGGCACAGTGAGTACTAAATAGGGGATTTCTGATGTGCGATCTAACAATATATACAGAACACGTATTCGACGGCACTTGTCATTGGAGAGCGGGCTGCAATGATCATTGCCGAAGACTTGGGTATCAATTGCGTTTAGACAGACTTATTTATAGTTAGCAAAGCAAATGCGCGGAGCTTGAAATGTTTAGTCTTGTCGCATGAACGTCCCCCTTCAACAGCACCAACGAAGAGCTTGTAGCTCACGTTATTGAATCTGCACAATGAATCTGCTTTGTACTAAGTATGTAGGTAAGCCTGTCAAGATATTAGACACGAGAAGAGCTTTTAATTCAGCACGTGACTGCGACACGCTCCAAGACGCGTCGATTATCAGAACCCCGATATTTTCAAGAAGCCTAAAACTTGAAGTTCGCCCGAAGAAGCAGGCTAGTAATTGCCGATATGTATGAGGTGAGCGGCGACACGCAGACACCCGATCTCTGTGGCTACGCACCCACCACCTCTTCATTCTCAGTGCTTGTTTTTGACTTTCAGCATCCTCCGGGGCTCCAAGTTCAGCTACCAGTTCAAAACATTAATGGTTGAACGACTCCTGTCATCTTCCCCAATATTAATTGCCCTATCGATTTGTTTGACATCATTGGCTGCAACTGCGGATGATTGGAGAACGCGATCTATATACCAGGACAGCCTGAGTCCTTTGTTCACTGAATGCACCCGCAAAGTCCTGACTTATCGTGCAGATTCTTACGGATAGATTTGCGCTCGCTGACAAGGACAATGGCATTACTCCCACTGTTCCATGTGACACAGCTGCCCGCGACTACTGTGGCGGCTCGTGGAGAGGTGCCATCGATCACTTGGACTATATCAAGCAGATGGGTTTTGATGCGGTTTGGATTTCTCCGGTCTACTCCAACATCGAGGGTGTGACCCCTTATGGTGCAGGTTATCATGGGTGAGTGACTCACAATAAAAGCTAGATGGGATGCCTGATCATATTCTAGCTACTGGCCTCAAGACATTTACTCTGTCAATCAGCATTTCGGCTCTGCAAACGATCTGAGGAATCTGAGCTCTGCTCTGCACGAGCGAGATATGTTCCTCATGATTGATATCGTCGTTAACCACATGCTTACAACACTACCTCTGAACGTCACTGCCTCGAGCTTCGAGGCCCCTCATAATAGTTCGACAGTGGATATAACGCCTTTCGCAGATATAGACGACTTTCATCCATTATGTTTTATCGCGGATTACAATAACCAGACCGAAGTCGAACAATGTTGGTTGGGCGACGCCACACTACCATACGCAGACGTGGATACCGAGAACCCGGATGTCGTAGGCACGCTCAACAACTGGATCCAAGATGTTGTGTCTAACTTTAGCGTGGATGGTTTGAGACTCAGCACTGTAAAGTTCGTGTCCCCACAGTTTTGGCAGGATTTCACGCGAGAAGCAGGAGTGTTCACTATCGGAGAGGTATTTTATTTCTCTTTATCGCAGTCAGTGCTTTTATCAAATACCGTCGGTGGCAGGTCATGTCAAACGATACTAATTACACCAGCGGTTACACTCGTGAGCTCGTGCACATGATGACAAGCATGGTTAGTTGACATATTGACTATGTTAGAGGTTATGAATGCGGTGCTTGATTATCCAACGTGGTATGCCCTTGTACCGGCATTCCAGTCCCCAGAGGGCAATCTCTCTGCCTTAACTACTGTCGTGACGCAATCGCAGCAGCTTTATGCTAGCGGTGCATTCATGACTGGTTCCTTTCTAGACAATCATGACCAAGCGAGGTTCAAACATCTAGTCTCAGACGCTGCTGTGAGTCTAAAAACGCTGTCCGATTTAATGTATATACTGAACGTCACTATCGCACAGCTTGTGGCTAATGCAGCAGTTTGGCCTTTCATACATGATGGCATCCCAATCGTATATAGTGGTGCGTGACTGCACTTCTTGCAATTATCTGAAATGCAGTTATAGATACTTGACTAGGTCAAGAACAGGGTCTTTCTGGAGGTTATCCGCCAGCAAACCATGAAGCGTGAGTGCTAGACTTTGGGCTTCCTTCAAATTTTGATAATAGGGGAACGGAACCCAAGTATCTGGACGACAAGATACAACAATGAAAGTGCAGAGTATTTTGCTTTCAAAAACCTGAACCGTGCTCGCAAAATTGCCATGGCTGCCGATGTCTACTTTCTGACAACGCCGGTGTGTCGATAAGATACTTCTCCTTGTTCCATTCTAATGCTGTTTCGAATTCAGATGGAGTTCCTCGAAACCAACACCAATAACACCCTCGCGATATGGAAACCTCCAATGCTCACCCTTCTCACGAATGCAGGCTCTCAATCAGCTCGCTGGAACGTCACACACAAACTTTTCAAGCCTCACCAGCACATTGTTGATGTGTTAACATGCGACGTTCATGTTGCTGATGAACGCGGCGGCGTGACTGTGGAGAGTCCCGCGGGGCTGCCAAAGGTTCGTACTTATTCGTTGTCTCAGACTTTGAATACCTCTGAGTGCACGCAGGTATTCATGCCAATTACAACACTGACGGATAGTCCCGATTTATGTCCTGCGAGTGACCTGAGTGGGGGATTAGCGACTCGGAGTGTCTCATGGTGGGTGACAACTTATGTGGTGACATGCGTCCTCCTCCTTTGGATTGCATAATTCTTTTATGATTGGTAAAGTCCTCGCATGACTGTGCTCGCTCTATTCTATGAACAACTCTAGAATTCCCTGTATGATATGGGCACTGTAAGGCTATCTGCGAGTTCGACGGGGATCGTCGAAGTAACCGATAGTAGAAGGGATCGAATATAATGAAAGACTTTTCTAATGAGAGTGCTGAGGCTTCTGACGAGAGGACGTTTCGGACGGAATGCGCGCGTGAATCTAGCGGGGGAGCAAAGACTAATCATAATGAGCGTACATGCGTGTATTTAAGTTGTGAAAATAGGGTAAGGGTCCTTGCTGTAACGAAAAGAATGATTTGGTGAGACGGAGAGTGGTGGCGTTGAGCCTAACAGGGTGAAACATCGATAATAAAATGGAGTACGAGAAGTTTTTGAATGGTTGGTGGTAATGGTGTAGTACGTTGAGCACCTGAATGACGAGAATTTCGTATTGGTTTTGGCTGTTTTCGGTGTGTCAAGGGAGGGATTATGAGAATAGTGACGAAAGAAGGTTTATAGATGTCTGGGTATCGTGTAAGGAAGGCGGGAGAGCGAGCTGGTTGTCGACGACAGTGAGATAATGATAGTAAGAGACGAAGGATGTAACCTCGTAACTCGGATGCGAATGTGACGCTTGTTCGCATCCGTGAGTCACGTGGTTGGTTTGGACTTTCGTCCGAACGCTTGGTTTTGAAGCGCTGGTCGGGGCACAAAGGATATGTGATCCTTACATCCCCTCCCTACTTCGAATATCGACCGTCCTCGGTCGATCCTCTAACAATATAACTAAAAAAAATGTAGCGTGTAGTAAGATAGAAGGGAACTGATAAAACGAGAGTAATAAAACATGAGACAACGCAGCTAGATCATAGTTCTTCGACGGTGCCCGAAAGATGCTTGATCTCGATATATTGAGTAACGTCGAGGGAAGTTGAAGATCGAGGGTGATAAGGGATGAGGCGAAAGGCTGCGAACTTGAGTCTTGAAACGGCACCATCAACTTCTGCGAGACGGTAAGAGCCTCCTTGAGATCGCGAAACAACTATCATAGGTCCAAAGTAGCGTGGTTTGCACTTAGCGTTGGACGCTGGTTCAATTTTCTTATTCAAGACCAACACGAGATCGCCGGTTTTGAACGCGTAATCGTGAATGGTGTTGGCGAAGCGGCTCTCGAAGTTGCGAATTGACGAGAAACGACTCTTGAGTACTCGGCTATGAATTTCCGCTAATTCGTCATCTCGTTTGGCCAGTTGTCGAGCGCGTATGGCTAATAGGTCATCGGAGGAAAGTTGGGACGCAATGTTAGGGAGAAGAAAAGTTGCCTCTGTGATGTCGAAGGGAAGGAGAGGCTCAATGCCATGTGCCATGAAAAATGGGGTATGACCTGTAGACTTTCGAGTGGTAACTCGGTCAGCCCAAAAGACGTGATGAGTTAAAATGGGCCAGTCCGAAATGTCGCCTTTACAAGCTTAACGAGTGAGTCGCGAATGGTGCGATGTGGACCTTTCGACGACTCCGTTTGCCTTCGAGTTATAGGCTGAAATGCGAATATGGCGGATGTGATACTTCTGCGCGAGCCAATCAAGTGCTGCAATGAAAGGCGTCCCGTTATCAGTTACTATTTCCTCGAGTCCTCCCCATCTGCACAAAATCTCCTCAAAAATGAAAGCACCCAAGGTGCGTCCCGTCTCCTTTCTCAACATCCTGAACTCTGGCCAGTTCGTTAAGGAGCATTGTGCTTGTACGATGTAAGAGTATCCGTGGGATGCTGGCATGTGCATGGAGTCGGTGAAGGCTTTTCGGAAGAGAGGAGCCGGGATCGAAACAGTCGGAGGGAGTACAACCTTCTCGTTTGATCGAATTTGGCACTGATGGCAAGTTCTCAAGTACCAAGCGAGATCAGCGTCAAGTGAGGGCCACCAAAAGCGGTCGGCGATGGTTCGACGGGTTGAATAGAATCCTTTGTGCCCGAGTTCGTCGTGTGTTTGGCAGAGAATGCGATATCGGTTTGGCGTGAATATAACGAGCTGATTGCGTCCTGTTTGCTCCTTCCGCCATAAGCGCTGTCCTTGAACAAAGAATTGTCGTGCACGCTTGATGAGACGTAACTGATCTTTGGGGGTTGTGGGAGACGGAAATGACAGTGTTTTGAGATAAGTTAGGATCGTGTGAAGGTCGTTGTCAAAGCTCAGGGATCTTTCAGTGGCGGGGATTTCGTTAAGTGCGGGAGGAGTAGAGCTGGGTACTAAAGCGTTCGAGGTTGTTGTGATGGGCCATTCTTCATCGATCTTTTTCGCTTCCCACACTCCACATCCTAGTATCTCATCTACCCACTCATCCGCCTCTTCTGCTGTCTCGTCTTCGTCTTTCTCGTCTTCTGGTGCAGGAGGTCGTCGAGATAGACCAATCTGCTGCGACATGCTTGTTTCCAGGGACGTGGCGGAGGGTGAAGTCAAAGAGTGAGATTCCCGCGATCCAGCGGTTAACGGGCGGCGTTAGGTTGAATGTCAGGATTATTAAGCATTCCGCGTATGTATTTGGCGTCCACTTCAACTGAGAAGGTTTTGAAGGCCTATAAGCCATACCTTTGCTGCACGCAAGGCCCGGAAAAGGCCATACAACTCAATCTTGGCCTGAGAATAACGGGATTCCCGTTCATTCCAGGTGATGGATCCGAACCTTGAGGGACGACGACGACCTTCCGAGTCAAGTTGGAACAGTATCCATCCGCACGCAATGTGAGATGAATCTACGGCGAGAATGACTTCAAGTGACGAAGAGTAGTCGATTGGGCGAATAGCAGGGGAACAGATGATTGCGTCCTTGAGTGTGTCCATGGCATGTTGGGTTGACGCGTCCCACACGAATGGAGTGTCGAGACGCGTAAGGTTCGTGAGGGGTCTCGCAATCCGGGCATAGTCTTTTATCCAGTTGCGGACAGTACCTGCAGGTGCCGAGAAAGCTGCGAACTTCCGTGCGAGTTGAGCAAGGTGGCCAGTTGTAGATCTTGGAGACCTTGGTCTTGTCGGGTATACGCCCTTCGTAGTTGCAAAGTTGGCCGACAACAAGGACTTCAGGGACGCACAGGAAGAGCTTCTTCGCTGAGACGGTAGCTCCAGCATGCTTGAGGCGATGTAGTACCCTGTTAACGTCTACACAGTGCTCCCATACAAACTTCCTAATCCCCGCGTTTTCGGGAATGAGTTCAAACGATCCGTCAGAGGTCTCGTAACGAGTGTGCGGTCCGAGGACGTTCACGTCGTCCTGGAAGTTGGGTGCGACATCAAGCTCAGCTTGGAGGATAAATGCCACATCATTCTGAAATACTGCCGGGGAGTCGGTCCATCCTTGGGGAAGGACAGTGAGACGATAAGTCCCGAGGGGAGTTTGGAAGGTAGTGATATCGCGAGATTCTTCGGCGAGAGCTCGGTGGTCGAATCCCACGAATAAGTCCATCATTGAATATATCGCGCGACCTGCGCATTGTTCTGCGAAAAGCTCTACGTAAGGCATTGATGCTGCATCCTTGACGGTGACGGAGTTAAGCTGTTGGAGGTCATGCACTATGCGAACGGAGCCGTTCTTTTTCGCCACACAAAACCAGCGTGATTGGTATGACGAATTCGAAGGTTCGTAGACGCCGGACACTAATCTTCGACTTGATGAGCTTGACGACCTCCTCCTTGATGCCAGGGGGAATGGGTGGTTGACGGTGTGCCCATGGGACGTGCTCGATTGTAGGGATAACGACCGGAGGGAAGTAGTCGTCGCGGAATCGCCCTTTCTCGGTTTCGTCCCATGCGAGAGCTACCTCGTTGTTGGATAGGACTTGCGCGGCGAGGTTTCGTTCTTCCGGCCACAAGAACTCGTTTGAGAATACCCCGAGGTCGTCCATGCGTTCTTTCGTGAGGCGTTTGCCAGGAGTGAATGCTGGGGTGTGGGAGAAAGGAGTGGCAAGGATGCGAGAGGGTCTTCTGGGAAACGACGGATGATCCGCGCGTGTGCTGGCATGGTCGTTGCCACGGGCTTCACTTTGTTTGCCACCTTCTTATAGGCAAAAGTGCGGCGGACTGGTCAATGTCGAAGTGGGATTGGAGGAGGAACTCGGCGAAGGATGAGAAAAACGAGACGGGAAGTAGGGATAGGCATATTTAAACGATGTTGTAGATAGGGAATACGAGGAGGTGGTTGAGGAGGTAATGGGGGAATTAGCATGATATCTATTGGCAGAGCTGGCTGGTAGGATGGGATGATGGATGTGCGTCCAAATTTGTTGGCGGGATAGCCAGGACTCGTTCGGGGTTTGGCAGTGAATTGACGCCTCCAAGTTTGGTGTTGATCTTCATGCCTAGATTCGCACAGTATTGGTCATTAGCTTTTCTCGATTTTGTTCTCTTGGCCACGGTGTGTTGGGAGAACCAGCAATAACGTTACCAGGTTTAGCGTTGATCTTCATGCCTAGGTTCGTACGGTATTGGTCATTAGCTCTCTCGATCTTGTCCTCTCGGTCACGCTGTGTTGAAAAAACCGGTGATGACGTCACCAAACGACTTGATGGTGTGTGGTAGATGTTGGTAGGACTGGTCGAATACGGGGGGAAAATGTACATGGCGGATAAATTTGGAAGAAGCGGGAGAGGAGTGGTTGAGAGTGCCGCGGCTGTTAATGCAAGGGAAGGATGCGGCGAGAGGACGAGGTGTGGTTGAGACCCGTTGAATGTTAGCAGGGTCTGTAGGGTCGCGTATGGATACATATACGCCGTCAGTGTCCTCCTCTTTTGACAGACGGACGAGGCGTTGCCAGGGTCCGTCCCAGCAATAGTCGATAGGGTGCGTCTGGCACCACATATGCATGAGCCCAGGTTTTGATTCATCTACCTCTATTTCTAACATCTCCACGCACCCTTCCATTTCCTGTGATCCCCCATTTGCCGTCTGCATTCGCATACGAGTGCCCTGGTTGATCGGCGCCTTGGTCTTCTTCCAGATATCTTCCCGTATGACGACGATTTCAGATCCTTCGTCAAGCAACCCAAGCTCCGAGTGAACCCCGTTGAGAGTAACACGGATTTCGCGTAAGGGGTGGCGTGTTCAACTTGCTCGCTAGGTATTGAGGCAGTGGTGTTTGTTGAGAGGGCAGTAATAGGTGCGGGGACTCTGTAGGTGCGACAGTGCTCAACAGCTTCTTTTCGTAGCTCGGGACTGATAGCGAGAAGGTCAGCTACTGTAGGTGGGGTATCATTGTGTCAAGAATTCCCTTGAAGACGCGCCGTACCGCATCTGGGGTAGCTGCCTTGGATTCATATCTGAACGCTGGCGGTTTCTTTGCTTCTGAGGCAGGGACTGTAGGAGGTGCTTCGATTAGACGAGATGGGGTTGGCATCATGCGTTCGGGCTTAGGCGTGGTTTCTGTATTGCTGCTTCCCTTCGCTTTGGATCGTGTGACCGCGTTAACGTCTCTTTCCAATTCTTCACTTGTGTCTTCCTCATGGTGACGACTATAGCGTGGTTCTCGAAGATGGGGACACATTGGAGAAAGTAGGAGTCAGATATGAAGGCCGTTGAGGGAATCTTGGTGGGTGCGACAGGTTGGGACGTGCTTTCACACCTCGGCGCCTCGACGGGAATAGCGGTTTGATCCAGTAGCGGGTGTAGTTGGCGCTGGTATCGCGTACCTCGCATCAATAGCCTGCCTCAGGTTCTCGTTCCTGTGCGACGTATTCGAGACCGGTCTGGATATGCAAAGTACTGACCATCTCGAATGATTCGTCCTGCTCGTAGATAATCACCTGCAATCGAGCACGAACGAATTGCGTGGGGACCGCCGCAAAAAAAACAGGAGGAGTTGGGTTGAGCGTTTGATGAGTATTGGAGGGGTGGGTAGCGGAATATAGGGCAATGATGCTTGGGGAGCGGGTGTACTGATAAGTTGGCGAGAGCGTGGTGGCGCCCAGGCCTGAGCTGCGGCTGGTGCGAGGCAGACTAAACGCGTGTAGCATCCGGGAGTAGGCTACATCTCCAATGTCCAATCCGTGCATTTTTCGCGCGAGATCCTCTACCTCGTCTATGGTGGTCTTGACTGGGGGGGTAGGAGGAGTTGCGAAGGATACTCGCTTAGTTTGAACCTCTTTCCGAACCTCTTTTCTCTCTTCTTCGTCATCTGAATCCCAGGGAGGTTGAGCCTTGGGTCGCGTCGTGCGTCCTTCTCGTATGGTACGAATCCTAGTAGCTATAGGTTCGTTTAAGTCAGCATCGAAAGCGTCGTCTGAGAAAACGAATCGTCCGGCTTTAAGCACTTCTTCAAAGTCCGTGGCCTCCGTTCTTGAGTATGTCGGATTCTTCAGTTCGAGGACGCCTGTCGATAGCGCGTCTAGTGGCAGCTGGTAACCCTTGCCAGAAATAACGATCGCGTTCTCGTGTCGATATCTTGCTGTTAGCGACGAGCCAGTGTGCAACAGGGCGGAACTGTCGGTAGTATTGCAGAAGTTCTGTTTCTGTCGAGATATCGTTGTCGACGTTACTGATGACAATGCGCTCCAGATCTCGTATGGTATAGCGCTGACCCTTGGCAGCACCAGAATACTGGGCCAAGATACTAGCTTTGAAAACGTCGAAGTCCTTACTTTCGTAGCCTGTTAGCGTCACCCAGAAGCGTTTTGTCTGAATGTCCACATATCGAACGATTGTCTTGCATTTCTCAGCGGGAGTGAGTGTGCAGGCGTCCGCTAAGTCCTCGAAGAGTTCAAAAAACTCCAGTAATTCCGAAGTCTCGCCATTAAATGACGGGGCTTTAGTGGAGTTGGCGCCTGGCATGGCGTTAATGCCTCTGGATGCGTTGGACATTTTGGCCGGAGCTTGAGATGCGGGAAGATGATGTGCAAAGGGATTTGGTAAAGGAGGAGGTGCCGCAAGGATTAAATTTTGTGTCGGGACTGTTTGCACTGGAGCCGTAGAAACTGGGACTTGGCTGTTAGGGAGTGTGGAGGGTTTGAGAGTAGGTGTGTTGGGAGGGGGTGCTGGTACGCGAAGGAAGTCTGGGGGAGGTATAGGGGGAAGTGATTTCGCAGGGGGGGCAGTCTCGTAGGTATCAGGAAGAGTGGGAGTTTCGGGCTCGAAGACAGCTGGTCTAAGGGTGAACGTTGGCTGAGGGATAATGGGGAAAAGGGGGTTCGTGTTAGGGGAGGGTCCTATAGTCTCGTCGTCTGAAAGAGAGGACTCGGATGGTCCTTCGGAGGTGTCTATACTTGATTGTACTGATTTGTGACGGACCGGCGTGCGGGGGGGTGCAAGAAAGGATGGTTGCGTCAACGATAAGGTGGACGGGGAGTCGACCGTGTTTGCGCGAGTTCGGCTCTTCTTTGGAGCCAGCGCAAGTGGCTGCTTCTTGAGCTGTAGCTGCACGTTAGGATGGTAGTACTTTGAGATAATTATTGCAAGAATGGTCCAAAGACCGGGTATTGAACGAGTCAGACTAGAAGATCTGTAGAGATCCGCGAATCTGATTCGTAATGCAAGGGGGTGTTAAGACAGATCCCCTCGCGGTGGGCTCCAAAATATGTAAGGCTATCTGCGAGTTCGACGGGGATCGTCGAAGTAACCGATAGTAGAAGGGATCGAATATAATGAAAGACTTTTCTAATGAGAGTGCTGAGGCTTCTGACGAGAGGACGTTTCGGACGGAATGCGCGCGTGAATCTAGCGGGGGAGCAAAGACTAATCATAATGAGCGTACATGCGTGTATTTAAGTTGTGAAAATAGGGTAAGGGTCCTTGCTGTAACGAAAAGAATGATTTGGTGAGACGGAGAGTGGTGGCGTTGAGCCTAACAGGGTGAAACATCGATAATAAAATGGAGTACGAGAAGTTTTTGAATGGTTGGTGGTAATGGTGTAGTACGTTGAGCACCTGAATGACGAGAATTTCGTATTGGTTTTGGCTGTTTTCGGTGTGTCAAGGGAGGGATTATGAGAATAGTGACGAAAGAAGGTTTATAGATGTCTGGGTATCGTGTAAGGAAGGCGGGAGAGCGAGCTGGTTGTCGACGACAGTGAGATAATGATAGTAAGAGACGAAGGATGTAACCTCGTAACTCGGATGCGAATGTGACGCTTGTTCGCATCCGTGAGTCACGTGGTTGGTTTGACTTTCGTCCGAACGCTTGGTTTTGAAGCGCTGGTCGGGGCACAAAGGATATGTGATCCTTACAGCACAATTGCCTGTCCGCACCTTCGTCTAGTACATTAAGTAGTCAAAACTAATGTTGATATTACGTCTTCAGAAGAATAAATATTATACACAATCATGTTTCACTGCCGCATGATATCGATATCTGACGACGTTATAGCTGGAGACTGGAGTTGTGATGTGCACGAAGGCCCCTAGTTCAAATTGTGATGTGATGAGTCAGCAGCTTTACAATTCAACAAAGGTAAACATTTGAAACAAACGGTGATGTCATACAGACATCCGTCCATCCGTTACATCGAACATGCCGCAGCGACTTTATATACTGGCCTCGATGTTGATCAAATCAATACTTCTCACAGGCTAAACATGTTATCCACTACAACCACAAGCCCCTCGGTATCCCACTTCGACCTCTTGTCGCTCTATCATGCGCTTTGGCAGCAGCAGGATCACTCTGTCGTGAGGCGGTCGTCATGCAAGGTTGTGGATCTGGAGGAGAAAGAACAGTGAGTCTATTTTCTTATTAACAGGAGATCTGAAATGATACTAAGGGTCCAAAACAGGACACTCCATTCAACTTCGACACCATCGATCTATCTGGACACCCTGGTGCCAAGTTACCAAACGGAGCGACCTCAATGATAATTCGCCCGGCGTATGAGACATTGTTTCACGAGATCTCTACGAATGAGCGCAATATCGTCGTTCATGGGTCCGCTGGTATCGGTAAGCCGGTGTCCTTCCGTAATTTTCGTTACTTGATATAGCCGATTACCCTCAGGGAAGACATACTTTTGCTATTCGCCCTCGTCAGGCGACTTCTTGCGCGCCAGCCAGTCACATATCAGATAGACCAGTCGGACTCGAGCGTCTTATGTTTCACCGCCAACGGCTTCTTTGCTCTCCCGGAGGAGAACAGCGAATATCACCCTCTGTTCGACCCGTGAAGATGTCTTACACCTAATCGACAGCACACAGGAAGACAGTGTCACGCATTCGAACACAGATCACACTCGTGCTTTGATGCGGGGAATTCGCAGCAAGGCCATTTTCACCACATTCTGGCCAGACAGTCTGGGTCACGACATCGGATGGTTGTCTGAATACGATGTCGCACTTAGGAAGTGGATGAAACCGTGCACTTTCGACGAGATATTTGCGATGAGGTAGGTTAATTCATGACATATTAGTCTTCGCTGACCATTGTCGTTAGCACTTTGACCCTCGACCAGCATAAAGCCAAGTCTTTACGATGGTCGTACATCCATTTTGGGTCGAAACGCACATGCTTGCCTGCAAGTATCTCGTGATGTCAGCGATGCCGATTCATTATCTCAAGGAGCTTGAACGCGCTCATGATAATTTGTGGAGCATCCGACCTGCATTGCGCGAATCCGAAGCCCGTTACAGCCGTAACCTCTTCGCTGTCGAACCTGGAAACGCTTGTGCAGATCCACTGTCGTTCCCCATATCGCAAGTCGTTACCAGACTTTTTGCGGGCGAGATCACCTCTGTGGACTCTGCCGGCGCTAAGGAGACTGCTGATGTCCTCCTTAACTCAGAGGACACGAAAGAAGCGGGCGAGATCTTCTACCGTCATGCTGTCGTGGCACTCATGTCCAGATCCGGTGGGACTTTTACTCTCGGACGTCCTGATTTGCGGGGCCATTACCATCCGGCACACGAAGAGCTTGTGCTGCAGCAAAACACGCACATGACAAACGAGGAACAGCGGGCTATGCACCCGAACTTTATATACTCCACCCGACGGGAACTCGCGACGTTGGCGGAATACTGCCCGCAACTCCTGCATACGCCACAACATGCGCTCGTGCATCCAGGCATTGATGCGGTCATGTTCGATGCCAGCAGCATGTCAGTGTGGCTCGTGCAGGTAACGCACGGTTCCCCTCGCCCAGTTTCCCCTGAGGGTCTTCTCTTCCTACTGGACGTCGTACGGAAAACCCCTTACGAACCGTCTCCTACGCACCCTTGGAAATTTGTCTATGCGATAAGGGGACAACCCACCAATATTTTCTTCCGCCTCAGCGGGAAGGAAAGAACGCAGCACTTTTCGATGAACTTCTGGATGCCACGCATCAAACCATATGTGATGCAACTGCGCGATACACATCTAAACGTCCATCCTTCGGGCAACCCCTATGAGCAATGGGGTTTCCTTACAAAGTTCTGCAGAAAAGCTCGCCGAGTCTTCTGCGGCACCTTGCGAATTCGATGACGCACCTCGTCCCAAAGTGTCGGTGCACAACCAAATCTGGCACTACTCAGGACACGTTCACTTCAGACATTAATGGTACGATTATACAGGAGTCGGGGGTGCCAGGAGCTCAGTTACTTGGAGAGATTGTGAAAGAACAAGATCCAGGCCCGGTCGACCACTATTTACGGGATAATGAGGAGACGAATAGTTGGAGGGGGCGATTCGCAAAGGTGTTTTCGATGAGTTCTTTATAATTGTACAAGTGTCCGTGGTTGATGCTATATCCAATATCTAATTTGCTACATCCTTGTTGTGAGTCTAATTTCACCGGCTGCATCAGTCAAGTGCAGGTGATGTTCATGCGTGGCCCGTACATGTACTTGGGAATATTGGTCTACTGAAAATACTGTTTTCTTCCCATGACAACTCAACGAAGCACCATACGAGAGCACTATTTTCCCACTGATTGTGGACCTAGAACTGCGGTGAAAGTATTACTGCATGGGTTATCCGTGTTTGATGATAGAGGTCCTCGTTCTTAGCACTTTTAACTCCAGCCTCTAGGAATGCGTTATGCCACACTACCCGTGAGGGACGAGAGTCGGTGCTATTGCGCAAGCTTATGATATAAGACTACAAAATTGGGGTCATAAGTACTTCAGTCATATGTATTCAACTGTTCCTCTATTTCAAAAACTCATTGCTCGAGCGACGGTGAAATTTGTTCAGAAGCAAGCACCATTATCAAACTCTGCAACAAACTACTCATGCATCGTGGCATCAATCATACTACATCGATGCGAAAGCAGAAACACGACTCACTGCGATCCACTGTCGCGACATACTACTCACAATAATCGACGACTGCATTCTACCGCGTCGGTGAGTCATGTGCATACATCAGGATGTAAATTGCTGATACTCACAAGCGCTTGGACGAATGTCGGCGTGCAGGTCTGACCAGCACAGCAACTGACTTCGTTGCAAAGATTGTGACATGTGTCAGTGGCAGATACCTGTTGCAATCAGAGCAGTAACAACGGCGAGAACGAAGGAGAAATGCATCTTTTGTGAGGCCGTGATATGGTATGAAGAAATTTGAAGGGGACTGTAGAACAACGGCTTGCTTTTATATGCTGAAATCTATTCCGGCAGAACTTCATAGCAGTGTAGGATCCCCTTTCCGATAGATGTTGACTGCATTGCCAGCAGAGTTTCACACGCATCAATTAGAACTCTGATATTCAATGGGCGGGCTCAAATAATGCGGATATTGAACATAAAATACCATAGAGAAGTCCCTAGTCATGCCGCGATTGTCGCCGTCATTTAGGTCGAATTCGAATTTGCAAGACATTAATTTTCTTGACCTTTTTTACAAACTCCAAATCTGTAGGCCTACAGTTCAGCTTTGTTTAGCTGTGGAGTCGCTGGCATGTT